TGACGCATTCACATCACACACACACACGCGTGCATGCACACACACTACTACTACTGTAGCTTGGTTGCCACAAGGGCCACACCACTCCGAAAGGAGCCAGAGTCATTGTCAGGAGCAGAAACGGAGATGACGACGCAGGTCACTCTGTCGACGGAACTGACGGTTGCAGCGAGAACAGCGAACACCATACGACGCTCTATCAGACTCGGTTGCTCGATGGCCACGGTCGCACTTGTGACATCACACACACACACACACACACACACACACACACACACACACACACACACACACACACACACACACATACACACACACACACACACACACACACACACACACACACATCTTTGGTGCCAAAGAGAATTGTTTGTACTGACCAGGTGGTTGCTGTAGCCAAGCGGTTATAGTGAAGCCAGGAAGTTAGTGTTGGAAGTCAAGAAGTTAGTGTTGGAAGCCAGGAAGTTAATTTGAAGCCAGGTGATTGTTTTGAAGCCAGGTGATTGTATTGAAGCCAGAAGGTTGCTCGATTTGGTGTTACCTATACGTGTTTTTAACTTGCCTACGGTTTTGTTGGATTTGATTCTTCCCCTCCGTGCTAAGCCCGCCTCAAGGTTCCAGCACACACAAAGACGTGGCGAACAATGGCCCCCCATCTACGCCGCTGGTAGCATCGGCTGCAGCTTCAGGTCGCGATGGCATTAGCGCCGGCGGTAGCAGCAGTGGCAACGCTACTGGCAGCGATGCATTGGATCTAACGCTGGATTATCGACCTGTCAACACTGCACAGCCAAACAGTGCCAGTAGCACTGGTGGCAAGAAGGACAAGGAGTCTGGAAAGGTCAGATTGTAATTCCCCAGCGGTGCTAGGACGATTGGCCTAGTGGCCGAGTGATTCGCAGCTTCCTCTTTTGTGCAGCGGGAAGCTAGTTCCTGTGATTGCTCAGCATGTTTGCTGGTGCTGCACCTCAGGGGTGTGGGCCGACGACTGGTCTATGGCATGCCCAGCAACCATTTAATTGTGCCAATACGGTCACAGTTTGTGTTGTCACAAAACGGTGTGTTTCACTACTCTATGCTGGTGGCCAGCATGCAGGAATATAGATAGGCAGGAAGCACTTTTTAAAGTGTTTCCTGCCTATCTATGTTTAAAAATGCACCCCGTACTACACCACTGTACGTACATGTATACAGCGTGGACGCATAGCACGGCCGCTGCTGCTTTTCGTGCTGCTTTTCATGCTGGTGCCGTCCCATCCTTCTCTTATTTAGCCGGCTCTCTTTGTGTTTTGCGTGAATGTGCATTGTAGCTCACTGCAAAGACCACAGTGCGCTGTGCGTGGATAACAATTTTACCCACGAACTACCAAGGACAACACTCGCCACCATCGGCGTTCACTATGGTCCTAGTACCTAAGGAGAAGAGCAAGCGAGGTGCGTAACAATTGCTGGGTGTGGCTCTGAGAGGGGCGGGCTCGGTTGCGGACTCTTCTTGCAAGTCAGTTGCATACTGATTACATACACTTGTACTTGCATTACAAACATGTGTTTGCTCTCTTTCTCTCTCTCTCCCTCCCTCCCTCTCTCTCTCCCTCCCTCTCTCCCTCTCTCCCTCTCTCTCTCTCTCTCTCTCTCTCTCTCTCTCTCTCTCTCCCTCTCTCTCTCTCTCTCTCTCTCTCTCTCTCTCTCTCTCTCTCTCTCTCTCTCTCTCTCTCTCTCTCTCTCTCTCTCTCTCTCGTTACCATGGTTAGTACCAATTGATTACATGTGGGCTACAAGACCATTATCTGTGCTCTGTCTCCCGATTTGTCTTGAAAGTGCTACGTCACAGCCAGCCCGACGTCATGACAGCGCTGAATTTTGGATCCACTTGGGTCCAGTTTTTTGTGTGGGTTCGTACACGTTTGGGCAGTTTTCCTTCGCAGCATAGTGACACATCCACCGGTAGTGATTGGTCTTGTAGGCCCTCCCGGTCATGGACCCACACCTGGCACAGAACAATTCGCACGTGTGTGCGACACGAGGGGCCTACTCCACCACATGCTGTACAGTGTACTCCACTATGGGCAGAGTGGATCCCAAGGTCGTTATTTGTCGTTAGATTTTGACTTCTGACGTCATCACTTTCAAGCCCTATGGTCTGGAATACCATTTCTCTCACTCAGAGTGGATCCAAAGGTTGTTATTTGTCGTTAGATTTTGACTTCTGACGTCATCACTTTCAAGCCGTATGGTCTGGGATATAATTACTGTAGAGGCAGAAAATTTCGTCGGTCAATAATTTCGTCCAACTCCTAAGAAAGGGAGTTCGTCCGGTTGAAAATTTCGTCCATGGGTCATAAGAGTGTATAGAAAAGCTGGACAAATTGACATTAGTCCGGCACTTAATTTAGTCCAAAAGTTCCTTGGACGAAAAAGACGAAATTAAATTCCAGACGAATATTTGTGCTTCTACAGTATACCGTTTCTCTCGCTCTGCCTGTTCCTTCGGTGTTTGTTGAAACGTTTTTGTCACGCTGACGTGATCTTTCGCCTTGCAGCATTACCATTCCCTCTGCCACGTCGCTCGCACGGACGTGACAAGGAGAAGGATGCAATTGAAAATGCATACCTTAGCACCCTGGTGTGTTCGTCAACTAAGCGCTCGACATTCCTGAAAGGTGAGACCGCCAGGGCATTGCCCTGTGTCACAGGAACATGTGATGTTACAAAGTCTAATTTTTAAATAGGATGTCCTTTTGGCAATACTAATACACCTGTTGCAGGGACATGTTCTAAAGAAACGGGTCCCGGCAACTGCTGTATTTCAAGCACATTGGAGAACAAGCAATGTTAAAGCATTCTCTGTTCTCCAGCTTATTTGCAACCAGTGTACTTTGCAGTCATGTATGTGCCTCTCTGCATGCCTTTACTTCTGAATAGTACGCTTATTTTAGTGATCTCATGCCTGCTTGTGACTGTTAGGTGCTCAAAACTTGACATCTCCGCAGGTTTCTGTTATATGCTGCTCTGCGACTATAATTATTCACTTGTGTGTGTTCGTGTGTTTGTGTGTGTGTGTGTGTGTGTGTGTGTGTGCGCGCGCACGTGTGTGTGCGTGCGTGCGTGCGTGTGTGCTCAGTGTACATTGACACTGTGGAGTGGACGGACGTGAAGTTCTTCTCTCTGTCGCCGCCAAGCCGCACCCTGTTCTTCCCTGTGGCCACGTTCAGTGAAAGCAGTGGCACTGTTGGTGGCACTGGTGTTGGCACTGAACGTGGAGGTGAACGGGGCGGTGAACGGGGCAGTGAACGGGGCGCTGAACGGGGCAGTGAACGTGGCGCTGGTGGCAGCACCGTGCCAGACCTTCACTTGCCATTGAATGCAGCCGACTGCGATCCTGGCATGTGCACCACATCCGATGTATGACATCAACGCTTCGTTGCATGATTAGTAGCGTCTCACGTGAATAACTTTCTCACCCAGCGAAATGTCCTAGTCACAGCAGCAATGGCGTTCTCATTGCTACCTAGGTGTCACGCAATCCCGTGTGCCTTTCTGCCTGTTAGCTGTTAGTTGCTACTTATCACCGAGCCACTCTTCACCGAGCCACTCTTTTATACTCAGCAAAGAAGTCTATCGCATAGTGTCAACGGCATTGAATCACCAAGTACACTGTACACTGTACTACATGTACTTATCACGAGACCCCCGCACCCCCTTTCCTAATGATTGTGCATAGTTATGCAAAGAACCTCACGGGGCTGAGGGGTGGTGTAGCTTGCTTCTTCCCTAGTGTGGATATTTGAATGCACCAAACTGGCTACCTGACCAAAATTATTCGACACAATACTAAAGATATTTAGGATTCATATCAAGCGCAGTAAGCATTTAGACAGAGCCCGTTCTTCTATTTCTGTCCTGCATCATTGCATGTCTCATGCTACAACTTAAACACATCTGCTTTCTAGTCCCTGCTTGTGCACATAGCTCCCCTAGCCCTCCCATCGCATTGTCATGAGCATAAAACAAAAAAAACAAAAACTTGCAAAGTATTATTATAACCACCACCTTCCCCATCTGGATCAGCATAATTATTATTCCGCTATTCGACTGCTCCTCTGAGCCATTTGTAGAGTTGTTTTTTTGTAATTTTGCTATTGCGACTGGCAAGTTTCTTTTGACTTTGTTGTAAACCCGGGCCTTTTTTAATGTCTTGATGTTGTTGTACCTGATTAGAACACACAAGAAAAAAAGAAAAAAACCCCACACACAGTCTTTGTTTCTCGGATGCGGTGTGTATGTGTAAGTGCGATTGTATGTGTGTGTGTGCTTGTATTGAGCTCTCGAAGACGTTACTTGTTGCTGTGACGTCTGGAGGGGTTTGCTCTGAATGCTTGATCCCTGCAGGCTCAGTTGTGCTGCTGCTGCCACCACTGCTGCCGTTGCCCCCAATACTGGCAATAGTGTTTTTCCCATGTAGACTTACCTACAACAGTTACTCTACAATCACCTTGTTTGGGCATCGGAACCAGTGCAGCAGATAATTTTTTTAATCTTGTAATTTTGGAATCAAATCATATGGGCTATTTGGGCCCAACAATCATAACATTTTTCCCAGGAGGGCCCCCGACTCGAGCCCTCCCCGCCTCTTCATGGTCGCACCAATGTGGAATGCCTTCCAAAGTCCCTGCCATGTGATCACACCCTATCATTAGATACATAGTATTAAACTACCTATTACTGTATTAGCAAGAGTACATAACCTGTCCTGGTTATGTACTCTTGAGTCTTGGCATTAGGTATTCGTATTTAGTTGGCCTAGCCCTAAGTACCTACTCGGCAAGTATCTGTGAGTCTTGCCTCTGGTCTAGTCTAGCCAATAACTTTTAAAAGCGACCATGGAATAGTGAAAATAATACGGTGTTTTGCATACAGTAGTGACCACTGCCACTGCCCGTACTGGTCCATGGATCCATGCATGCATGGCCATGATCCACTGCACAATGTCGCAAAAGAAGGATCCATGATTATCACTCTAGTACTCTGGATGGAGTCCGGGGACTAGGTACTAGTGGAAGTGTAGCCTAGACGACGGGCGGACTTAGAAATGATCCCCGATGTCATGGACTAAAACAAGAAAAACGCCGACCTACCTCACAATCACTACACTAGTCACTAGTCTACACAGACTAGCTACACTACAGGCTTAGTACCTGTCCTGTCAGACGTCGGCTTCGTATATTTTGACGTTTGTTCCCATGAATGTTGAGATTCATGCTGCAGTTCTACTTCTACTCGGCTGATCAGTCATTTTGTGTCGCTGTCCGCTCTTCATTGCTGGTAAGCAGCGAGCGGTTATCCAGACATGGCTATGGGAGCGCAGCGGTTGTTTGAATGAAGCCGAGTCACACACCGAGCGGCGGCTGCAAGTCCACCAGCAACACGCACACTCGCTCAGTGACTCGGAGTCGGAGCCACTTTGCGGCTGACCTATTGCCATTCAAACGGGACACTGTCCAGTCCAAATGAAGCTGTGACTGTTCGGGTAACACGCCCGCTGACCCTGTAGCCGTGTAGGTAACTAATCTGGAGCCTGGAGCGGAGTGCACTGAGACACACTCACTAGCATGATCAACTTCTCGGCTTCTGTGGCCCTTCTGGCCTTCTTAGCGGCAGCGGTTTCGTGGCAACGGTCTGCAGCGACGACAGCAGCAACAGCGACAGCCACCACGAATAAGTAGGGAGTTCAGTTCCGGTCACTGAAAAGCGAAAAGTGCAGTCACAGCTCGCCTGTACAAAGTGAATGGGCGTCTCGTGGCTGCAGTTCGAGATGCAGTTCGCGGCCCGAGTATCTTCTCCCGCGGCCTTTTCGGCCTTGTCGATGCTATTTTTAGGTAGCTGAGGTCATTACCTTTCCAATGGTGCCACACATGCCATGCTTCCAAAAATAATGCCTCCGCGCTTGTCGCGGGTGCACTTCGAAGTACTCGACCAGATCCGTACTCGGCTTCGCGAGGAACACCCGATTTTCGTGTTCAGCGGCCTCGAATTAGCCTAAACCAAGAGGATTCTACAACATTGAGGCTCGCGCTTTATCGCCGTAGAAGGAAAATGATCACAGAAACCAGCCCACGGCGATTTCCTGGTGGTGGACGAAAAAATCGATTGAACTGCGCGCACACTGGTAGAAGCAGTGACGGTGAAAACGTGTGACTTGTGCAAGTCCGCGCGCACGGCATGCGTGCACACTGCATGCATGCACACATCCTGTATCGCCATGTATGCACCAGATAGTGCAGTGCTGGACGGAAACCACACGGCTCCCATACATACTTGCATTTACTTCTGTGACTACTTTCTCCCCCGTCTTCAATCGACTATAACTCTAGATTGCCTTGGAATTTTGGGTTCAAATTTTCACAGGTTGTTTCTCGATTCTTCCCGGTTTAGAAAAACTAGCGTTTTATGCAAAACTCGCGAATTTGATTTTTCAATTGAAGTCCCTACTACAGGCTTAGTACCTGTCCTGTCAGACGTCGGCTTCGAATTTTGACGTTTGTTCCCATGAATGTTGAGATTCATGCTGCAGTTCTACTTCTACTCGGCTGATCAGTCATTTTGTGTCGCTGTCCGCTCTTCATTGCTGGTAAGCAGCGAGCGGTTATCCAGACATGGCTATGGGAGCGCAGCGGTTGTTTGAATGAAGCCGAGTCACACACCGAGCGGCGGCTGCAAGTCCACCAGCAACACGCACACTCGCTCAGTGACTCGGAGTCGGAGCCACTTTGCGGCTGACCTATTGCCATTCAAACGGGACACTGTCCAGTCCAAATGAAGCTGTGACTGTTCGGGTAACACGCCCGCTGACCCTGTAGCCGTGTAGGTAACTAATCTGGAGCCTGGAGCGGAGTGCACTGAGACACACTCACTAGCATGATCAACTTCTCGGCTTCTGTGGCCCTTCTGGCCTTCTTAGCGGCAGCGGTTTCGTGGCAACGGTCTGCAGCGACGACAGCAGCAACAGCGACAGCCACCACGAATAATGGAGAGATAAGTGCCAGTGAGAGAATACAGTCATGTACTCTGATAATAGGGAGTACATTTCTCAAAATGCAAAGACTCCATTGATATTGATATTTTAATAGGGAGTAGTAAAAAAAAACATTTTAGTCCCCCTGGCTTCCGATCCTCTTCGATACACTGTGTCATACATCGCAGTGGCACGATTATAGCAACCTGAAACTTATTAAAAAATTAGTTGTGAGCAACACTGGCTCACACTCAAATCACTTTTTTTACTTATGGAGCTGCGTGATGCGTCCTACAAGATTTTAAACTGAAACTTATTGTAAATTACTGGGGCCCATACAACATTCAATGAATGTTGCTGAATACACGATCATGTACTGGCAATACAGTCATGTTCTGTGGCCCATGGTAATTACGGAAGTGGCACACAGTACATAGCATCGTGTAAGGACTTCATCAACTAATACTTGATGCGTGCATGATTGTCATACTATTGGAATCCCAAGCCTGCTACCAAGAGTCCATAACCCAAGAGTATGCAACTGTCACGGATCTCTTTTCTATGGGCCAACGCGCGGCACGCTGCCTTCATTACATCATTCAGCTGCAATCCGCGCACTGCGGAAAATCAAACACCGCACTTTCCCTCTAGTTTGAAATGAACTTTCGTACGGAACTGGAGTTCACGCGCCAGAATTCAGAGATTGTGTAGGCACTGGAACGAATCGAGCAAAAACGGATGGGCTCGTGCGAGAAATTGAGAGTTTGAATGCATGCTTTCAGAGCGTGATGAAGGCAAGTTACGTAATGAAGGCAGCGCGCCACGCATGCACCCATAATCACAGTTGCATACTCTTGGGTCATGGACTCTTGCTGCTACCATTATGCATTACTGAAGCCCCCTATAAGTTATGTTGGTGGCTATACACAGTGACACGTTGCGAAGCGTCTCTCCAATGATGCATCTATAATGAATTGAATACGGTCAATATACTGTATCAGCACTGGGCATGTATGCAACTGTGATATTATCGAACGTCTTTCCCTGAAAGCTGTTCTACGTGTGGTTCTGCTCCGGCTATGTGGTAGGCAATGGAAATGGCTCGTTCAATACATTTGAGTGCTTCTTCAAAGCTAACTGCATCGACGGACAATGTGCTGAAGGTACCACTGGTGTTATGTGTGAGCAATGCCTCAACAATCAAGTACCCTATGATAACTTTACAAGTAAGTGCGATAGAACAACTACTCACAATTTTGGCAGCATTCGGGGCAGTGCCGCTCTAACTGTCCAGGTCACCAGGTGGGCTAACAGAGACAGTGGGACACTTCTTATTGCACTATTTGACTATACGACATGAAGGCATGCTTCGGTGTTCTGCAATTTGCAAGTTTTGGCTTGTGAGACCCCGCCTGTTGACACGTGGGCTTTTACGCAGTGCTTGGATTTTCTGAAGCCAAAGGTCAAGGTCAAGGCGTGTGTGTGCGTGTGCGTGTGTGTGTGTGCGTGTGTGTGTGTGTGTGTGTGTGTGTGTGTGTGTGTGTGTGTGTGTGTGTGTGTGCGTGCCAGCTAGTTCGGTTGGTGGGTACACTTATGCCTGATTGTGTTGGGTCTGTTGCAAACGGGCTCGGCTGCTTGAAGGTGTAATGTTGTACCTGCCACCTTTGTTGGCTCCAGGGTTCATATACTTTCTATTTGAAGTATACATACCTGTTGACCATGGACTGCTTCTGGCTAGATTAACTCTTGTGTAATCAATGGTGCTAGTGAAGCTTTTATCAGATCCACTCAGATTTGCGGCCACCCACACTAGTAGCAAGTACAGTCAACTTCGCTAATAACGACTGCGGATATAACGACAATGCGCGAATAACCGGCGACAGAATTTCCATGCCCAGAGCAAAGTCCCATCCCACTGTAACACATATACACTGTAATGAGACTCTGTGAATAACGGCACTTTTCTGATGCCCCGCCTAGTGTCGTTATAAGCGAAGTTGACTGTATTACCTTCACTGGGGGCAGGGGAAACTGCAGTTGGATCCCGGGACGGATACCTTGATGCCGTCAATCCTTTTTCTGCACCTTGTCCTCACCCACTTACTGAGGTGTGGTGAGCCCATAAGTGGGATCATTTTCAAGTCCACCCAGAGTTTTGGGGATTTCAGGGGGTGTCGGCCGTTGGGCGGTTCAATAGCCAATTGAGTCATCTTTCCAAGATTCCTTTTGAGTTCCTCTCTCCCCTCTCCCGGGGAGACCCACGTGACCAGTTTTGGCAGTGAGCAACAAGTACAAGTACCAGTGTGTGTGTGTGTGTGTGTGTGTGTGTGTGTGTGTGTGTGTGTGTGTGTGTGTGTGGTGTGTGTGTGTGTCGTGATGGTGCAAGTAGAACGGGAAAGGCGATGCCGTTGGTTTGGATTGCAGACCTACAGTACTGTCGGGCGCCGAAGAACGACCAGGCTAGAATTTCATCAAGCACAGCATACCAAAGTATACAAGATGACTCAACTGTGCATAGACTGTAATACAGTAGGTATCGGTTATAGCGTGGGTGTTTGAAAAAGGACTTTCTATTCTTATTTCCGATATTTCTTACACACGATAAATCAAGTGTGACATAATTATCATGTGCATGTGCGCAGAGGCAGGAAGATCATCGTACATGCAATGTAGTGTTACTGTGCATGCGGCTGGTCATAGTCACATAGGCTTACCATGTGGCTATGCAACATGAGTTACATGACCACAACAGTTGAACCTGCAGCACTACGTCCCAACGCGAGTCAGGTCGGAACTGCATTGGACGGATGTTATTACTACAAGCGATATACTTTGTACTAATCTGGTATGTTTTGCTACACAAAGTCCATTCTTAGGACCGATATATTCTACTGTACGATAAAATTGCTTGTAAGAATAAATGTGCACTTGAAATCCATGTTATGAATATGAAAACATGGGAGTTCATTCTTGTAGCCAGTATATTCTTTTACACGACCACGCTATAACCGATACGCACTGTACATGAAAATAAGAACGGTCTAGGCTAGGAGGCTGACCCCCCAGTTCTTCGGCGACCGACAGTACTGTAGCTCAGTTCTCCAGCACTTCACACTCAGAAGTATGGCATGTTCGCCTGGTGTCTGTGCAGAGTATGCTCGTCTCGGCAGCACCTGCATTGAGTGTGAGCTCTTCCCATGGTCCTCGATATCGCTGGGTGCAGTCCTAGTGCTGGTGATACTGGTAGCTGCCAAGAAGGGCTTCACACAGTCAGTGGCCACCAAGGTATGTGAACTGGCAACACCAGTACATGTTTGTCAACCCAGCTACTTGATCATATGTACGTGTATGTAATCAAGCTGCTCTTGTGGTCATGCCCGCTGAATCTTGCCCAAAGACGCAGCCTGGAGGCTGAAAGCCCCGAAGGATGCGTTCAACGCCAAGATCTCAGCAAGAAAAACCGAGAAAGGGCGTGCTTGATTTGTTTCTTACTCGAGTTAAGGGTCAAAGATCAAACTGTCGACCTCCCAGGCGCAGGGATTTCCCTAAAGTGACGTTAATCAGGCAAGATGAGCTGATTATGCCCGTGGCCCAAAGCCGGCTATCGGTCAGGGCCCGGGCAATGGTCGCATGCCGTGTAAGAATGCATCATTAGTAGATTCATTACATTAATTTTGTACTTGAAGGCTGCCTCAATCTATGTAGTTCACACAGTGATACAGCTTGGCGGGCCTCCATCTAACTGTGTTCCTTGTACAAGTGGCATGATAATGTCAAAAATCATTCCCGCGTTAACTTGAACTCTAGCATGATGCGGCCTTCGTCATGAACTCTAGCATGATGCACACTTACTGTATCTACTGTATCTCTTCCCTTACACCACACTACACTACACTACATTACACTCTACAGGTCAAGCTGCTGTTTGACGGTCTGCAGCTGGTGCTATTGACTTACCGCATTCCTGTCCTATGGCCTAAGATCAGCCTCAGGGCGGTGTCCTACGTGTCATTTGCATATTTCACGCCACAAGGAATCTTTCCAGGTACTGCGACATGCATGCAGTGGCTCGTATGAGACCGCAAGTTACCGGGCATAAGTCAATCTCCATACTGTCTTGGTGCCTCGATTTCCCGCTTCAGTGGCAATTAAACCCCGGTTGTAGTATGGTGTGTGTGTTCTGCTGGGAGTATGTCATGCACCGTGGGTTTCTTGATGCCTGTGAAGTGTGAATCCATGTCGAACATCGGTTCACGTATCTCTCCGGCTGCCTGGCACAATACTTTGACTTGTGGATATGTGCATGTGCCGGGGGGGGGGGGGGGGGGGGGGGCACTGAAATTGAGCGATTAGTTATATTTGAGAACTTGAAATTCACTCAGAATCCAATATGTATTATTTAGCCATTCCCATGGTAACAAGAGATCATGCACGACTGGGCCTCTCATGCCCTTAGCCATGCCTTACTGTGTGCATGCGGTTTGACCTGTGTAGGAAGAACGGCCTATGTGTAAACGGCTGGCGGTCATCTATGTACCGCGCACGCCAGGGTGATCGCTACATGTACTTGTAGACTAAATGGTTTTACTGTACATGCACTAACGCCACTAGTCAACTGATGCACAGCATCGGGATCACTGTATAGCAAGTACATGATTCCGTCTATCTTTGTTCTCTCCAGTCTCGGCTTGGTGGTACATGTGTTGTCTTTAGTGATTATTTATTTGTCCTATGTGCGGCTTGTCTGTTGGTGCCAGCTTGCTACTTCAACCTGGCCACAACCTACTATGTGGACTGGATAGGTGCCTGCGTTCCATTGATACTCGCCTTCATACTAACATGGATTATCGACAGGAGCATGGTAAGATGGCATTGTGATAATCATAGTGGTTGAGTGGAAGAAAAGTCACCAGTAACTTGAATTCTTGGTGAACTCGTGGCTATGGTGCGAAACCTATGGTTGGATTTCACTCCCCACCCCTGTGATTATAGTGTGCTGTGGTCATGGCTATTATCTCCAGGTACTCCACGGTATGTAGTGCAAGTGCGACCGGGATGTAACCAGTGCCAGTCCAACTAATAATGGTCAGGTCATGATTGGATTGGTTGGACAGCCATCGGTAGTTTGAACCTAAGCATTTAAAACAGAGATTCTTCTGTAAGAGAGCACTGCACTCAGCCCATTGCATTAGTAGCTAACGCAACGGACCGAGTGCAGCTAGTGCTCTTATCGATTTTTGATGATACAGTATAATATTGTGGGGTTTGGTAGAACGTCCTGGGTACTAAATAATGTACTCCACAGTCAACTAAAGCCCACTGTACCTGTTCATACTTAGAGCCCACTGTACCTGTCCATACTTAGAGCCCATTGTACCTGTGTGTTCGGTATGCAGCGGCGCAAGCAACGTGCCAGCATCCTGGAAGAGGACACGGACAGAGCGGCGAAGTGGCTGTCTCGTCGCACAGTGCTGCGCCGTGGCTTTGTGCTGCTCGCCTTCATCTACTACGCACCCGTTACCAGTCTAGTGCTGCGTGCCTATGCCTGCGAGGGCAACTTGGCTACGGTGAGGAGAGGGACATACGGAGAGAGGGGGGGGGGAGAGCTGGGGAGAGAGACTGACTGACAGACAGGCAGACAGACAGACAGACAGACAGACAGACAGACAGACAGACAGACAGACAGACAGACAGACAGACCGACCGACCGGCCGGCCGACCGACCGACCGACCGACCGGCCGACCGACCGACCGACTGACAGACAGACAGACAGACTGAGACAGACAGCCTGATAGGCAAAACTTTGATCCGTGTCAGCATCACAATTGGTATCATTTCAGTACCTGACACACATATACTTGCAGCTCTGGGGTCTGCTGGTGGTGAACTTGTTGCAGTCTGACATGAAGCAAAATTAGTCAGTGTGTAATACAGCAATCAACTGAACATCCATGAGAAGTCAATCATCGGCTGTAATGTCACTGGAGCCGGCTATGACACTGCCAAAGACCAGCAAGCGTGGTAGAACTCTACATATCATCTCTGACTGATTATTGACTGGGCATATTGTACACGTATGTGATTATTGTGGCATGAGTGTTTGTGCATCAACTCGGTATTCAAAATCACGGTTGACATGTGTATTCGTATGTGTGTGTGTGTGTGCGTGTGTGTGTGTGTATGTTTGTGTGTGTGTGTGTATTTGTGTGTATGTGTATGTATGTGTGTGTATGTGTGTGTGTGTGTGTGTGTGTGTGTGTGTGTGTGTGTGTGTGTGTGTGTGTGTGCGTGTGTGTGTGTGTGTACTTTGGTGAATCGATACACACAGGCCAATGTTTGGTACTTTGAAGGATTGGTGCGACCGAACGACACCAATCGCTGGCTGTACAATTATGATATCAGTTGCAACTCTGGTGTATTTCAGGTATATAATTTTGCACATACTACCAATGTATTCCTGTCTGAGGGACAGGTGCTGCACTGTGAAAAGTACACACAGGTCGGTGAATCTCCAGAGCCTGTATGCCCATGCCTGACCGAAGTTAGTACTCAGTGCTTGCTTACCAATTCAATTATTGCTAAGTCTTAGTCATGTACTGACTGTGTCTTCTGTGAGAGTCTACAGTCGATGTGGCCCAGGCTGGCCCGGCTCACTTGGAGTTATGATAGCACTTTCCACTTGATGCACTGATCACTAATCACTCACTGAGCCTAGCCCGGGCCGTAGGAAGTTTGCGGTTAGTGTGGATCCTGCAAGGGCTTGGGTGTCACTGTGACTGGGTACCGGTTGGGAGCATCCCCCCCCCCCCCCCCCACACACACACACATACCGTGACATACGCCTATTTACGAGTGTGCTGGGGCAACAACAGGGCTGTTGGAGGCTGTTGACGAGTGGTACGGCCGGGGCCCGGGGTGTCCACCGGCGGGGTCGTACCAGTCGTACCGACTCTATTAAACGGCCCTGAACAAGCTAACAGTTACATCGAGAGTAGATAAACAAGAGTGTGCAACTCCGGATCTCTCCTGCACAATCTGCAGATACCCCGCCCACGGCGGAATTTTTTGTTGACGTCACCTTTTTTCAGAAGAACGCGCATTTCGCCGCAGAGCAGTGTGAGAGCACGTGCTGGGCACCGACCTTGTAGTGTAAAGCCGGCCAAGAGCACGAGGGAAAACTTTCCGAAAGACTCGCAGCTCGGGCGTCGTCGAAAAGATTACGTCGACAAAAAATTCCGCCGTGGGCCTACCCATCCGCGAGTTGCACACTCTTGTTTATCTACTCTTGGTTACATACTGTAACCGTACAAGGAGGCCTACAGCAGTGTTCTTCTTTCACCGTGACATCAATGATCCGAAGAGCAGACTATCCATCTTATAACTGCTTACACGCACACGCGTGATTGTGTGCACGTGCACATACATGCATGCATGAGTACATATGCGAGTCTGACATACTATGCCGGAATCTTTCTTCTGCACCTTTCAAAGTCTCATTCTGGCGATCTTGCTACTTTGTGGTAAGCCTTCAGTACACTGACTAGGAGTTGAAGATAGTCCACGTCAGCTGATCAGTGAATGTGTTTCTTTCTTTCCCTGCCTTGCCGCGTGCATAATGTAGGCAGTGACATTCTTTGGAACGTTCGTTCTGATCTTCTTCTCCGTCATTGGGCCCGTGGTGCTTCTGTTCTTCACTGTGCGCTCGCGCCGATGGAAACTGCTTGCCAAGAAAGCTGCGCTGCATGGGTAAGGTACATCTAATGTGTTACCATGGTTACCCCACGAGGACGTAACACACATCTACTGTTTGCCGACTATAGACTGGTGTACATGCAGCACATGTAGTCATTCTAGTAGTAGGGAAAATCTTCAGGTATTGTCAACCCAATCTGATATAGTCATGATACATGATACATGTTAGCGATCAATGTCAAAGTAACAAACAGCACAGCGGGTGCTGGTCCACAGACTAACATTGTTCTACAATTTAGGTTATAATGAGTTCAGCAACAACAACAAAAAAACACTACGATTGCTATTTTTTAAATCATATTAGGGAGGTTCAGTCCCACGTAATCCGTGGGTACTTTACGTGTGTGTACCACGTGATACTCAGTGACCCACGTACAGACGTTTTCTGATTCACGACATACCGTGTATGGAGGCTCACCCACGTTCCGCCAGAACGTGGGTGAAAATCAGAATGGAGTGCATTGTGGGAGCTGTGAGGGTGCTCAGCTGAAGAAGTTTCCGAAGCACGAAATCAAAATATTCAATGAGCTTCTTAGGCCCGGGTACTGAGCTTCGTCTTTGACTAGGTTTGGGCCTTTCCCCGGGCCTTCATGCTTTTGTTTGTTCCGTGTGACTAAACACAACATTGCAAACGTGGGTCCATTGAATGAACTTTACGTGTATCACCCACATTCCCGTATCCGTTACGTGGAACTAAACCTCCCTAATACCTGCTTCATAGTACATGTACAGTAGTAGAATGCCGATTATACATACGTCAACCATCCGAACGATCAATTATGTGAAATGCCTGTTTGCACTGAATTTAAAATGGTGCACGGGGTGTATGACAACAGCTTGGCATCAAAATGGGTCCCCAAAAGTGTCGTTTAGAGGAACGGAAGTGTGTCTAAATCCTGTAGTTTCAGTGAAGAGAATGAGAAACCATGAAACCATGAGGGCTATGCATGTTTATATGGATGTCTGGCCGCTACTTTACCCGAACATACTCTTCATCTGACCCCCCCCCCCCCCCCTGGAGACAACCCTGCGTCCGAGGGGTGCGGATAATCGGCACTCTACTGTACTCTACTGGTACCGCAAGACATAATGATAAGGGCATGTTTTGTGCATATGCTGAACAATACTGACTCTACTAGAAGGCCAATATGCGCGGCAACTGCCATGTATGAGTACGGCATTCTCATTTTACTATCAATGCCACAATGCAGTTGATGATCGGTGTTTGTGGTGTGTGGCAGAGGAGAACCTGAATGCACACCAGGAGGTGGTCTTTGCTGTGCTGGACAGACAGCATCCTTAGAAAAACTTTGACTACTGACACTATCCTTAGCAAGATGTCCGTGTGCATGGTCCATGCATCCTAGATCAATGTGCACTGCCGGCTTATCCTCTGTGTGTGTGTGTGTGTGTGTGTGTGTGTGTGTGTGTGTGTGTGTGTGTGTTTAGGTCCATATACGAGAGCTACCGTGCCAACTGGTGTTTCATGGAGGCAGTGGTGCTTTTTCGCAAGCTGTTCATGGTGTTGGTCACCGATATCTACCCATTGGCGTAAGTTGGAAAGAACCTGTGGCCTTAGTGGTGGACAATGCTGTTTACTAATAGAATACTATACACTATGACTGTTTGTTAGGTTCTAGCTCTAGCCCAAATCACTCCTGGTTGTGGTTTGCTCTTGTGTGTCTGCGTTCACACATCTCAGGTTAACTCTGCCAGGCTGAAATTGTTTCTTTGCAGCATTGCAGTGCATGCTCACACATCTTTATGAAGTGATGCAAATGGGCTAGTAGTAGCGTGCTTTATCCCTTCCGGACCATCCCATACTTACGGGTGTACGGCATTGCATGCCTAGTTTGTCAGCCTTTCTTACATGAACTATCGTTGTGAGCCAGCCTCACCAGCTATGCATTGTGGCCTTGCTGCAACTGCTAACTTTACAGTTGTTGTTGTTGTTGTTGTTGTTGTTGTCGTGGTGGTGGTGGTGGTGGTGGTGGTGGTGGTCATGGTGGTCATTGCTGTAGTTGTCGTCATCATTGTCTACTTCTCTGCTGTGTGTGTGTGTGTGTGTGTGTGTGCGTGTGCGTGTGCGTGTGCGTGTGCGTGTGTGTGTGTGTGTGTGTGTGTGTGTGTGTGTGTGTGTGTGTGTGTGTGTGCGTGCGTGCGTGTACGTGGTGTGCATGTGATGCATATCATTATGGTATTCGGCTGCCATTATGCAGACCCATTCTTCTGGAAATAGTCAGCCTGGTACTGTCTGCCATCTACTTGCTCCTTGTCATCTTTGGAGGACCGTTCAGGTAAGGACTCTTGGCTGTAACTAATCCGAGCTGGGCATTACTTCAGCCCGTTAGTGGACGCCCGATCACTTTGCATCAGTTTAAGACGTGTTGTAATGTGCCACGTGGCTTGAGCTACAGGCAACCTTGCAAATAACGACCCTCGACTGTGCATAAGGAAAGTGTTGTTATTCGTGAGTTGTCCTTATCATCAGGCCATACGTTTTTTATAGTATGCAGTAAAGAAAGGTCACTAGGCTAAAGATTTTTGTTAAACCCGAGGCCGTTATTCACGACATTGACTTTATTTAAAAGTAATACGTGATGATAGCATGACCACTACCGCCCCCCCCCCCACCCCACCCCCCACTACCGGTGTGTACTGTATTCGCACTATTCGGCACCCCTTTATTGACCGTGACTTGAACGATTGAAACACTTCAGTGAATATCAGCCCTAGCGGTTATTCCATATGTTCCAAAAATGTAATGTGTTACATGCGGGCCAGAGCATGCGGTGGGGGCTGCAATGGCTTGGATTGTGCTGTGCACCACTTGACCCCAGACCCCAGTCTGTCACGGCTTAGGTTGTATAGCAAACCCATATGAGCTATTTGTACGCACACTTGAAAGAAGGAAGCAAGTGTTTCTGCTGTAACTCTGAGTTTCACAGTTACACCGATCATCAGACAGCAACTAGGCTCTACTAGGCTGTACTAGGCTCTGCATCTAGGTGCATTTCAGCACTGACACAAGCAACCAGACCTCTCTCCAAGTATGAGCTATTTGTACTTGAAGTAGATAGAATCTCACTGTGTTGCTGTTGTTCCTTCTATAACTAGGCAGGGGAAGTGGACGATTTGTGGCCGGGCCATCAGCATCCACAGCGTCTACGAGGTATGTGAGCCAGCGACTATGTGCTTTTTGCTTTGTATTCTGCTTAAATCGGTACACGCATTGACCTATGTCACGCTAGAGCCTGCAGAGGGCTCTGTGTGTGGCTGCTCAGTTGTTTCCGCACGACTCCGGCTGGAGTGCTGTGTTCCGAAGACATTTAAAACGATGCACTTGGTGCATGTTGTTGCTTTGCAGGTGTTCAGCACTGTGTTCATCATCGGCATCCAGGTGGTAGCCGTTGTCCTTACCTATGAGGTTTCCGACAGTCGCCTTTCCGGTGACGCCATCGACTACCTAGTTCTAAGTTCACTTGCCTTGATGGTGCTGACGTGGCTGCTCATGTTCATTGGTCAAATCTGGGCGGAAGACGAAATGGAGGAGAGTAAAGTTGATGACCTCCAGGAGGTAAGGAAACTGGCCAAAGTATGGACAATGCAGCAGCCGCTCCATGATGTACTACCTGACTAATAGTGCCAATGAGACCTGAAACCAGGTATTTTCGAAACGAGCACGGCTAAGTTTTCATGTGGGCAGGCAGGGGCTTGTTCTGGCTGTGCCGCATCGTGTTGTTGGCAAATATCAGGCTAGATTTTACTGACCTGCGCCATACGAGCATCTACATATAGTCTTGATGTTGGAGAGATGCATGGTCGACTGGAACCACTACTGTAGAACGGCTAATTTTAGCGGGTGAAATTGTAAGCGTTTTCTGAATCTGGACCAATTCACGATGTCGATGAAAGATTTTAGCAATCCGAGTTTCAGGCTTTAAAAAGAAGGATGACTTATACTGGACTGTACATGAAAATTTTGATTGGAGCGGCAAAACTTGGCGAAAACACTCCTTTCTCTTAAGTCGCTAAATGTCACCGTCGCTAAAATTAGCCATACTTTGAAGTGACCTTGCCTTGGCTGGCAAGTGATAGTGGTGAATTTGCAACCACATGGCGATGTTTATATAGCTGATGCTTTCCAGGTTGGACTGGGACTGAGGGCATCGCTTATTCTTTATCAAACTAGAGTGAGAAGCACTCAGACTGGCAAGTGATGTATAACAATGGTGCTTTGTTGTACCTGTTGTGCACAGGCCGAACAGGAAGACCAGCCTATCGGGACACTCATCAACCAGGCAACCAATCTTGTCACACGGCGTTCGGGCAAGGTGGCAGACTCCTCAGCCACGATGCTGAACAAAGATCATGCCAATGACAAGGGGGTGCAACTAACAGACATGTGATTGGTCTGGATGCATGGCCCGTGTTGCGCACAAACGCCCAAAGTTCAGCTCCTCCCAGCCACTGTGCATGCAACAATTTGTGGAAATGAGCCTAGGCGGCTGTGCCAAGACACCGGGTGAAAATGCCTACTGTAGCTGCTGGACGCGCACAACAATTTGTGCTTGTACTTTGATAGATTAGTTATGTCTGAATCCTACACGAAACACAATCAAGTTCTTTCTACTGTACCAGTTCAAGTATGTTGCCCACAAAACATCTGACCTATCCCTGGAATACCCACAGAAACAAAAAATATTGTGCATACATCGCTTTTACTCTGAAATCCATACTTATTAATATTTTTATTTTTATTTTTTTTAAAGAGAGGACCATAAATTATCCGTTTTGTCCAAAACTATACTAACAATTATAAGCACTCCGATAATGGTTACTTAATCAGTTAATATTATTTCAGCAGTCAACAATCAGGTATATTATTATATTTATTTATTTATCCAGTGTTGTCCAGTGTGGATACCTGTATGACCACCACAGTAGTCACGATGCGGGGGGGGGGGGGGGGGGGGGGGGGGCGGTACCGACTGCACACCATTCTTGCCGGCCATGTCGAGTTTCACGTGTAGCCAGTCTGGTGAACACGTCACTGCTTGGTTAAGCCATTAATTCTTATCAGTGTTTCCGGTTGGGTGCCGCAAGATTGTCAATACTTTCGGACTAATACAGTTGCGTATTCCACTGAAATGTACAGCTTGTGAAACAGAACAGCAACCAATGTCACGGTGTGTGTGTAATACATCGATAAAAATACAGGTTGAGCCCAGGCTCCTAGGCTGGGTTTCCTTGCCATGCTGAGCCACAACTTTCATGAGAATGCAAACGTCTCATGCATGAGTGCCCTGTGTTCTATCTGCTGCTGGAAGTGTGTGAGTGTTCTAGTCACCGGGCTCTGGACAGCAGTCACAAGCCAGTGAGGAGCTCGATTGTTGGCCAGAGCAAACTCACCTCCAACAAGAATTCGGCCAGTCCCAAAAGAAACTCTTGGAGCAAAAAATGACACGGAGTACTGGACTTCAAGTGACAGAAGGGGACTTTGTAACACAATACACTGTATTGCGTAACAATTTCGTGACGGCTCCCTCGCACAAATGGTTAAGGTAATACTTGGATAAATAGGTTGGAATTGATTATTAATTCTTCAACCAGTAATCAGACCCGAGCACAGGACTGTGTACAGTAAACAGACATGTGCATGTGTATGCACATCCAGCATAACTAGACAGTAGATCGTATACATGTACACCACTGGCGTATCATCACTTTCATCAGCCATGCTTTGCTTCAGTGTCAGGCATCGCAAGGAATACCTGCAACAAGACAGTCCACCCTGCTCTTCCCTGCAGCTGGTCTGCAACAACCAGTCCTACAAGTTTACCAGATGAGTATGTCCACAGCCAAACAGATAATATATCTGCTGGATCATGGTGGATGAGCCAGCGCAAGCAGGCACACACATGTAATGGCTATTCTGTCCACGGGCGCATTGCATGCCGTGGGTATAGCACGGGCTCTCCGTCCCGAGGAGTCGAACAGTATGTCATTGCAGCGATGCAGTCCGGAGTGACGTGATGTGCGCACTCGTCTGCCACGGTCACGGTGCGGTGTGGCTGCGCTCCTCTCGTAAATCCATACTACGCGCAGCTTGCTTCGTGAACACTACACCATAGTACGGTAGTGTCAGTAATATGCAAGAGGCTGGCAGCCAGTAGAACCAACAGGGCACAGATACCACCAGTAATATGCACGAGGCTGGCAGCCAGTAGAACCAACACTGGCAACAGGGCACAGATACCACCAGTAATATGACGACAAACAAGCTACAGTACTACATGATTGTACAATGTATCGTGTAGCACCGCACACTCTAAAGCTCATAGCTGATGAATTATGTATTCATCGTTCTCCAAACACCACTTTGTCCCAAGATGACTCTGGCGTTGGAAAACGTTGTCCCTCCGCCTGAGCCTTTTCAATACGTTTCGTCAGCACCTTCATCTTTGCCTCATCTTTCCAGAACGTCATGAACGGATTCAAGTAGATCATTGAGCCATAAATCAGCAAGAAAACGATCGACGCATTGGTCACCACCACCTGGGCTGTGTGTATTCTCTCCCTGTGTGCAGGGTCGGCGCGCCTCGCCATCTCCTCTATGCTCATGAACTCTCCGCCAACGCCGGTCTTTGGTCCAAACATAACGAGGCGGAATATCTCCTGCGCTCTCTTGCCAAATCGGCTTGGGCGGGGCGGCATTGTTCCCTCGACTATGTCTTGTGTAGCCTGTTTGGCAAACACAAACGGGAGATCAGGATTTTCTTTCCACCAACTACTGGTACAGCGTTGTGGCACTTGTATTCAATGGTATTCCTGGTATGGTATTACTATCACTAAAATATTAGCGATATTGCTGCGATATTGCTGCATGCGCTTGCGGCTATGGAAATATGGAAATCGCCTCGCCAAAAATTATCGTTATTTTTTTTTGTCCAAAACAAAGTTTTTTTAATACGAGTCAATAATTTTTGTACTGGAAAGTCAAAAAATAATGGTGAGAAAAGCGCGGTAAAAGCGATCGGACGTTCATCTTCATAAACTCTTCTTTGCCGTTGGTCTGGCGATGCGCATCTCTGATGACACAGGAAAGCCAGATTTGATTTTCGACTCAACAAGGAATAAAGAAAGAAAGAGGAACGATACTGTACTGATTCTATCTTGTAGCTTGTACATGTACATACACGTTCTATCTTATCTACACTGCCACGAGTCGAGCCGTATTTACTAAGTTGCGTTTCAGCATCCGAGGGCCAATATGTCCGGCACTAACGATCTGGAAGACTTGATATCCAGCATTGAGGATCGGCGGAGGAATGTGGATTTTGCTTGTACTTCAACGATCAATATAGCCACAGATTTGGCTGAGGCTGCAGAATGCTACGAGGGTCACGTAAGTATCAAACACAGAGTTTCACTTTGTTGTTTGGTGGAGAGAACCTCGTTCAGTACGAAACCTAAAAAATTGAAATTAAATTTTGTGTTCAGTGATGAAGTTCCTGCACGAAACCAAACTCTGTGCACAAATGATCAGAGTCAGAAATAGCTCAGTTGCACACGCACGCACGCACGCACGCACTCACACACACGCTCACACACACGCACCATACAAATACTAGATATGCGCGTGGACACTGGTACATGTGCCTGTCCCTCCAGAAACTTGCGGAGAAAATTCGGAAATAGCGCGGAAAAGTTGCGAGATAAAAAATGCCACAAACTGCGGGGAATATTGTGGTGAAATTGCGTCCGATTTTGGTACACGTAGTACGAGTCGTACAGCACAAACCATACATAACAAAACTAAACACTGTCCCCACAGAATAACGCAGACAAAATCCTAAAATGATGCGCATAATTATGCGGGCGAAAACAGGCCATTATGCGGCAAATATGCGGGTTAATGCGGTCATTATCTGTCCCTCCAGGAACTTTCGATTCCGCGGCCGCGTTGTTTTCCGTGATTTGAACAAAAGTCCGCGATATCCACGATATTTCGAAAAGAAACCGCGATATTCGAGTCATTCTTCGATGTTGTTTACTTCTTCAAGCTCGTAAGTAGTTTACTTGTGAGATCGACACCAGAATGGAGAAGTTTCTGGGCTAATCAGCGGCTAACAAGTCACAAAATAAGGCTCGCGTCGAGTGTTATCCGAGGGTGGAGGAAAGCTGTCTTGCAAGCTCCTGTGACGTCAGGCAGTTGAACACAGTCGCAATTGAGTACAGCGCAGCTCACGTTCTGTTTTGTCATGCATGATTTATGCTGTACGACTCCTGCATCGTACCGCATTACAGTACAAGTACCAAAATCGGCCGCAATTTTACCACAATAATCCCGCAAATCGTGGCATTTTACCTCGCAACTTTTTCCGCGATATTTCCGAAATGTCTCCGCAAGTTTCTGGAGGGACAGCATTATGCACGAGTTATCTGTCACTGGTACAACTGAAGCGTGCAATCTCATGCAAGAATACAACTTTGTCGTACAAACTCATGAACCCATACGACTTTGTAGTACATTTTCAACAGCATGCACTATTTTCTTGTACATTCTCATGAATAACGCGGGATTTATGCGAAATCTCACGAAAACGCGGATGATAACCAATAACGCGGAAAATTCCGCGTCCGCGGAATCGCGGTATCCTGTGGGGACAGAAAACAGCTTTACTTTCTCCATCCTCGGACAACACTTGTCATAGTTGCTGTGCTCGTTCCTTAGCAGAAATATGCCGAGCCTTATTTTTGGACTTATCAGCCGCTGGTTTGCCCAGAAACGTCTCCATTCCGGTGTCGATCTCACAAGTAAGCTACTGACGAGCTTGAAGAACTAAACAACATCGAAGAAGACAAATATCTCTGGTGCTTTTCAAGTATCAAGGACAGTTCTCTACAATAACACGGATGATTTTTCCAATATGAAGGATATCGCGGACTTCAGTTGAAATCATGGAAAACAACGCGGCCGCGGAATCGCAAATTCCTGGAGGGACGGATGTACATGTACATGTATGTAACATTCTTGAGCTTGTTTGTTTTGGCTGCAGATCGCCAACCTTGAGAAGTACACTGGTATATATGCGGGGCTTGACCGGGAGGTGGATGCAGTGAAGTCGGCACTACAGAAGATCAGGAAAGCTGTTGCAACACAACCAGCCAGTGAGGAAGAGATCCCAAACCTCCCCGAGCTCTTCAAGCAATACCACTCTGAAGCTACAACAAAGCTAAACAAGAAAGACATCGACAGCCACCGGTGGAATGTGGAGTTTCGTCAAAAGGTATTCATTCCGTTTTTGGCAGCAGATTTCGTCTTTCCACGGCCATCGTTAATGGGCCGTGGAAGCCACAACCCGTGCTTGTACTGTTGCACTGCATTAACTTAGTGCACTCTGTCACATCAGTGTTGCCTTACCCCGGCGTCGAAAGTGAGGTGAACAATGATTTCCCCGCCGCATAGTTAGTTACACAGTCTGGTTTAGGTAGTCTTGCTGGCCCGTACTGGTGCAGATAGCGGTGTTTCCAGTCAACAGTTTACTAGTAGGCCGCATGCACAACATAGTGTGACGTGATGATCCCTTTCTTGCGCCTTTCTGGACGAAATGTGTGCTCAGTACACTCCGAAGTACCTGCAATGCCCATGGCATCCTACAAAATTGTACACACTTCATCCTTGTTTCATCACCTCTCTGCATTCCCATTCTGCTGTGCATGTTGTGATGTGCGTTTGTATTGTGGCCCGTGCATCGTGTGATGGTCGTGCTGCACTAGGTTTATGGAGGTGATGGCGAGGCACACGGAAAGGGCGTAGCTACTGGCGACGGCGCAGAGAACGATGAGGATCTGGTCATCTCGCAAGTGGAGGTATCAACGAACTGCCCAATCACGCAGAAGCCGTTTGTTGAACCCGTCCTGAATAAGGACTGCCGGCATACGTACACCAAGGAAGCCATCCTGAGTCATCTGCGCAAGAAGAACGGCCGCGTACGCTGCCCTGTGCTGGGTTGCGTAAAGGTAGTCACTGAAGCAGGGCTTGTACCGGATCATGCGCTGCAGGGCAAGTTGCGAAGACAAAAGAATGCCCTTCCAGCCAGAGGTAAGTAATGATGTACGTTCAATTCATCCCAGGGCCAGGGCAAACATTTTTTTTTATAAAGCAATGCTGGCCATATGCACAGCATATCGATAGGAACTTGTCCCACCGGTGTTATAACTTAGGCATTCCATCCCATTTTCAATGACGTCTGATCTGTTCTCCGTAGTATCGCCCGAGGGCAGTGCTGGCATTGACCCACCCATACACAGTCACAACTTTCCTTCTTTAAAAAAAATGAAACAAACATTTTGCATCCTCATAATAACACAGCTATTCTTTTGAGATAAACCATAAGACTTTTTTTGTGGCAAAAATGGTACCGTCTTGCTTTGCATTTGCGGTGATTAGGTGCTAAGACAGATTGTTACCAGTTCTTCGGTTTGTATGTACATTGTGCTACTTCTGTTAGTGGCTATAGTGCACAGCAGCAGCAGCTGTTGTGCGTGTGTGTGTAGTACTAATCCAGCATGTACGGCAGTGTCCTAAAGAGTGATATAAATGGCATACATTGACACATACCTACAAGACGGCGAACGGCTGTTTGTGCTTGATGGCGTGCAGTATATGCGAGACGGAACAAGACAAGTGAATGCTATGATATAACAATGGTAGTGCTGATTTGGTCTGGGTTATTGGTACGATTGGGTTGCTTCCTATGACTGAACTATGATTGGGGGTTGTTGGAACTAAGGTTGGAATAGAAGGTAAATGTACGCTAAAATAAGAAAGCACTAAAGATCAATTTGTAATGGGTATTAGAGCAAGACGTGTTATTGTATGTGATGTCCGGACAGGTGTCCGGGTTGTTTATGTGGCTGTGAGCGCCGTCAGCAAATAAATTATTGAAATGTGCCTAGACTAGCTTCTTTCATGTTGACGACGACGACCGCGTGGAGACCTACTCCTACCTACATGTAGATGATCCACAGTATGCTGGGCATGGTATGTTCTGTACATTGACAGGGCATTCCAGCAGGCTTACTTGTGCTTTACCAGGTTGTATATGCATGCGAATATCCGATCCACCTACACAGGAGTATAGTCAGATCAAAACAGATTTGAACTCTTTGACAAACTCAATTGACATGCCCAGCCCGAAACACTAAGAACGTTATAGTCTAGAAGTACAGTATTGGCCTCCTGCTGTTCTGGAATACAGCTGTTGTTATAGACACATTAGGGCCGATTTCCACCACGGTACCGTGAGTGTGTACCCATGGTGATTTGCTCACGCGAGGGGCAGTTTTGGCGTGAGTTCATCCCGTGGCTTGTGCCGTACCGGACCGCGGACATTCCGGTGCCGAGGGCCTCTGGGGGGGGGGGGGGGGGGGGGGGGTGGAAATGGCATGCCGTGGTATTCCGTGAGGTCGAATGCAGTGAGTAGTGGGTATTTTACTACTCCCTGATAGGAAGTTTTTTCATTCTTTTGTATTTGTGGTATGAAGTTTTTTCTTGGCTTTTGGTTTTTCGATTGGTTGATTTTTTGAGCTTTCTCCAGTCATCTCCCTCGCTATTTTCCCTCCAGACCAAAGTCAGAAATTGATAAAAATGGTGATCTGGCCTGCCGACGGAATGCACGGAACGACTGTGCGCAGGTGTAAATCACTCTCGGCTTCAAGCTCGTACCGTGGGGTCCACGTGACCCACCCAGATCGTTGGCAGACTCGGCACGGCACTCACGGTACCGTAGTGGAAATCGGCCCTAATGCTGTTAAAGTGTGTCTAAGAACGTGCAATAAGAACGTAGCCAGATTGCTGGAAAAATTAGAACGTCCAGTATGACCCCTTTCAAATGACGTTCTTGGGCATGTAGCGAGCATCGCGTTTGCATGTGAAATGTACATAGTAGGGAGGTTTAGTTCCCACGTAACGGAAACGCGTACGTGGGTGATCCACGTAAAGTGGATGAAGGGCACCCACGTTGCAATGTTGTGTTTAGTCACACGGAACAAACAAAAGCATGAAGCGAAAGGCCCAAACCTGGTCAAAGACGAAGCTATCCGGGCCTAAGAAGCTCATCCAATATTTTTGATTTTTTCGTTCTTCGGAAACTTCTTCAACTGAGCACAATGCGCTCCATTCTGATTTTCACCCACGTTCTGGCGGAACGTGAGTGAGCCTCCATACACGGTATGTCGTGAATCAGAAAACGTCTGTACGTGGGTCACTGAGTATCACGTGGTACACACACGTAAAGTACCCACGGATTACGTGGGACTAAACCTCCCTAGTGTAGTGATAACACCCGGGGCAACACGTGTGCTGCTGATGTACTTACTGGCTGAGGACCTTTCTCCAGAGAGCCATTGGTCATGCCGAGCCTGTCGAGTTTGACTGTGACCTCGTTCTTGCCTAGGCATGGCCACAGCTGGTACATGTTCTGCTTTACTTGCTGCAGCATGGCATGGCACATTAATAGCAAGCAACAGGGCATAGTATCATTACACACCGGCACCAATAGATTACCACAAGTCCTACCGTGTTTGCACTTATTTTTGGTAGATTTCAGTAGACTTTGGCCTTGGGAGCCACAGCCGATACAGATATCTAAGCTCAGCCGCCCTGGGGATAAAGGCAAGAGGCCATCAATATCAGGGAGCTATCTCCAGAAATGTGAGGTACCTACATGGCACGGTAGAATTACATTTTACATGAAATCTAAATGTAGGTGGAAGAGTATACAATTGAGAAAAATGTAAACTGGAGCTTACTAAAAGCTCTCATAACAGTAATCGTTCTTTTCAAGGCCAAGAACATTGCAGCGTTTCACAACTTGTCCGTTGCCTGAGACTGCGGCGCAATTGACGTTATATTTGACCTCAATTAGCACTCGTGGCAGGAGAGGGGTACTTCTATCTATTGCCTGCTCCTCTTACCTTCCATTCAAGCACACTAGTGCGTGCGTACAGTCGCTTAACCGCACACATCCGTTTCCCACAAAAATATCCGGATAGGCGAGGGAACCAGATAACCGAACACCGTTTATGTTGGATGCATCACATATTCTGTAAATATGTAACCAACTTTTTTCTTCCGGATGGCGAGGGATCCGGATAAAAGAGGACCGAATAAGCGAGGTCTGACTGTACTACCGGTATATATCAGACAAGAGTGGACACACACTAACAAGAAAGTTGAGAAAAGGTTGCCACTACTTGTAATACCACATAGTGAAGTCACTGCTTGTATCAAAGCAAGTAGAAGCTGCCTGTTTTGCTTCTCAAGGCACAGCATGAGCAGCAAACGTATATACATAATCCGTGGGCGTAATGGTAATATTATGCTTCCTTACCGGTTTCACCTCTTCCTTGTTGAGGCACACATCTGTTACTGTACTGTTTCCCACCCAAGCCAGACGCATTCCTGCACCATCTTGCTTCAAGCGGCCTCGCAGTAAGAAAAGGCGAATGTTCACGGCTGGGGCACAGTCAAGAAGCACAGACATTACAGGATTAGATTTGCGTGGATTCGCACCTTCTGGTCTAGTTTCTAATGAATAGCAGGTGATATCCGCTTGGGAAATTTTAGATGGACAGTGGAATTTTATGAACCGTCATCTTCCCCGCTGCGAGTGGGGAGTTTCCTGGCGTCCCTTGGGTAATGCTGTGAGCATACGTGTGGTGTAGATAGAACTTCTGCGATGGTCTCTTACAGAATGACTGCTTATGTTCGCACAACTTACGTGATGCGGTTTTCGTAAAGTCAAACACAAAGCGGTAGGCTGTGCTGTGTGGTGCGCCAAAGCTGTGAAAGCCGAGAAGAGCTGGCTGCTCGGGTGTGCCCTCCAGCTGCACCCGAGCAGATACGGCACTCAGTAGATATTCGGTCATTCTGTACAGAAAATAGAACAAGAGAAATAACCGTCTGCATTCTGACTTCACACAATGGATTTGGCTAGTGAAGTTGAGGCGAAAGACACCGCAGCTTGTGCACCGCAAAGTATGGTCAGACTTGGAGTACGATCAGTAAATTCCAAGGCAGGGATTGAGTTTCATTGGTGCCACGCATGGACTACATACGGTACTTTGCCGTCATAGCACACATGAGGCATTCTTCCCTCTCTACCCAAGGAACTTCACAGTGTGGCCTGAACACACATCCGCACTTGCACCCACATTTTCACACACACACACACACACACAAACACACGCATGTATGTACAGTTGTGCTCGACGGAATCCGAACTAAAGTGCTTTTTTACACCCTCAACTTGCACGGCCCTTGTTGCCCTCGAAGTAGGACGAATGCGACTGGACGTTCACATGTGCAAGTACAGTGATTTAATCGGAACTGGTCCAGGGTGTCAGTTGTGCACTTTGGGTCGGATTTCAGTGAGCGCAACTGTACACGTACCAAATAGCTCCTGCCCATATACTCACCGACTACTGTGCTTCTTTATCCTAGCTTCAAGTGATGGCGAGGAGGCGCGCACATGATCCATTGCTGTCATGTCTCTTGCATCCGTCACAGAGAGATCGGAGGATGAGCGAAGCAAAACGTCTACCACTTTCATATGGTCTCGCTTGCACGCCTTCGAAACCCACATAAACAAAGACACCAAGTTACAGATGAGGCTACTGATCGTTAGGATTATTCGACCAAATCGGATGTCTCAGAGCGAGAGAGAGAGAGAGGGGGGGGGGGGGGGGGGGGGAGAGTGCATGTAAGAGAGTAAGCAAATGAGAAAACGTGAGAAAGAACCATGCCCAATTTATCCCAGACTGGACGCATCAGTTGCGCACAGGGCATGACATGTGTTAGCACAAACCAAGAGGCAGTAGCAGTTGAACTCACCATAATCAGTGCTGATTCCTGCGTTGCCAGTGACTGCGCATCCAGCTGAGCACCAGCACGTACGAGCCGCATACAAATCGAATGGCGGTTCTGTGGCAGGAAAGCAGGCAAGGGATGAGATGACAGGCACAGTCTTCAGAATGCAGGGAAGTACAGTCAACTTCGCTAATAACGACTGCGGATATAACGACAAGACGTGAATAACGACAGAATTGTCCATGCCCAGAGCAAAGTTCCATCCAACTGTAATACATATAATGCGACTTCGGGTATAAGGACACTTCGCGAATAAGGACACTTTTCTGATGCCCTGCCGAGTGTCGATATACGCAAAGTTGACTGTAAGTACTGTTGCGGACATAAGTCCATTGAGAAGTCAATCGGATAGTGGCGCTGGCCGTGCAGCCGTGAGCACTGATTGTCCATTTTCACAGTGTTACAGTGTGTGTACTAGCACTCGCTAAGCAAGTAAGGACACTGGCTCCAGTCATTTCACCGGACTTGTATGTCCACAACAGTACTTTGAACATCTGCGTTCTAAACGAATACATTCCACTGCATAGTACATAACATCAGAGCAAGAGGTTGGAACGTTGCCATACACCGGCTTTTGTCTTCGATAAAAAAAAAAAAAGTAAATTATCGTATCCGTTCCCGAAGGGAACTCACGACGGCCGCTAACACCCGATAAACCCTAGCGGCAGATGCAGCGCCTAACGGTGGGGGTGAGTGGGTAAGTCTCACAACCACTGGCACAAGTGCCGAAAGCGACCCCATTAGCTGCATCCATGTACCCCTTGTGCCTGGCCACAAGTTCCCAGTTGACTGTGGGTAGCAGCACGGCTGGAAAAACCGCTCTTCGATACAGTCATTACAAATGCAATGCAGAGTGGTTTGGGAGAGAGTACTGGCAAGAAGAGGAGCTAAGAAACAGTCAGCACTATATATTTTTTAAATCGTGGATCACATCAAGGAACCACCTGCAATAGCAGTATAAACTGAACCCACCCCACTTAATGCGTCGATTCGGGCAGGATTTTGAAACCGGCCCCCTGTACGTTGCAGTACATCGGAAATGTGTCTACTACACCAATGCTGTCTTTCTTACCCGCTGCGCTGCGATCATTAGTGGCGTCTCCCCGTTGTGCGGCTGCATGTTGATGTCGCCCCCTACCTCCTCCAGAAGGAACTGGACCACTTCCTCTTGGCCATACTGGACGGCCGTAATCAGTAACGTGGCCCCTTTGCTGTCGACAATGTGGTTGAGGTTGACCTTGTGCAGGGCAGCCGCACGAAGAACGCTGACATTGCCTTCCATTGTAGCAGTTGCCAGTGCATCTGTTGCAAAGAACAAAACAGTAACAAATGAGTGAGAAGAGAATTAGCGAGAGACTGTACTTTCGGTGGCCCTACAGCACTACATACGGCAGGAGAATGTAAACTGCAGGAATACCAGCAGGCCGTAAGTGACACTACCATAAAACCTACATGTACGAATGTTCTGTGTATGACAGCAAATCTCCACACATAACACCAAGATCATTCTTACCAGGAGCCATGTCAACCACCGCTGACTTATTCTGTAGTGGAACATGCAGCAAGAGAAGATCAGAAAAGCAAACATAGTATGCTGCAATCCATCATATAGCCTTCTTATGTCATACAGGAAAGAAATGTGTACTGCTCAGGGCATGCTCACACTACGACAAGAGGCTCGCGTCCAAGCGACAGCATCACTCAGAAACGTGATGACTGTGCTCACACAAGGTCTAAAAGTGCCGAGAGATGTTGCGTTTTCAAATTTCTTTCCTGACGTTCAAAAAATGTGTGCATTTCAAGTTCAAATTAGAGAGGTTCCGCATAACGTAATTACGTTAGTAAAAAACGTAGTCGATCTACGGAAAGTCTTACGTAAACTGCATGCGCATCTGTGTTCCGCCATACGGAGTTTTCAAATCACGTAGCTGCCCTTGGCAACTCCGAACGCGGCAGTGCACAACCAGATCGACCTGGGGAGAGAGTCATAAATTTGTACCCCAATCCACTTGCGGACCAGATACGTTATCAGAGCCCTCTCTACGTACTCTACGTAGACAACTGTCCGTAAGTGGAGTGCAAACTCGCGAATTCACGGGTTTTCCCCGCCCACTAACGTAACGTTGCTCAACTTTACGTAGTGCGGAACCTCTCTATTGAGTGAGCTTTACAGGCAGCGAGCACTCCTATTTTCATGAACGGCCATGTCGAAAGCTCGAATCTCCAACATTGACAGATGGCTAAATTGTTCTTTTTCACAGACTCGACGTCCAAAGCTGTGCCCCCCCCCCCTCTCTCTCTAGAGGCTGCAGTAAAGTTTCGAAATGTAACTGCAACGTTAGGATCATGTACATTCCGCAGCCATGCAACTTGGCCGCTTGAGTGGATGGCCACAGGTGTGGACACAGTGTGAACATGCCCTTATTCTACCGCTCCAGCACAAGGGAAATATCAATGTGACAGTTATGCCTGGGGAATAACCGCTACACACACACACACACACACACACACACACACACACACACACACACACACACACACACACACACACACACACACACACACACACACACACACAACCTTGACTCTCACAGTTGTAAGACCTCCTATGAGGCAGCTGTTGGCAAAGGTCAAAATCACACACATGGACGCATGCATTCACATTTCTGAAGCTCAACACTATAATAACTGACCTGGGACGATGCCATAATCTCGCTGTCTTCATACTCATCAAAATCAAAATCTGCATTATCATTTTCTTTATCTGCATGGATAGCTGTGCCAAATGGCAAATCCAAGCCCTGGACAACAGAAAAAGACATCATGTGAGTCATTACAGGGGTTGCACATAACAACGTTTTGTAACATTCCACAAACTTTGACACAGACAGGCGATGACAAAAAAAGATTACGAAAGTGGTGTATGTTGTAACGTCTAAATGCTACAGATGTTCGATGTGCGCTACCTCTCTCCACATTGATTGCATGGTTCAACTGTCTGGACATTTGCAACGCAATGAAGGGTAATTACATGTAACTTGGAATCAAAAGGCAGATTGTAGACGGTTGCATCTAAATGTACGCTCATGAAGTAGGTCAACTTGTGTCACTCCCCGGGAATTCCTCCAGCAGGGGCACTTGGAAACACATGTACTAAAGAGTATTAGTATATAGACAGTTAGTGGTGGCAGTATCTTTGGAGGCAGGGATTCCTTTTGTACCCTGTGGCCAATACATGTACAACCCGAAATGCTTTAACCCTTTACCTTCTGTGTGTACATGAATCGACCGAATTTGGTCGATGGACATGCATGCACTAAAACCTGCGTAACTCAATCAATTCCTGACGGAATCTCAAAAACTAAATATGCAGGAAGAAGCCAAAGAGCCTAGCTTTGAATTGCAACTATCGGCAAAGAGCTGCAATGCCGCAATTCAAAGATATCGCGCTCGACATTTCAGCCACGGCAAAAGTCGATTTTTTTCTGAGTGACTGGCCTTGAGCTGGGGATTTCCCCTCTCCTGACATGCTGAGTCACCTGGGCATGTTTTGAGCGCGTGGGCAGCATAAAAAGAAACTCAAGGAAACAAATTTGAAATGTTTACGATGAAGGAGTGAGAAATGGCTGACGAGGAGAGGATTTTCTCGGATACCCAGCGGTGGGGAATATTTGAAGCACCCTGGCGTTGGATATGTGATCTCAGTAGTGTCCAGTTTGAGCTCATTGTACGCAGCTCGTGGAGAGTTTTCCAGAATGCCCAAGATTGTGAAAATTGGTTGATTAGAACCAAAGATATTCTCAAAATGAGGTGAGAAATATCGCATTTGGAACTGCCTGGGAATTTTGGTCAGAAGGTAAAGGGTTAAGTGGCATTGTCTTACCTCGCTACTGCTACCAGCATCAGAGACCACGTCTTCTGCCTTCTTGATTTGAGTAGGCTTGCCATTCTGCTCTGTCTTCCGTGACTTCGAAGATGATGGCGCATTGCTTGCGGGCAGCTTCAGACACGGCGATACTGTAGCCTTTTTCTTCTTCTTCTCCGGGTGGTCCAGAGCCTCGATATTCTTATTAATGGTTTCCTCGCGTTCCAGCAGTTTCACACCAACCAGTGAGTTGACCCAGTTCTCTGTAAAAGTATCAGATCCAGAGGAGTTCGGCTGCCGCAAGCTGCCTAGCTGCTGGACAGCATCCACCGTCAAGTATGCTTGCGTTTGCTCGGCAGAGCTTGTCGGTGCCTTCCACAGAGGTGGGGTTGAGTTTGTGGCCTGAAAGACCTCCACAACACCAGGTGTACGAGCTGTAGGGTGATTGGAAGCTGGCGTAATGACGCAGGATTTTTTCCCAGGTGTGGCATGGCCAGCTGGCACATCGGCTACCGCTTGACAGCTAGGTCCTACTCTCTTGAGCATCGCCATATCGTTCTTTGCCTTTGCTTCAATAGCACCGCAGGATTTGCTTCCATTAGCAGCAACTGCTCGATCATCAGTCCCAGGACCAGCAGACATAATATCATCCACGGGGGACTTGCTGCAACCATTGGGTGATATTTGTAAGTGGTCAGTATTTGATGAAACTTGCTGGTTGCCACCCTTGGGTGACACTCGTTGAGTGCAACTATTGGGTAACCCTTGATGGTTGTCACTATTCGGTGACACTTCTGACCTGACATTATGGGGTTGCACTTGCTCAGGTGTTACCTGATTCTCTTCATCAGTATTCATGTTCTCCTCCTTGCACTGTGGCTGTGCCATTTCCTCATGAAGTCTTGGCCCTGTTTCCACCCCACTATCCTGTTCCGGATCTGCTGCTCCCTTGACAACCGGTTTGACCTCCTTCTCATCGATGCCGTTGGCGTTTACCAGTGGGACGTCACTGCTGTTGGCTGGCTGTGATTGAGAAATGGCATTGGGTGTATGACCGGTATTCTGTGTATTTCGTCGGACACTGGTTGTTTCCACCTTGGTATCATCAGTAGGTGTTTTAGCATGGCAACCAGTTGAAAAGCCATTCGACTGGTCAGGAGGTGCACTGCTAGCATGGGCCATTGGCTTGCTACTATCGGAATTGCTCTTCACCGGAGTGGTTTGCGACGGCGGAGTCTTGCCAGGGTTTACTGCAGCGGAAAGACCAACAGAAGTAGAGACGTCCATCTGGTTTTCCAACTGTGTGCCGTCAAGCATGCCTGATGACTTTGCTGCTTGCTGGGGTGAATGTGATGGAGTTGGCATGGATGATGAAGGTGACATATTCTTTCTCGTCTTCTCTACAGCCATGAGGTTAGCAGTAGAAGCAGCCCCGGCAGGTTTCCTACCTCTAATCTTGGCCTTGTCAACTTTGTCTGCAGTATTGGCGGGCTGCTTAGAAGGGACAGGTGAGGTTTTGACTGAAGATGCATTGTTGTCGCCTCTAGCACTAGCGCCGCCTGTGCAATCACCACCCTGTTCATAACAGTTAGGTGATGGTGCGGAGATCACAGATACATGTGTGTGCACATACCAACGCGCACGCACGCACACACATACACACACACACACACACACACACCACCACACACATACACAAACAAACTCGCACAAAAACACACACACAAACACACAAGGCGTTAATTCAAAGATTCACAGGAGTGTAGTGAGCGGCCATGGCTGGATGGGTTTTCCTGAACTTGATCCCCTTGCCGCACATCCAAAACTGGGGTATTTTGGAGACATTGTTGAATCCGTACATTACTTGAGAAGAAGTTGGGAGGCTTCCTGCAGTTTCATAGTAAGTCCAATTGGGTGAACCCACCCATTCCAAAATACTTTTCATACATCACTTGATGGACTAATATTGAATTTAGAACAATTCGCTAGTAAAATCAGCACGAACGCACACCTATGTGTTTGCATGATTGTACCCACACGTTCTCATTGTCAACACCTGTATGCCATACACATTCAGTGATGACAGATCAGAAGCCCTTGCATGGCACATTGCATCATGGACACAATGGGATCCTTACCTGTGGCGCTGGGCTGGGATGACGAGGACGCTTGGGGTGAGGCGAGTGAACAGGTGATGACTGTCCGCTCTGTGACGGATACAGGGCGTATCAAGACAACAAATACACAAGCAAAGAATGTCAAAGAACATGGTTGTGTTCCTGTGTGAACCCTTAATGATAGCTTGCATGCTGTCCTACCGGTAGGACCACGGGCCCTACCGGTAGGACCCAAGAAATCGCGCTGCAAAAGTGCTTTTGGTTGAGAAATTTCTTGAAACAATTGTTGAGATGAGGTCTTTGTCAGGCAAAGTAATGGCGCAAAATGCAAGGCTATGTCCAGTGCATTGCATACGCGCAATTTTATCAATTGTCAAAATGGCCGCATATACTCCTGTCGGAGCGCTAGCAACTCTGTCCAAAGTGAACTTTGACGATGGCACATCAATCGTGGTGAGGTACTAATGTTTTTATTAGTCTGCCAAGGCGGTAGAATGCATAATTCCATACACCGTTTTCATGGTTACCATGGGCTGTTACCATGGAATTTCGTAGTATGCCTTGTGCGATCACGTCTAAAATTTGTGTACTCCTTTATTAGCCCCTGAGCAACAGTTTAGGGTCAGGTTTTAGGTCAATGTTAGAACAGAGGCCATGCAGCATGTCTGTGTGTGATGGTCCTACCGGTAGGACCAAGGTCTATGCAAGCTATCATTAAAATAGTGCTGCGTGCAAATCCTAGTCATGCATGACCCTTGGCAGAATACACTGTGGTGCTGTGGATGGCCAAGCCAAGCATGGCATTATGCACATGTGGCACCAATACTTCTGGTATACAAGCTGAAGTTAGGCATATGGATACATGTATTTTTTTTAAAGAAAGGTTTCCCTTCACAAGTTCGCATGAGACCGAATTCAATGCCACAAGTGTGTGCATGAACATCATGAGCAGGGCATCGGATAATGCTAGCATTATATCTAGCATATTTAGCACTTTCTGGAAACTAGCATTGCGCTAGCATAATCCAGCAAGTTTTTTGCAGAAAACTAGCATCTTCTTGCGAAATATGGAATTTATGTAGAAAGGAAAAGGACATAATGGTATGCGCCTCCGTACAACAACTGCTATCAGAAACAAGCAAGGAGAGATCTGTGATACGGCTGAGGCCACGGGTGGAAGGTGGCGTGAACATTTCGATGGCCTCCTGAACATCGCCAGTGCTTACGACTTGGACGTAGTGGACTCGATCGAGCAGCGGCCGGTTACGACGGAGCTTGGTGTCGTGCCTGAGTATGATGAGATTTGGCGTGCATTGCGAGGGATGAAGTGTGGCAAAGCATGCGGCGGATCCGAGATATCTGTAGAGATGCTGAAGTACGGCGGCCCTACCCTGATTGCGAAGTTGCATGAACCGATACAGGTGGTTTGGGAGACTGGCAGAGTTCCACTGGATTGGCCTGATGCTATCCTCGTCCCCATCCCCAAGAAGGGTGGCCTGGGGTCTTGCGACAACTGGTGTGGGATATCGTTACTGGATGTGGCTGGAAAGCTAGTTGCTCGCCTGATTGCCAATCGTCTGCAGGTTCTCGGAGAAAGGTGCATGCTTGACTCGCAGTGTGGTTTCCGCAGGGGCCGTGGTTGTTCAGATATGGTGTTTGCTGTGCGGCAAATCCTGGAAAAGTTGCACGAACATGCCACGAAAGGTTTCGCTGTATTCATCGATCTCAGGAAGGCGTACGACTCTGTTCCGCGGAGCGCTATGTGGAGAGTGTTGGCTAGACTTGGCGTCCCCGGGAATCTGATCACTATCATCAGTTCCTTCCGTAGCGACATGACTGCCAGTATCCGTGTGGGTGGAGACCTGCTTGCACCGATTTTGGGTTGAGAACGGCTTGTGGTAGAGTTGCACTATGGCCCCAGTTGTATTTAATCTTTACATGTGTGCAGTCTTTGAGAGATGGCGTGGCGTGATTGCTGATGATGGTGAGCTGAGGATCCTACTCGTCCAGTTTCGGAGAGAGCGGCTTTTCAACAGCAGATTGGCAGAGTATCGCAGAATTTGGCTGATGGAGTGTCAGTTTCCAGATGATTCGGCCCTGCTCGCAGTTACGCATGCTGGTGCTGAGAGGGCTCTATCCTCGTTCAGGGATGTAGCTGATGCGTTTGGCCTTAGTGTCCATATGTCCAAGACCAAATTCATGGCGGCTGGGGCTGGTATTGTGGATGCTGACCAGACCCCTTTGGGTGGTGTTGTTGACCACGTTGTGGCCTTTCGCTATCTCAGTTGCCATGTTACGCCAGACGCCCGGAGCTCGTTTGATGTGTCTCGGCGAGTTGCTGCTGCATCAGGTGCGTTCTGTACGCTGTGGCAGTCGGTTTTCGGCAGTGATGACTTTAGCATCGCCATTAAGCACATTGTCTACGGAGTGTCCTGGCTGTCCTTCTTTATGGCTCTGAGAGTTGGACCGTTAGGCAGCGTGATGTCCGTCGCCTGGAGTCCTTTCATCGGCAGTGCGTACGTTCCATCCTGGAGGTCAATCGTGGCCGGCAGATAGAGGAGCACATCTCCTCTCTCCAGGTGCGCAAGATGTGGGCCGATATGGAGGAAATCGCGGATAAAGTCAGAGTCCGCCGACTTCGATGGCTTGGCCACGTGTCCAGTGTTGCCACATCATTCTAGCCAAATATCAGTAGCATGAAAAATAACATGCATCATCCGGGGGCTTTTGCCCCCGGACCCCCCCCCCCCCTGTATAGCGACCACATGCGGCACTGATAAGAAAAAAACATTTCACGGTTTTGCGTGACACTCAGGCTGAGTTTGCCGATTTTTCCCCGAGACGGATGATTTCGCTTAGCGCCTCAGGAGAGAGCTATGGAAACACTCGTGATGCGCAGTAAAAGTCAAAAATTTGGACCATGACTCCTAAACCATGCACAAGGTCAAACTTGAACACTTTCATGGCTGTTGTCGGCAGGAGAAGGTCAATTGTCGGCAGGTCGCGACATGCCTCAAAAATCGGCAGGCTACTGACATGTCGGCAGGTGTGGCAACACAGCGTGTCCCGCATGCAGGGTCGAATCCCTCGCCAGCTGCTGTACGGCGCGTTACCGTCCAAACGTCCACCGCATGGACCCCGTAAGCGCTGGAAGGACTCCGCAAAGTGCAACTTGATCACTGTTGGCGTTCCTTTGGAGCAGCTTGGTGACATCGTCCAAGATCGACAGGGATGGCGGGTTACCTGCCGTGACACTGTCGACGCTATTGTCCAGTCCCGCATGGAGCCTGTGGCGAAGCCCCTCATCTGTGGCACTTGTGCGCGCAGTTTTTATCGGCCACAGGATATTGCGAGGCACAAATGTAACGCTGTTCGCGAAGCCCACGCGCGCTGAGTCTGGCGTTCCCCGCCCTGTGTACAACACGTCTCCTGGTCTGCCCCTTATGGGGCCACATAGCCAGTCATGGCAGTGGAAGAAGGAAGGTGTGTGTGTGTGTGTGTGTGTGTGTGTGTGAGAGAGAGAGAGAGAGAGAGAGAGAGAGAGAGAGAGGGAGAGAGAGAGAGAGAGCCGCTAACTAGTGTGTATGTACAAGTACATGCATGTGTGCACCGGGGAGGTGCGAAGGGCGTGACCGTTTGCACGAAAGCATTGGATGAGCGGCTGTCTCTGGAAGTGTTGTTTGTAGGGCTCAAACGGTCACGGTTTTACCCCTAACGGTTAACTGCTAAGCTAACGGTCGGTTTAATGGTTATGACCTATAAGCCACAGCAATCCTGCGGACTCTTTTTAAACCGTATATTTGACTATACTCATTCAAAAAATGTACCCTATTCAGTACAACGCACACATGTACATTCTCTTGCATGCTCATTCATACATATTCTCACACCAAGAGACCAGATATGACCGAGTTGACAGCCCAGAAATTGCGTACGCGTGCGACAGCCTGCGAAAGTGTATACTTTGCAACGACCTGATACTTTAAAAAAAATTCACCAGTTGTAGTCTTCGGGGTGCTGAGTCCAATGGTCTTGGTCCGAGGAAGCTGAGACGCTCCCTTCCTCCTTTATTCCCAATCGAACTCGCGCACTTCCACCGAAACTGGGTGACTGCGCCCTACTAGATGGGGATTTGTATGCAAAATGTCACTAAAAGCCCCATTTCGTTCTTATAAAAGCACGGATGACCGCCATTGGCCGATATGTTGTAGTCTTTTGGACGCTGAGTCGACTGGTTTTGATCCGAAAAGGCGGCGATGCAGCGTTCCTCCTTTATTCCCAATCGAACATGGTTGAACAAGCGGTCACATGCTCCTGCGTACACAAGTCACCTGGTCACCGTGCCTGCAGGGTACAACTTACTAGCCTGTTTGACCTTTTTTGGGTGCAGTCCTGTCACTCGAGTTGAACCTTGGTGTGAAAGTTGTCGCCTGCTGGCGCGGTGACCAGGTGATTTGAGCACCCAGGAGCACGTGACCGCTTGTTCAACCATGTTCGATTGGGAATAAAGGAGGAACGCTGCATCGCAGCCTTTTCGGACCAGAACCAGTCAACTCAGCGTCCAAAAGACTACAACATATGGGCCAATCGCGGTCATCCGTGCTTTTATAAGAACGACATAGCACTTTTAATGAGATTTTGCATACAAATCCCTATCTAGTAGGGAGCGTCGCAGCTTCCTCGGACCAAGACCATTCGACTCAGCACCCAGAAGACTACAACTGGTGAAAATTTGATTTTAGGGTATACTTCCCCTTTAACCGTTAATTCTTCGTAACCGGTCTGCAACCGGTTAATCGGACTAACCGTTTGAGCCCTAGTTGTTTGTGCCTGGAATCGGTCTTCAATGATTGTTCCTTTTGCATACTTTGTGTAGTTACTGTGGTTTGCTAGGTGGTCCAGGACTACATCAGTACATGTATAGGACAACGCTTCTGTGCAATGTGAATGCAAGCTGTAGGACTTGCAACAAAAAGGAAAGAAAGCTAGCACTCAACAAGTCAGTAACGTTCACCTTGGCCGGTTCTGTGTCCTTTGCACGCTTTCGCTTAACTCCAGCAATAGGCTTGTGTTCCTGCCCAGAAAGAAGTGATTTGAAGTCGGAGTTCGACCGTGCATATTCTTCGACCAACTCGTGACACCCAGACAAATTCTTCAGAGGCTCCCAGGAGTTTTCTTCTTCTCCATAGCCCTTCCATCTGACATACAGCTTCACCGAACGTCCCTAAACACACCAGGCCATACGAACAGTAATTACTTCACTCTGCGGGGTTCAAGAACTCTCGGTGAGAAAGTCAACTTACCTTTTTCCGATGTTCAATTATTTTTTCAACTTCGTAAACTTCAGACTCCGAACTCTCGTCCATTTATTCGGCGATACTGCTTTCTTCACTACGAAATATAGAGCACCTTGGTGCTATGATTCATGAGCGGATCGACTGGACTTGACATACATGAAAACTGAGCCAAAGAGGAAGCCTGGAAGAGAGGGAGGATGATCAGCTCAATCTGAGGGGAACAATTTTTGTTTTTTCAAACAACGAACTTCCAAGCCGAGAATCACGTTCAACATCCGCTACATAACGAAAGGTCACACTCACAGGTTCCTTGCACGGTACGAGTCCAGCTAGCATCACTACGACAGTAGATTACATAGATCTACGATTGCTCGTAGAGAATTAAGAAGGGCGTTGTCCCGGGTCAATCGATGAACTCCGCGAATCTTGGATCTTGCGATATGCATGCGCATATAATGCAGTCAGCAGTGATCAGTGTACGAGTACCGTAAAGTACCGCCAGAGCGCCCCGTCTCGCGAGAGTTGATGATATGATGTTGATGTTACAGCCAGAGAAAGGAAAATCGTATGACAGAGTGCAACGAATTGTGTACGATGTGAGAATCTTAGTGTACTAAGGTCACACTTGGCAGGTTTTTGTGTGGAGCTTGTGTCCTCTTGAAGGTACAGATTGACTGCAAAACGTGCAATATGTGTACAAGGTTCATGTCGTATGACCTACAGACAGCAGACCACCTCCACAATACGACCACGAAAGGATGAGATCAGGGAGTAGTACAATACCGGTATTGTACTACTACTCCCTGGATGAGATGGTGATGGTGGGATCGTACATTACAGTCTCCAATAGACACCCTTAGCAAACAACGGTAACGCTATTTTTTACGGTACTCGTACCTTGATCACCCAAATACCGTTGAAGCTGCAGCGTATAAACGTTATGGGGGCTGATTTATCGTTGTGACCAACGGTACGTGTTTTGGCCAAATATTGCATAGTCCGTACGCATTTCACCTTGTATCGCGTATATGGTGACAAAAATGGTTGTACCGCGCGAAATCAAAGCTACTCTCGTGGCAACAGCGTACTAAAAAAAGCGTGCATCTTGCTAAAGGTCGAACCCAAATCACGGTATTTTCCCCCTTACGATAATACCGTTACAACATAACGTTTGTTGCTAAGGGTGTCTATTAACTCATTACTGTACCGTAAAGTACCGCCAGAGCGCCCCATGTACGAGCTCATGTACGTCATGAGTTGTGTGGGCTATGCGGCCAACGCGGCGGAGTGCTAGTGACCAGCGTCTGCACTGAAAAAATTCGAAAGGCAACTCGAGCAGCTCAGCTGGATTCTGTTTGGCTGTTGAATGAGATGTCTTGTGCTAGTGGTGGGATGGCTCGAGTCATGCAGACCAGGGCCTAGGCCAGGGATGACTGTTTAGTGGTGGCCGCATCGTGTGTTGTAATCCTCGATTGGCGACGTGGAAGTGAGTGGCCTGGCCGCGGGATCCATTATGGAGAAGTATGCAGTGCCCACGGAAGACCAAGGCCAGGAGTCCAGTGACTCAATGGATGAAGAGCAACTCTCCATTGCATCTGAAGCCCCTGAGCCAGAGGTGAACCAGAAGCATCATCGAGTCATGGAGCCAAAAAAAATCAGTAGCAAATCTATTGCACCTCTCAATATCAAGGCCCCTAAAGGACGGGTTTCGTTCAGGAAGAACGCTGATGGAACCGACCCGCTGGGGGAGCGTCGCAACAATTGGCGGAGGTGTAAAGTTGAGATCAAAACGCTGGAAGGAAGCTTCTCTGTGCCTATGTGGGCTCCACGTAAGTTGTGTTCTCTGCTGTATAGCCAATGCTACTGGCAGCTTGGTTTTTCTCTCTGGCTTTCGTGAAATTAGCTGTAATGATATTTGCCTTCGATGATTTTAGTTTCTTTATCTCCCATGAGAATTTCAACACTGAGAATTATTTCACGCCGTTTGCCTTTTCGCTCTGCACTGAAAGTTTGTTCGGTGTCCCTGGCATCGATAGTACATGTACTATGGACAAAAAAAATACTACAAAATGGTGCTGAAAGACTGAGTAACATGTCAGTTAACAGTGTTGGCTCATGAACTGTGTGACCTGCCCGTGGTCTCGGAGTTTTTGTATTCAATCAAAAATCTAATACTGTACTCAGTAGTAATACTATTATAATTTCGTAAAGCTCCCTCCATTAATTAAATTATTTTACGAAATTTAAAACGCTAAAAAATGTTCCGTTCATTGTGCAGTACTGTATGTATGTACGTAGTAGCTCGCGATCGACGGCATTAATTTTATGAAAGTTAGATGATGGCGAAATGTTCTTTTTCTCAGTTCACGAATGTTATTCACTTATGAAATTTTAAAAAACTGATTTACAGTAAAGGCCGATTCACAATACAACTTCTTGCGACGCGACATGCGACACCTGCGACAGCAACACACGGTTCACAATCTTTTTCATGTTTGCGACGTCCTTATGCACTAGTAGTACTATGCACCTGCACTGAACGTGCATTGCACGTCCACCCAGGGTAGAAACTGTACTCCATTTGTGTATGTCGCGCGTCGCATGTCGCAAAAGTTGAACTTTCTTCAACTTCTGAGACAGGTGCCTTGCGACAGCGCGCGACAGGCAGTTTCTTGTCGCAACAGTCGCAAATCGCGTGTCGCGTCGCAGAAAGTTGTATTGTGAATCACCCTTTAAAATTACCCATGACTGAAGGAGTTGCAAACGGGAACAGTCTGAAGGAAAAAAAGTAAATATTTATTGATATTAACTGGATAACCGCAATCAATAAAACTAGCTGAACCGACATTTGTGTACTTTATTCATGCAATGTAAAAAGTATTGTCTCCTCGCCGTGTGTTTAGATATTAACTGGTTTGAGGGAAAGAGACAAATTTATTGATAGCAATGAATAATATTAGTTCTGCGGTCATGCCACACGACAAAGAAGTCTCAAAAGAGGTTTAGCCAAAATCGATTTTCTTGTCACTCTCATCAGTGGATTTTCGTGACTGAAGAATAATAATGTACAGCAGAGCAATAAATGATTATTCCCGTAGCTATGCAGAAGACGTTACTTCAGTAACGTCTGGCGCTAGCCAGGGTCCACACAGCTTTAATTTGGTATTTGTGTGTTTGTTTGTTTGTTTGTGTCACGCCTGGCGCTATCCCGTATCTGACGGCAAAAAAATCATAGGGATGTTATAAATTTGTCAATTCTCCTATTTTTTTCAGGCATATCCTGGGATTCGAACCCGCACTATCGCCCTACATGCATTCCCACATACACTTCGCATTCATACCCATTCTTCCAAGTTGCTTCACGTTATGATCTAGCGTTTGAAAGCCCTATTTGAATATTGCGGGCAGCTGTATGTGGCCAGCTGTGTTTGATGGTACGGTACGGGAGACGGGGTATCCCGACATATCACCGAACGACAGTTCACCGAGCGACAGTTCACCGACCGACAGCTCACCGAACGACAGCTCACCGAATACCCAGTTCACAGAATGCCCATTTCACCGAATGCACAACTCACAGAATGACAGTTCACCGAGCGGCCAATTCGCCGAACAGACATTTCACCGAAAGAAAGAAAAAACAAAGAAGGACGGAGAGAATTTTGGATTTTTAAATATATTTCAAGGATTCCCCAGAGGCCACTAAGCCTATCGAGGAGGTCTCCATTTGTCTACAGAGGTGAGCAGATCAATGAAGAACAATAGACAAGCAGCGAAAATGTTGCAATCACTCCACAACGTTGAAGAATTTTGAATTTTTGACAATAGAAGGCTGGTTGATATACAGTCAGACCTCGCTACCACAGAGCTTTTATCGGATTTCATTGACCATGTAATGTTTACACGTTTGTGTAATGTTTACTAGGGTTGAAACGATTATACCAAAAAGCGATGGATCTAGCTAATCATTACGGTTTTGATTGTCTCATATTTTTCACCCAAACGTACTAAAATGAACCCTTACTGTTGATGTTTCAACCAGCTAACACAGTGTTTTACTCTTACCAGTGGTGATGATTGGAATAAGGGATTGATTCAGTAAAAACTTGCTGCTTTTCAGAGCTATTCTTCCACCTTTGTAATTTTTGTGCTTGCCAGTTCGCTCATTTTGGTCACAACTTAACCGTGGAAATGTAGTAATTTTTGCACGCAAACCCGACACATGCACTTAGTGGTTATGCGACGTCTGACTGTACATGTACTACATTTGCCACATAACGTGCAACCAGCGCCAGTAGTGGCAGTACGTCAGTGCCAGCATTTCAGCCCTGCGAAACTCAGCGCCGGTGAAGTAGTTAGCCTGACTACGAACCAGTCATTACAATTTACAGTAGAATTTCGGTGAGCTGTCTTGTCGGTGATATAGCCATTCGGTGAAATGTCTTTCTGTGAAGTGTCTTTCGGTGAATTGTCCAGTCGGTGGATTGTCCATTCGATGATTTGTCTTTCGGTGAAGTGTCTTTCGGTGAATTGTCATTCGGTGAATGGTCGGTAAACCGGGAGACGGTGTCGTATTACCCTCGATCGTACCTGTCCCGTACCTATCCCTACCGTACCATCAAAGACGGCTGGCCACAATGCATATTCAAATAGGGCTTTCAAATGCAAGATCATAACGTGAAGCAACTTGGAAGAATTAGTATGTATGCGAAGTGTATCGGGGGATGCCTGCAGGGCGCGATAGTGCGGGTTCGAATCCCAGGTTATGTCTTAAAAAAAAGGAATTTTTTAAAGAATTTATAACATCCCTATGCTTTTTTTTGTCTAGGTCATCAAGGCAAAAAAGCATAGCGTAGGGCCCTGAGCTTCCAAGCTCTCTCGTTGGAGTGATACAATTATACAAAAAGTGCTCAAAAATGAGCGAGAACAACGAGGTGAGATAATAGTTATGAGCCATATACATTTTAACACAAAATGAACAGTGTGTGAACTTACGAATATAACTTGAGTTCTGCTACTTTTTTGTCACACTCTAAGTGTTTAGAAGTATTATTATGATGGTTTGTGTTTCACTGTACTTTGTCACGCACGATATGCTCGACAATTACAGGTGCTTGGCGCTGTGTGTATTCGTCTGGATAAGCCAGTTGTTCTCGCTCATTTTTAGCACTTTTTGTATAATTGTATCACTCCAATAATCATTTATTGCTCTGCTGTACATTATTATTCTTCAGTCACGAAAATCCACTGATGAGAGTGACAAGAAAATCGACTTTGGCTAAACCTCTTTTGAGACTTCTTTGTTGTGTGGCATGACAGCGGAACTAATAATATTCATTGCTATCATTAAATTATTGTCTCCACGTCGCTTTTTTGTAAATATTTATATTGATAATTTCGGGATGAAAGACGTTACATTGCACACTCGACAGTAGGGCTGTTCAGAACTGCATACCTGTGTGAGAAGTGGGTGCAGTAGGCAAAGCTAGCATGTTAGCGCTCATGCCGTTTTCCACAGCTCTTGTACTGGGCTTAAGCTAAGTGTAGCTTACTGTAAGTAGACAAATTTTCGGCCCATTCAAATTTCGGCCTTCCAGGGCTAAAATCCATTTCAGCCGCATCAAATTTTCGGCCTGTACTGCTGCCGTTTGTATACGCTGTCACACTGAACCTTGCAAAAGAAAATTTCGGCCGCTACAAATTTTCGGCCAAACACGACCAGGCCGAAAATAGCCGAAAATAAATATGCGCCGAATATTTGTTGACTTACAGTAACCCTTTGTGTGCCAGCCTAGCGTTTACACAACACTTCAAATTCACGCCGAATGGCCGACGTCGTGTATACACGACACACACGGACACACTACCTGTTCAAAAAGTCGGTACGTACATGACAAGAAATGCGATCATGTGAACGAAAACAAGCGCAATGTACCCACAGTAGTCCGTTCCAATAGATAGTTTATTGCCAGTTGGACGGAGCAGTGCTGGCTACTCCATTGCAATGCAGTTGAACTTCTCCGTTTTCCTTAGATTTTGATTTGTCTCGTCCAAGCCAGTTGAATTGAGCCTGTCTTCCTCTTTTCGCCTTTCTTATGTCTGTAAATCGCCCAGCTGTGTATCAACGTGTGCGCTCATTATGTCTGTGTGTGTGTGCGTGTACGTGGTGCATATGTGTGTGCCTGCATGTGTATCTACAGAAAGAAAAGATGGTGATGGAGAGGAAGTAGCATCTTTCAGCCAGGCTGGTGGAGATGGCCATATGGCCGAGTTCATTACGTAAGGCATATACAGTGCGGATCGGCTATAGGGTTGTCGGCTATAGTAATATACCTCTTATAGTGATCGTATTCTCAAATTCATTTTCGTAAACCACTCCTTTCTATACATATCGGATCGGCTATAGTAATATATCGGCTATAATGATACGATTTCTCTGTCAAAATAATTTTATTGCATACATTTTTCATCGGCTATAGTGATGATCATAAAAAATTATACATCGTAAATGGCGAGATCTGATCGCGGCAGTCAGGAAGCGCTGGTACGACTATGATATCCCTCGGAGGAAATTCGAAATGTTTGGCGCCCTTTCCAGCCTTTTCAAGAAAAAATCCTGAGAAGAGTGGCGGTCGGGTTTATGGTGGAATCCTTTCTAGCTTCAGTTCCCGTCGTTCTGAATCAGACCTTCATTCCGTGTAGGTTTCACTCCATGTTGAATTCCTCCGAATTGAAAAGTTTAGCTCGCCCTTTGACTCCTGCCGGCGCTCGGACTGAACATCCCAGCAGACACAATGCCTTTCTTATCATCAGGGAAGACGTACTCTACGTTGTTACTAGCCACTTGCCAGCTCAATCTAAATGCGCGCTCCAACAGCAGAATCGCAAAATTGTAGTGCTGTGGGACGCTCACAGGTCTTTAATAGCCTTTTTCCAAGCACAGCAGCTTACGCCGTGATTCACTGTTTCCATGTCATGTGACATGTGAGATACATCCATCACCACAATCTTCCCTAGTGTGAACAACGCATTACTCTCCTGAATGTGTTGCCAACTTGCCTAGCGTACCGAGCATATCCAGATGGCGGATTGCTTCAAAAAATCACTATTATCAGGGACACTTTTTGTCTCCCTTTCTTTCCTTTCATAATAGGTTTGACCAGAAGAAACCATTGAAAGTGACGATTGGACCTCGCACAGTTCCGTGCCTTCACAAGGTAAGATGATGATCTACTGCAAAAGCAGAAATTTTCTGTGGTGCAATATTTTCGGTATTCTCCAAAATCGGCGGTTCGGTGGAGGGAAATTTTCGGTAAAACCCGTTCTCCAGGTAAGTGTACTACATACAGTACCGGCTGTACCGAAATTTTCGGTGCGTTTTATTTTCGGTAAAAATTGTCGGCACCGAAGTTACCGAAAATAAAACACCACCAAAATGTTCTGCTTTTACAGTAACCTAAGACTGTCCTCATGTGCATAAATATGAAGTAGCTGAGTTGTGCAAGCACATCTGATAGTTGATGATCAGGCTGTGTACATGCACTAAACGCACCATGTGAGTGAAGTGGAGCATTCAACTTTCAAGTTGTTTTTTGTTTGTTGTGATTCTAAGTTCCATGCTAATGTGATCAGAAAGCAAAGTTTCATGTTGTTAATGTTTTCTGGTGACTCTGATACCATGTTGTCACCGTGCTACTTCAAGTAGTTGACAATTTCTGCTTAATTTGGTTGTTTTGTACCAGTGTACACACTACACCCGTCTGTTTCATGGATGTCCAGTTTCCTTAGACAAATCCATTTCATTATTTTAGTGATGCAGATATTTTCTCTTCGGAGTGTGTTGCAGCAGCTTGAGAGCTTTCTCCTGTTCTGTTCATTTTGCTTATATTCAGGGCTGCAATAAGTTCTTCCAGGATAACACCGCTATGCGCAAGCACTTGCACATTCACGGGCCACGAGTGCACGTGTGCGCAGAGTGCGGAAAGGTGAGGGAGATGGTTTTAACCTGATGCCATTGTTGGCCACCGCCGTCCTTAGACGAGAGAGCTTGAAAGCTCAGAGCCCGCGCTATGCTTTCTTTTTACCTAGGTCATCGTGTGTGTTATTCAAACTGCTAAAAGCGTATGATGACCTAGGTAAAGAGAAAGCATAGCGAGAGCTTTGAGCTTTCAAGCTCTCTCGTTTCACGCTATGGCCCTAGCCTTTTTTCTTCTCTTTTCATGTTTTGGCGCACTTATCATGGGATTCGAACCCGCGCTATCGCCTAGCATGCATTCCCTTGATACAAATCACATACTTGCACATACTACCAAGTTGTTTCATGTTATGATCCTGCCGACCCCTATTTGAATATGTGGCCAGCTTTCTTTGACTGTACGGTACGGGACATGTACGGGATAGCGCGCCAGGCATGGCGCGTCACGTGATGACGGCCCTACCACACACACACACACACAGATACGATTTAAACTTTATTCCCGTAGCTATGCGAAAGACGTTACTTCAGTAACGTCTGGCGCTAGCCAGGGTCCACACAGCTTTAATTCTGTGTTTGTTTGTGCCATCGGCATGCCTGGCGCTATCCCGTTCCTGTCCGGTACCGTACCATCAAAGACAGCTAGCTGGCCACAAACAGCTGGCCACAATATTCAAATAGGGCTTTCAAATGCAAGATCATAACGTGAAGCAACTTGGAAGAATGAGTATGTATGCAAAGTGTATCCGGGGAATGCATGCAGGGCGATAGTGCGGGTTCGAATCCCATGTTATGTCTTGAAAAAAAAATAGGAGAAATGAAAAATTTATAACATCCCTATGCTTTTTTGCGTAGGTCATCAAGGTGGTAGACGGTGTCATATTACCCTGGACCGTACCTGTCCCGTACCGTACCATCAAAGACAGCTGGCCACAATATTCAAAATAGGACTTTCAAATGCAAGATCATAACGTGAAGCAACGTGGAAGAATGAGTATGTATGCGAAGTGTATCGGCGGATGCATGCAGGGCGATAGTGCGGGTTCGAATCCCAGGTTATGTCTTGAAAAAAAAACAGGAGAAATGAAAAATTTATAACATCCCTATGCTTTTTTGCTTAGGTCATCAAGGTGGTAGACCATGTAGACGGTGTCGTATTACCCTCGAATGCGAAGAGAAAGTTTGATGTAGCCAATCAATGGAAAAAAAACATTCCATCAGTTCTAATAACATGCATGATGAGCTAGCTAGGCAAAAAAGCATAGCGTAGGACCCTGAGCTTCCAAGCTCTCTTGTTTTAACTTAAAGCGCCGTGGACCCTGTCTCACGGCTGTTCTGTACTCGGCACTTAACAATATGGCGGCATTTCCAAAGGTTCACGTGCTGGTTTCTCCAATTCGGCAGATCTTTGTGAACATCCTCGAAATTATAAAAATCAGTCGCATCAACCACGCGTGATTTGTGTTACAAGAAATGAAGAATAAGATGAAGTACAGTTTCGAAATTTTGAAAATTCGGTAGTTGTTCGACAAGAATAATAGACCAGAACAGGAAAGAAGAGAAGTTGAAACAAGGCAGTACATATACCAAGGGTTCTTACCTTCACTGCTTTGGCCACTTGCTCTTGACAGGCTTGCAGGCATCGTGTTCAGGTATAATGTGCTTACAAGGTGCTGCTGAGATATTGCTTGCAGACACTGAGCTGCTTGATGGCGGGAACAGTGTGCTCTTCCAGCAGGCACTGTACATCTTCAGCATTGTGTCAAGGTAGGCAAACGTGTCATGACAGCTGAATGTGCAGATCGGTATGGTGTTGTCCGGAGAATTTGGCTTGTGTCGATTGGCCACCTGCATGACAAATTTGAAGGATCCACCGCCATGACCGCCGCCGAGTTCAAATCCTGTCTGCTGGGATAACTCCAGCATGCCAAGTCAGCTGGTCATGCTCTTCGAACATGTCAAGGTAGTGAGTAACTGTCCACTAGATCCGGAAAGTATACTGCACTTGCCATGATGACTTCACCATTACGCTTCGTCACAGGCACCTCCTTGGCGGTGTACTCTGGAAGCGTATGCACAATATAGGTGTCTGCTGTTCGCTCGGATTCAAGCTGTACGCCAAAGTCATTGAGCCACCGCTTCATCTTCCTGATCTGATACCACGGTAGATTCATATCAGCTTTAATGGCCAACAGTGTTCCGCTCTTTGGTGAATTGGCTGTGATGCCTGCCTCGGCCAAAAGAAGCTGTCGTTCAGCTTTTGTCAGTCATTGTAGCCCAGCGACCTGATAAGCACGGGCACCATCAGGGCCACCACAAACAGTCTGCTCAATTCTCTCCAATACGTCTCGCCGCCGCTGAGTTGTTCGAACACTTGCTTGCATGGACAACACATTTGGAGCTGCTATTCTAGCAAACAACTGTGGCTTCCCATGAGCACTGCTTCTGAGCTCCAGCATGCCGTTTTGAACTCTCGGTTCAACCATGCGTTACGTGAGCTCATCAGCAAACTTTCCCCTGAGTTGGGTGGTGATGCTCTTGTAATGTCATCTGCTGGTGATGATGGCATTACTGTTTGGATTGGTGTGCTCTGTGTCTCTGGGCTATGTTCGCATTCCTGCCCATGCTGACACAACTGTGATATTGGCATCACCGCTGACAGCCATCCAGTGCTGGCTTTTGGTAATCGCACCGCACTGTCCAATTTTCAATCATCCGCTGTAGAACTTTGGGTGGCCGTGGTATGCTTGTCTCATTCACACTTGAATCACAGCTAGGACATGCTGGTGTCTCGTTGTCGCTCAGCCATGCACATACACACACACACACACAGCTACTACACAGCAGCTCTTCGCAGCATGTTGTAAGAACTGCCCCATCCACAATCTTTTCATAGATCTTACATTCCTGCACTACGTTCTGGTCCACGAAACGATTTTTACTAGCGGCTTAACAGCACTGAATAGTGGTGTTGCATTGCTTGTTATGCTGTCTTTGTTGACGGGGCGAGTGCATGCTGGAGTGGTCCTACTTGCTGGTGTAGATGGAGTGTGAGATGCTGATGTGTTTGCTGTACTTGGGCTAGCGTCGCATTCAGCTGAGTGACTGCTTGTACTGGACGATTTACGCTTTGAGGGGCGGCCACGTTTGGTTTGCTTGAATGTGCAGTTGGTGCGGTGATGGGGGGGGGGGGGGGGGGTGTGACATGCACTTACAGGAGCATAACCACCCGATGGTTTTGCTTGCAGTCGACTCAGAACCCGTTGACAGTTGACACATATAAGTACTGAGGATGAACTTGTGGGTCATCTGTCGAAATATTGATGCTGAATTTTGACCAAAGCTGGTCTTTAAATTCACTCGCAGGGTATTTGGCGGACTGGCTACATGACGTGAACCTTTTGCCACCCACACGACACATCCGGTCCAAAAGCGCAGCATGCTGGTCCATATTTTCAGAAAACCTGTTGGAAACGGGGGGAAGTGGATTGTATAGATGCTTAGAAATACTGTATTCGAACGAACTTTCTGCAGTGGGTAGATCGAAACTGACCATGTCCAGGAAAAAACTCTCGTTTGTCACTGAAAAATCGGTACAGCCAGGAAGACGGCCTGTTATTCAGTGGTGATAATGTCCACCACGAATAAGTTGCAGCAAGAAAGAAGTCCGCAAGAATGGCTGAAACAGCAACAAGAAAGATGAGAATGGTCGAGCGTGTGGTACCAATGTGAAACAAAGTTTTCCACGGATCAAAAACTGGGAGTTTCTGGTAAACCAGGTCGAATAGGACGGAATAAGACTGTGATTTGGGTGGTGAAATGTGTTGCTTCGACGCGCCATTCTCAGTGTCTTCTCAGTGCAACGTTTTGACAATTTGAAAATTCTGTGATTTTGCCGTTTTGAGGAGTGACACCGATTCGCGAAAAAACAGCCGTAGGCTACCAACATAACATATTTTGCATAGCTTCGGGAATAATACTTCGAAGTACACCTATAGCATGCACAGTAGGTGTAATATTATTTTTGGCTGTGTTTACACGGCAACGAAGTGCGACTGAAACGGAACATTGTTGCATTTACTACGATCGTTTACATGACACTGCATGAAAACGCACCCCGAAATGGAACGAAACGGAAACGCACATCACACTGTTTGGAAATGTTTTCAAAACGATTGTGTTCTCATGTAAACAGTCAAAACGATTGGAAACGGAGCGCGGTCATCGAGTATCATGATTGCTAGCATTGTTGTTGCTGATGTAAGTACCGGTAGTTCAGCTCTTGTCAAACTGCACTCAGCAGGCTAGGCGACGATACTCAGGCGGCTGAATACTCTTCTAGTATGGCTAGAACCATGCAGCACGTGCCAACTCCCACCTGAGTTGCCCGTTTTCCATTTTCGTGTCAACGTTTCAAAGCGATTTGCCGTTCCTGTGTTAACAGTTTGAAAACTATTCGTGGCTGGTGCCTTCTCATTTCGTCTCCGTGTGAACGCAGCCTTTGTATTCCTTCTGTAGCCTATCCCAGGGTTGCCTAGCAACTGGGATACAATCGGTACTGTAGTTATTGCTGGTTCTAACCTTGGTTTGCCCTGTCCCAGTATGTATCTGTGTGTTGAGTAATTTCAAGCAGCTATAGTAGTATTGCTTCTGACCTGCAAGTTTATTGTGTCTGAATACTGGTTTCTGTGTTGGATGGTTGTGCTCCCCTTGCAGGCTTTTGTTGAAAGCTCTAAGCTGAAACGCCATCAGTTGGTCCACACAGGGGAAAAGCCTTTCCAGGTATGCTAGCAGAGTGTGCTTCAGACTGGTTCCGAACGGGAAAGTGTCTGAATTGAGACCTCTGTAGTCTGTAGTAACTTTGTGATGTACATATTGGCAAAGCATGCACTCTGGTGTGGTTGTTTTGTGCTTCCAGTGTGGTCACGAGCCCACGTTGTTCCAGTGTGGTCACGAGCCCACGTTGTTCCAGTGTGGTCACGTTGTTCCCTGCTTGGCTTAACATGAGTTTGTTTGTATTGTATTTTTCTACTAATTCTGCAGTGTACATTTGAGGGTTGTGGACGTCGTTTCTCACTTGACTTCAACTTGAGGACGCATGTACGTATTCACACGGGTGACAGGCCATACGTCTGCCCGTTTGATGGTTGCAACAAGCGATTCGCCCAGTCCACCAATCTCAAGTCGCATATCCTGACACATGCACGGCCATCTGACAAGTCGGGCGAGCCTGCACATTCAGATGGCGAAGGCAAGGAGGGTTCATTGATGGCTGCCAGTGATGTCCCGGCATCGCCCTAGGCAGGTTGTGCTTATCGCAGACACGCCCTTGGCGATACGGACGTCTTTAACTTCGTGTTACCCCAGCGCGCATCTGCTTCGTGCCTGCCATAGCTACCTTAACGGTCCTGTCCTGTGTTGAAATCTCTGCCGGCATGGTACCTGTATATGTTATTGTGTATATATGTCTACCTTTTTATGTGTTTTTTTTATCTGATCTTTTCTGTAAATACAACATTGTGCAGATCTTTTAGCACACTTGTAAATAGTTTAACCTGTACAAAACATTAGGTGTTCACTCGCCTTGCTGACTCAATTCCGCCCTTGGAGTTTCGCTGCCTCGCTCTCTTCTACATTATTCTGTCTCGCCTTTGGTGCATGCCCTTGTTCGTCTGCAGTACAGCCTACCCGAATCCTAGCGTGCTGCTTGACCCTAGACTGGTGCATGTCGTTTTCTGTTGGCGTTTGTTTTATTTAATTTTATTTCTTTCCAGATTTTGCTGAGAATCCTGCAATCTTCGACATGGTGTGTGTGTGTATGTGTGTGAAATCCAGTCGCGTCACTCGCGTACGCGCCGGGCGTTGCGCAGCCCTCGACCTGCGAACACTGGGCTGCGAAATGGTGCAACTTGCAGCAAGGCGAAAACTTGAGTGACCGTAACTACGGAGCAACGAGTCCACGCCAATGATTATGTGCTCCCGGCCCGGTCCCTCATCTCATGCTCATCGCTAGCGCTAGCGCTCCCGGCTTCCGACACATGACAGGCTAGTCTCTGCTCCGCGATACCAGCCATGCCATGGCCAGGTCAATGCTTATCGATGTTCGTCTACCACCAGGGTTTGTACGACTCCCTGTCATCTACCAAGTACCATGTATTCTACTGCACCCAGCTGCCTTCGTGCCCGTGGTCTTCTTGACTTTAGCTTACATGTGCGGGCTGTCCATCCGACCCCAACTGCACTCAGTAGCTCTGACATTATCCGAAATCATGTCCAGCAAAGGTATCAGCCACGGACCGGACCGTGAGGAATGATGATGGTCACCTGTCCTGAGTCTAGACGTCTGTAGACTGCAGACTCTGTACATTGTAGTGCTGTAGTGGCTGGTGTCGTGGTGACCAAGGCACTGGTAATGATTATGTGGCACTGGTTGATGTGGACTGTCTACAGCCTGCACACAGGAGTGGCCGAATGCGTAGCAGGGTTGTGTGGTGAAGCAGACCATGCCGCAGTACAGGGACAAGTAAACTGCAATAATACTTGGCACAGCTTGTCATACATGTACTATAGTCTACACAATCATCATAATTATAGCTGCTGGATATACCACAACGCCCGGCGCGTACGCGAGTGACGCGACTGGATTTCACACACAGCCACAGCCACAGTCACAGTGACATGCTCATGGTGACGTATGGAATCTTGTTGTCTTGGCATTTCATGCACAGTGTGTTCATTTGGTCCAGAGTAGTAAAATGCTTCTTTTAAAAGTTTTAGGACTTAAATCCAGTCGCGTCACTCGCGTACGCGCCGGGCGTTGCGCAGCCCTCGACCTGCGAACACTGGGCTGCGAAATGGTGCAACTTGCAGCAAGGCGAAAACTTGAGTGACGCGACTGGATTTCATTGAGCAGGACTGTAGTCGGATTCGCTGTAATGACGTCATGCATGTCAGTAATGACGTAATGCATGTCAGTCATGACACACCTGGGACCAAGTGCTGCACATAGCACACTGTCATCATTCACATGCCTTCGTCATGCATGCCAGCCTTGTGAAGTTCATAATTGTACTGGCTCTTCTTATCACACGTTCAAGAACTATTGTACAACAGTAACAGACGGTTTACTGCATATGTTACAGCACGTGTGCGAGTTGTGGTCCTGGGACGCGCACATGTGTGTATTCATGTACAGGTGGTGTGGTTGACCATTGGCATTGTGTGTACAAAAGGCACAAAGGATGTTTCTGGAGTTTGTCGCATCTCGGAAGCTTCTTGCTAAAATGCTATCATTAGGAGACAAGTGTGTGTTTTCACACGGTGACAACTGTCAACAGGTTACTGCACTCTGCAGCTTGGCAGAGCCCTGGCTCCTTTCAAGTTTCAGGATATCATAGGGGTTGCGGCATTCAGACTAAACACCACTTGATACTGTGTATAATAACCCCATGACGGTTACACTGTACCATGGTTGAAAGTGGCACGATCATACTATGCCTATGGTACTATCTCAGTATCTGCCAGAGTTTGCACTACACATACACGTACTAGGGGACCCTGCATCATTCTGTAGGTCGGATGCCTGTCCTGGTGTCCTGAGTCTCCTGACCACCTCCTGTTGATGCTGGTGATAGCATCGGGCACTGAGTCTGTAACTGGTATCACGCTGTCTGTATACCTCAGTAAGCAGCAAACTGGGTCGAAGAGGGTGCCAGAGATTGACTGGGCCTGGCCTCTCCCCAAAACCACATAGTCACTCAAACGTCTGCAGTGACTGAGGCCTCAACAGCTAAGTGAGTTGTCTAAGCAGGCTGTACAACTGTGAGAATCAGGCGAGGCTGCCGACTCAACTTCCGGGGGCCGCAACTTGAGGAGGCAGAGCTGAGGCTGACTGGCAGTGGTATATCCAGCAGCTATAATTATGATGATTGTGTAGACTATAGTACATGTATGACAAGCTGTGCCAAGTATTATTGCAGTTTACTTGTCCCTGTACTGCGGCATGGTCTGCTTCACCACACAACCCTGCTACGCATTCGGCCACTCCTGTGTGCAGGCTGTAGACAGTCCACATCAACCAGTGCCACATAATCATTACCAGTGCCTTGGTCACCACGACACCAGCCACTACAGCACTACAATGTACAGAGTCTGCAGTCTACAGACGTCTAGACTCAGGACAGGTGACCATCATCATTCCTCACGGTCCGGTCCGTGGCTGATACCTTTGCTGGACATGATTTCGGATAATGTCAGAGCTACTGAGTGCAGTTGGGGTCGGATGGACAGCCCGCACATGTAAGCTAAAGTCAAGAAGACCACGGGCACGAAGGCAGCTGGGTGCAGTAGAATACATGGTACTTGGTAGATGACAGGGAGTCGTACAAACCCTGGTGGTAGACGAACATCGATAAGCATTGACCTGGCCATGGCATGGCTGGTATCGCGGAGCAGAGACTAGCCTGTCATGTGTCGGAAGCCGGGAGCGCTAGCGCTAGCGATGAGCATGAGATGAGGGACCGGGCCGGGAGCACATAATCATTGGCGTGGACTCGTTGCTCCGTAGTTACGGTGCCGCGATGCTAGATTTTTGCGTTAGCCATCATCGATCAGGAGGAGCGTGATAATGTGAGGTGCCTGCATTTTCGGCAACCATAAAGTCCTTGGCATGGTAGGCCCCGGAGATCAGGTTCTTCAAGTAACGTTAGTTCAATCGAGTTTCGGAGACAGAATACTGAGTTCTGCGGGCTCTGCCACCTCGTGCCAGTGCACCGGTAACACTAACAGCTTTGCCACCAGCACCGTGGACAGCGCTAGGGGTCACTGACTGCGGGTGCAGGAGCACTGTGCAACCTTGCTGATCTTACTACACAGTACACTGGCAACGAACTGCGTGCGTATGCTCTGCTCGATGCTCTGCGCTCGCAGCTACACACCACTGGCAACGCTTCCTCCGGTGTTTCCTCGTCCCAAGCCACTGCTCCAGCAAGTGCAGCGGCCTGAGTGTCCACCACGACTCTAGCATGCAAGCTGCCTCAGCCGGAGAAATCTGTTAGTGGCGCGTGGGCATACTAATACTGCATCCATCGAAAGCCCTTCATCATCAGCTGTTTGATTTCGCTTTGTGGCGAAGTGCTCGGCTCAGCCCGGACTCGGCGAGCTATTTTACTCGGACGCAGAACTCGAGTACGGTAACTAATTATTTGCGTTCACACCATCTCGTGAACTGAAGCTGCAAGCGTCACCGCGTCCCGGCCGCACCCAGACTGAGACACACGAGAAGAAGAAATCGACAGAGTTGCGTGGCTTGAGTGACTTCGGTGAAACTCTGATTGCTGTTTGGATCACTGTGAGTAAACGCTTTCTCGACGCTGCTCAGTGTGCCTGCGCTACAAAAAAAGGCCGCAGTGTGAGCATCGTGACCAACTGGTCAAGCACCAGCAACGGCAGCTCAAGGCACAACACGCGTGGACTGATACTGTCCGCTACAGCTGCGCCCTTACGCACTCCGCTGGAACCGTCCGGTGCGTGTTGTTTGCTGTTGCGTGACGAACTGTCTTGTGCCGAATATCAGTAGCAGTACTTCGTGCTAAATTCCCCATCGTCAACGATAACTGCTTTCCAGTAAAATGGCTAAAAGCTATACCGGTGTTCTGAAGATATCAGCGCTCGAGGCTAGCGACTTGCCTGAGAAAATCCCATTGCCCGGAGGCATTGTACTCACCACTATCGATCCCTTCTTGGTGGTAGCCGTGGACGAGAATCCGTTCGGCGAGACCAAGGCCAGGACGAGAACGTTCGCACCGCTATGGCGCGAAGACATGGAGTCTTTCGTGCAGGACGCCACCAAAGTGGAGTTCACTGTGTTCCATAAGAAAACTGTACCCCCGGACGCTTTCGTAGCCAACACAGTGGTCGACTTGGAGGAGCTGCTGGCAGCACCGACTGATGATGTTTGGGTGAGTAGTGGATCTCAATGACCAACAAACACAAAATAATTATTACTGATGTGTAGGCTAGTGGTAGCTATCGGTAGTATTGGGTAACCTTGAGTGGTCGATGTCCGATGCTGTTGTTACCCAGGGCTAGCTTACGTTAGACTGGTGTAATGAGATTATCAATGCTAGAACTAAGGTCACTGGAATGCCGGGTGTTCCCAGTACAGGCCAGGGATTGATTGACCAGATCAGAGACAGTCATGAGTAGCATGACCTATGCCGGCTATGATGAGTATGACGGACATAGATACATTGTATCTATGTCCGTCATACTCATCATAGGCTTCAAGCTTGTTGGTGGACCTTCCTGAATCACGGTAATCAGTGAATAGTGGCACCCAGACATGTCTGCATGTAAGCCAGCCTAAATACATGGTTACACCAGGATAGTTTGTATTGACCTCGAAGAATTTCAAGCAGAGGTCAGAAGCAGCTGCCGCAGTGTGCATGTGCATGTGGACCGATGAGGAAACACCAAGCAGGTGTGATCATTGTTCATTGAGAGGCATCCCAGTCTGACCCGCTTACAAGAGCAATACCCCACACACTGAGCCGGGGAACGCCGCCGCCGCCGCATAGGCCCAGGTAGCTACCGTGGAGCAATCACACGGTGTTGAGACCGCTGCGGTACCGTCAACCAACACCCTGGCCGCTGTGGCAGACCAATGCGGCAGGCGCTTGCGGATTGGCTAGTGCAATGAAATCCTGTTGGATACTCTACATGCTAGAGCATTGTACTGCAGTAACGCAGGGCGCCGCGCCGAAGAACGCCCAGGCTAGAAAATCACACAAATCTAAGGACGTATCGGGCAGTGGTAACAAAGATACGGGAACACCAGTCATGTAGTACTGCATACACAGTGTGTATAACGTTAATATACAACGTGAGTGCACACACACAGAATAATTACGGTGATGCTGTAATCCCGAAAATACGAACGTCACTGGCCTGAAATGGAGACTCGTTGTTCTGTGGTACTCAATACTGATGTACAACTACATCTAATGAGGTCGGGTGACCCTGAGTCCTGGCTTCGATTTCTTATGTTGGGTAACACTACAAGCTCCATGCCATTCGACTTTTCAGCTGATTGAGAGTAAGGAAAGGGAGAGATAGAACTGTTTCCGCATTAACACTATGATGATGCGGGCACACATAGGCCACAGCCCTAAATGATACAGATAAGCTATTCGACAGATATTGTTTCGAAGGCAGGTCACTGGATGGAGTCTTTGTTTGACAAGCAACTCTCTTCTTCATGGTGTTCCGATCAATATGCATACAGGTCACCCTTGAACCTGGCGGGAAAGCACACGTATTGGTCAAGTTCCAGGAACAAAAACGTAAGTTACTACACATATATTCTTATTCTATGGTCAAATTGCATCCTAGGGTTGTGCAACCCACGCTCTTGGCCTGGCAGTGCGCGTTAGCATTAGGATATACATATTTCCGTGAAGGCTGTGTGCGACTGTAAAGTACTCCTTGGTTCTAACTTCTAACGTTATCCAACTGTTATGCTTCTATGCTCCATGTATTGACCTGTCCTATCAATAATACCGTGCTCTTGGCTGTATGACGGTATTGGTGTTGAATTCTTCAGAGTTAAGCGTCTGGACATGACCTGTTGCAATCCAGCTGTATGAACTGAACTTGTGATGCAAATACTGAGCACTCATCACATCTATCGTAATGTGTTGTGTACGATCATCTTTCTTTGTGCTCTGCTCAGCCATGGCTAAGTTCAAGGAGCGGGAGCGAAATTACCAACGCCGTGGTGCATTGAGACGAAAGATTCACCAGATCAATGGCCACAAGTTCATGGCACGATTCTTCCGCCAGCCAACATTCTGCTCCCACTGCAAAGAATTCATCTGGTACGGTGCCAGTTCAGTATAATCTCGCCCAGCGGAGCAAGATCGTTGTCATTTTAAGCTGGGTCTGAGAGCTGTGTGACTTAAAAAGACCCTTGCTATAGGTGAATGTACAAAGGGAGAGTGGAGAGCGAGGAAAAAGATGCTGTGTTTAGGAATGTTTTGTTGTCAGTTTTGCAGCCCATAACTGTTTAGACCCTGCGGTGGCTACACAAACCAATGTTGCATTCCATTTCTCGACTGTTGCTTTGTGTCTTGGCAATGCTTGTCTACAGGGGCCTGGGTAAACAAGGTTACCAATGCCAAGGTAGGCGCAAGAACTCACTTTCACAGTGTTCTTTTGTTTTTATCAGCTGTGTTTCTGCACGCGAGCTTGTATCATAGTGTCACACTGTATTTTTCCAATGGACCCTTCCAGTTTCCAAACACTGAGCGTCGGCACTGTAATGATACTGTTGTATGTGTCCAGTTCTATTGACTGTTACCTTTACCATAGACCATCAAGCCTTTTTTTGTGCTACGCCTTCTCTCCACAGTGTGCACCGTAGTTGTCCACAAGAAGTGCCATCAGTTTATCATTGAGAACTGCAAAGACCCCGCTGGTGCCGAAGACGTAAGTCAAGACGAACTGCGTCGTGTGCGGCGTACTGTATTGTTGACGGTTGTGTATGTTTATGTAGCAGTAGCTCTGCGGTGTGGCCTGCCGGCATGGTGACAATGAATGCTTTATTCGCACGCGGCTTACTATGGCTGAGTAAGGGGGGGGGGGGCAGGAATTGGAGGATACAACCTGATATTGACTACCTGTGAAAGATGGCATGGCTCCCAGGCGACATGATGTCCCTACCTTGTTCAGCCCTCACAGCCACAGAGAGGCTCAGCCAGTAGCCAGGAACTGCCAGTAAAGTTGTCATCCTCTGCTCGTGCCTTCCACTTACTCATGCCTTTTTCCTGTATTCACTGGTGCACAGGATGACAATGTATCTATTGCCAGTGTTACCAGCGCTAGTGGGTTCAGCATCAATATGCCACATCGCTTCGAGGTAAACAACTACCTAAAACCGACGTTCTGCGATCATTGTGGCTCTCTGCTGTATGGCGTCATGCGACAGGGCTTGAAGTGTAAAGGTCAGTCACGGATCGAGTGGTTTTGTGCTGCTACTATAAACATCATACACAATATCCTCTCCAGGTTAGCGTACACATACCTCATACTGACCAACCACCACAATCTCAATCCCTTGACAAGACATGCAGAATCCCTGGAGTTCTCTCAAAATCCCTGGATGGCACAAAAACAAGTGAAAAAGAGCTTTTCCCGCCAAAAAAACGTTCGACTCTGCAGCTGTGCGTACAGCACAGATCGACCCTGTAGTGCAGTTTGATCAGTCGGCGCCCGCCTGTCACTTTGTCAGTGCAGATCTTGCATGGTCAGGTCTTTAAAGTGCTGTGCACAGTTCGAAGTGCGAATGAGCACCGTACATACCTTTGAAAAAAGTTAAAAACCGGGACGTTCGGGGAGAAACCATGGAGTTTTCAGGAAAATCCTGTATCAGACAAAACTTCGGTTTTTCCGGGAGTTTGTTTGAAATCCCCGGGACCCCGGGAGGAGTGTTGATTTTCCGGGATTTTCCCGGGAAAAACGGGAGGGTTGGCCAGTATGATACCTACAACTTGCACCTACCTACTTATTGCTACAGTGTTGACAATTTAAAGGAAATACGAGGAAAGCCCTCTGCTGTGTTTAGTCATTTCCTGCTGCCATTCCTCGTTTAATATGCATAATCTATCGGGAGGGTACCATGTGAGAGTTTCCCATCCTTTCTAGCAGCATGTGTCTATCGGTGTTTTCCCGTGCACCCCATCACAGCATGCAAAATGAATGTTCACAAGCGATGCAAGGGCCACGTGGCAAACACATGCGGCATTGACAAGAAGCAGATGGGTGAGCTTCTAGCAGAAATGGGACAGTCGGCCGACAAGCTATCAGTCCGACGCCTGTCGTCCAGATCGGGCCATTCTCTTTCCCCCGGAGCAGTGAGTTTCCTACTGTTGTATGTATGTGTGTGTGTGTGTGTGTGTGTGTGTGCGCGCGCGCGCATGTACGTGTGTGTGCATGCGCGTGCACGTACATGTGCGTGTGCATGTGTGTATTTGATAGTTCAATAACTCAACAGTAGACTGCCATTGAAGTATGTATTGGGATTTTGATATTCTGTAAATTCTGGATAGGACAAACCCAGGCGCGTATAAGGGAAACGCTTTTCAAGTCACAAGGGCCAACAGCATCTTTCACATACATGCATTGAATCAGCTATGACAAATTTCGAACTCAGATGAGAAACTCTAGGATAAGATGATCCTAAAATTGAGTCACGCGCAGAAAAACTTGGCTAACGTTAAGGCAAGCCTTTTTGTGGGCCTTTCTATACTGCATGGGTTTTCGTGATATTTGGATAAGATGAGCCTTTTTCCGATCCCGAGGGGGTTGCTTTATCTGAATTTTGCTGTAGATGGGGGACTTGAAACTAGGTGCACCAAAAAGAAAAAGTTCATAGCACCAGGGTCACGCGCACATGCCACCTGCAGGTTTTTCCTTTCGTCTTTAGTAGAGACCGTCCTTGCAGCTCGCTGCTTTGCAAGCCATGGTCGATGTTTGTGCACTTTCAAACATCAATGCGTCATCAATCGCATAGCAGATTTGTTATACATGTAACTTCGCATCAACAAAATTCACATTAAATGAATACAATAAAAAAATGTATCAGAGCAAGTATTTATAATAAGTACTGTGTGTGTGTGCATGGTGTGTGTGTATGGATAATTAAGTACAGTGACGCATTAGGGGCCATCCGTAAATATCGATATAGTGTTATGTCCTGATTTGAGTCATTGGTACATGGTGTGCGTGTGTGTGTGTGTGTGTGTGTGTGTGTGTGTGCGTGTGCGCACATTTGGGCATGCATTTGTTGCATGTGCTCATGGCATGACTCCGGTAGTCAACGAAGAGCAAAACATCCGGTCGGGTCTCACCGGGTCCCACGCCTAAGTCACCGCCAACATCGCCAACGAGTACGCAGTCGCCGGGGGCTGCTGCCTCTGCCAGTGCCAGGACATCGCTCTCTGTGCCAAGCGGCAGCAGTGATCAGCAACGACGCTCGCTGATTAGCACTGGTGCTAGCAGTCTGGATGACTTCCTTCTGCTCAAGGTTCTTGGAAAAGGCAGTTTTGGAAAGGTGAGCCAGCAGCATTCGCAAATACCCTGCATTAGGTCTTTGAAGAAAGGGCGTGTTTGTCCTCACCGTGACCTGACTGGGTACTCAGTAAATCATGCGTACTGAGCTCTGAGGTCATGTGAGGTCATGTGAGGTCATGTGCTGCGTGTTCTCATTTCTCCAGGTCATGCTGGTTGAACACAAGGAGACGCAAGAGGTCTTTGCCATCAAGGTATTGAAGAAAGATGTCATTCTGCAGGAGGATGACGTCGAGTGCACAATGATAGAGAAGCGAGTGCTAGTCATGGCTACCCACCACCCATTCCTGACATCGTTGCACTCGTGTTTCCAAAGCAGGGTAAGGCGGCAAGGAATACGTCATGTTTCTAACACGGCTGTTCAGCTATTGGGCATACTGGCAATGCACTGGGCAGGCACACACGGTCTTGTATGTCTGAACTATGAAAGGTTCAGACAGTTTGATGTCGTGCCGATGCGAAACAAGCAGGGGACCATGTAGGATTAGCATTGGATGTTTGCTGTGAGTACTCTGGAGTGGTGTAAGCGTGGCCGATGATGCGGTGCTACACCTGTACTGATTTCCACGGTCAATTACGCTGTTTGTTGCCTCGTTCCACTTTGATGCCTGGCCATAGTGTGCCAGCTAGAAAATAGTCGGAAGTATGTAGCGGTGGGCCATCGTTGTGGTTCGGCTGGCCCGTTGGTGGCTGTGTCGATTGCATCATCATTTGAGATGTTTTTGTATGGAGTGGCATCACGCGCACTGGTTTACCATTCCTAACAAAACATATACAATGATGTGATTGGCATGGCCTGCATCTAATACTGCCAATATCACCAGCTGGTATAGATGCTGGGGTTTCCAGGGAAATGATACACTGCTTCGACCCACATGTGACCCGGCGTGCTATCTTGTTGCCTTTGCAGGATCGGTTGTTCTTTGTCATGGAGTATGTCACTGGCGGTGATCTGATGTTCCAGATCCAGCGTTCACGCAAGTTTGACGAGTCAAGGACCAGGTCAGTTCCTGTTGATGTCCACTTGAGGCACCGCGGTTGCTTGCAGTGCATTTCGACCATTCTTAACCCGAGATTACATAGGAGAAAAGACAATGCAGCCTGAAGAGAATGATTGTGTGAAAGCCGTGTGTATTCAGCGCGTGCAATGTGTATTGCTGATGATTGCTGTCTGACCGAAAGCTAAGCCCCGCAAGCATACCTGCTTGCTGTGTCTACATGTTCAGATTCTATGCAGCAGAGATAGTATCAGCACTGCGCTACCTGCACAAGAAGGGTGTTGTATATCGGTGAGTGTTGCCAGCTCTGTGTTGGATATGCCTACTGCCTACCGGTCCTTGAAGGACTGTGTATACATGTATTACATCACCGTTGGGCCTGCGGGACAGTAACACTAATGCATGGCAGGATAGAAGGCCGGAACACATCTCCAACCATGCAAGTGGCCGCGAAAAGACGGCCAATGCACATCTGACACAACATGCTCTCGGCTAGTAACCATGCTGTATTTTCAAGTAGGAATATTTTAGTGTTCTATTATAATGTGTATAGAGTAGTGCCATGAGGATAACAGCACACCACTTATGATTATAGTTTTGTTATCGCAGGCAGGCATAGTGGGATGGTCTAACACCATGATTGAGAAACAGAGGGTACCAAGTTCAAGTCCTGCTTGGAAGCGGAAGGATTTTTTCCAGCCGTGCTGCGACCCACGGTTAATTGGGAACTCGTGGCCTGGCACGAGGGTAACATGGATGCAGGTAATGGGATTTCGGCCTTTGACCACTTTGTGGTGGGTCTGATCTACTCACCTCCCACCGTTTAGGCGCTGCACCAGCGCCTTGATCCTAGAGGGTGGTGGCGTTCCTACGGATGCGGAAAACTCGGCTTCCAGCCAAGTCTCACGCGAACCGTGAAATTTATCGGAAGATGCTCATTGACATTTAATACAAGTTCACTCTAGTGGTATCTGAGAGAATTGTACGGTGCTTTCTTTAGAAGTATGTGTACTGATTTGTTGGTGCCCAGTGACCTGAAACTGGATAACGTTCTTCTGGATCATGAAGGTCATGTAAAGGTAAGTGTGAGCGGTGATGGGGAGGTGCATGCGCATTCTGCATCTTTCCGTTTCATAACAGCGTGCAAATGATGTGCTCAAGCTAGCCAACAGTACAACGTGTACACACACACACAAGTACAGCAACCGGTACAACCATGTTGCATTGATACTAGCCAACATCACCAAGAGGTTTAGGTACCTAGGTTTAGGTACCTATCATAGTCATGCCATTACAGATCTGACCATTCCAGGCATAAGTGCTACGGAGGGCGTGCTATGTACGTTTACTTTCCATAAGTGCAACAGAAGGTGTGCTACGTACCATTACTTGCAATAATGAATAATCACACAATCACCGCCTGCGTTCTGTATTCTCAGATTGCAGATTTTGGAATGTGCAAAGAGAACATCTCCGGCTCTAGCCTGACGAACACGTTCTGCGGCACACCTGATTACATAGCACCGGAGATCCTGGAAGAGAAGGACTACGGCTTCTCTGTAGACTGGTGGGCCCTGGGCGTACTGATGTACGAGATGATGGCTGGACAGGTGAGACGAAAGGAACAAACTGCCGGCACGGCATGTACTGGTGGTTGCTGGGGAAGAAGGGGGTTGAAAAAGAAATGCTATTTCAGAGTATTTCCCCTTGCCATACCTATGTTAGCCTGAGCCAGCTGGCTTCTCTACAGTGCGAGGGGGAAAGAAAGTTATAGGCACTCAAGTCTACCAGGCACCCTTTAGGCCATCATTTTTATATCTATGTTTCGCGTCGTCCGCACGCATACGTTTTGATTTTTTAGGAAAAAAATAAAACAAATCGAACACGCACAGTGAATGTACGATCGTGCAAGTCATCAGTGTGGACTGGTTGCATACGGCGAAGCTGGGATTCAGAAATGGCCTCGAGGCCAGCGTTGGTAAATCGTTTGTTCGGCGTCTGCGAGCAGTATTCTATAAGCTTACACCAGACCGCATCGATCGCCTCAAGCTGAGAGGATGCGTCATTCTGGAGCTCTTTGCACCGCTGCTGAAGTCCGAGTACAATAATCCAGTACAATAGTCCAGCGAAGCATGGGCACCAACGGCTGCCTTCTCTGTCCAAAGTGAATACCATGCTGATAACCCAGATTTTGTGCTTCAATGTACGATTTTTCTTTCGAATGTACACCATGCACGAGCTATTGACATTATTGTATTGTGCTATGTACAGTGCTCGCTATACACCTCTGATGAGCCTTTTTTATTATCTTATAGGCAAGTTTTAGAGGAAATATTACTACTCTTGTCAATTTTGTGGAAATAGTAACGTCATCTGCCATATATCTGCCTGTTCTCCTCAAAATGTATGGGACGCAGAGAGTGACGGTCATTCTAAGTTACGGGCAGTGCCCAGTCCCAGACCGCCCGGATAAATAACGTATGAGTGTACACGTGCAGCAAGAGTTATACCTGTAGTGTAGTCCTTCAGTTCCGAAACTGCGTTCTTCTTTCTTTTTCACTTTGTTCTGCTAGCCACCGTTTGAAGCTGACACAGAAGACGAATTGTTTGATGCGATTCTACATGATGATGTGCTCTACCCGGTGTGGCTCAGTAGAGAAGCATCATCAGTCCTCAGAGGAGTGAGTATTCGTCTACTTTAACTAGTTACTAGTAACTTACTACCTTCGAAGAAAACCAGTTCAGTAGGGTTTGGGTGGTCAAGACTCAGCGTGTGTCTTGTGCCTGCCTACTTGAGCAGTCCATTTCTCCAAACTCACCTGAGAGTTTTTTTTTTAATATACGTGTGCCGGTGTGCCTGTTCAAAACTTGCCTGTTCCGGCCGCTTTCCTGCCAGTGTGCGACAGGGCTAGGCACCTGCGTAACGATGTGTCTGCATTTCCTAACGGTCGCTGTGTGTTTACCTGTGATTGATCAGTTCCTTACAAAGCGGTCGGAGAAGCGTCTTGGCTGCACGCATCAAGGAGAAGACGCGATTGCATCGCATCCGTTCTTCAAGATAATCGACTGGCATGCACTGGATCAGCGTCAGATACGGCCTCCTTTCGTGCCCAAGAGTGTAAGTAGGTGGTGTGGCCACCTGGCAGTCCCATAGTCGTACACGGTCTGGAGACAATGTGGTATTTACTCTATCTGTTCAGCCACTCTGGCCACACTCTATGTTCCTGTGTGTTTCGCGATGGTTGATTACCGTACGGCATGGGTGCGTATCTGCGAGGCTCACTGACACCACTATCTAAACAGCTAGCTGTGAGCGCTTTAAAATGTGAGAAAATCTAGACCATTCGGGAGCAGACAGTGTAGGAGTTAGGGCGGTGGACAAGCAAGAGCAAGCTGGATTGCGCACCGTGGTGTGTGGCTGGTCCACGTTTGGCAATGCTGTATGATGCGATGTAACGCCTGTGGTTCATGTACACTATTGTTCATCCCACATAAACTCCGCGATTTACACACCAGGAAAAAAGCTCTCCGGAAGTACAAATTGCCGCGATAGTAGGCCATGGCAGAAAATCAATGTTGAAAAAGATGCTCATTTATATACAGTCAGACCTCGCATAACCGCACACATCTGTTTTCCACAAAAATATCCGGATAGGCGAGGGAACCGGATAACCGACCACCGTTTATGTTGGATGCATCAAGTATTCTGTAAATATGTAACCAGCTATTTTCTTCCGGATGGCGAGGGATCCGGATAAAAGAGGACCGGATAAGCGAGGTCTGACTGTATAGTGAAGGTGGTTGTTGAATGTTGAGTATGAGTTTTTGCTCCTGAAGCTGGTGTTATGTACTGTTGTAGACAAACCATAGTTACTTGTATAGCTGTGGTGGTGTACTCTGACGTGTTTGCACAGAAAACCAAAAAGGACACGTCAAATTTCGACTCCGAGTTCACCTCTGAAAGGCCACAGATTACGCCGACTGACAGGCAGACCTTGGAGGGCATCACTCAAGAGGAGTTTCTAGGTTTCTCGTTCGTCAATGATGCCTTTGATGCCATATGTTGAGCAGCTAACATCGCCTCTAGACACAGCTGATGCGTATGTGTGTGTGTTGTTGTAAATTTCCTTCAAATCTAGCACTTCTGATGGACATAATATACAATTCTACTAGGGCTTCTGTGAACATAGTCATATTTGGATTGTTTTCAGTGTACCAATGTGTAGTCTCTCTGCTTGACTGTTGACGAAAGATTATTTTATTTTTAAATCATTGCCAGTGATGGACAGTGCCGATGGTGTAATTAGACGTTGCTGACTAGTACGACTAGAGTGAAATCCCATTCATCGTCAGAAAGCTTTTGTACATAACTTCGGTGACACGATGTATTTGAACTGGCGTCATGACGATCCTGGACAGCAGTGCACTGCTGAATGACCCAGGAAGGGATGCAGAGCAGCCTTGGTCACCTGACTGTGGGCCCATCACTGCTGGAGTTATTATGGCAAAGACACTGTGAGGAGTCGACTGTGTTGGTGTCTTGCCCAAGCCCAGAACCAAGTGCTGCCATGCTAAGCATCATGTCTCGTATTGCTGTACAATTTCTATTACTCAGCACCACACCTATGACATGTATAGAGCAAACTGATTATGTTTCAAATTCTTTAGTACGATATTATTTTTTTGAATTGTCAGTGAACTCCACAATATTATTACATTCAATACCTTACCTCCTAGATGTTCCCAACCCAAGCCACCTGTCTCCCCACACTCTGAAAGAGAAGAGCACTTCCACTGGTATCTTTACAACAGCAGAATTGTTACATTTCACTACAACTACTAATATTATTATTTCTATCTAGCAACTGAAAGCAAAAACCGGTCTTTACACAGCCAGTCAATGTCATCCAGGCGTTTCCCGTTTCTGTTTTATTGAAGGGCCATGGAGAAGTCGCACCGTAAATACACCTACTGGTACGCACGACTGCCGGCAGGTTGTTGGTAATCCAGGCCGGTCCGCGGACTATTCGGTCTACACCAGGGAGTCATTGCACCTACATTATAGGCAATCTAGGGTCTTAGGGAGATGACACAAGGCTAAAGTGCATGGGACCAAAGTGTCCAAAACGATGTCCATGGTATTGGAAGTCACCACAGTCTACGTGATCCGTGCTCTAGTCAACTCGGGGTCAAGATCACGGCCTCAACGTGCTTCACCCGAATGTGTCCCAGACAAATAATGCCATAATCATGTGAGCATCCAACGTCCATAAATCCAGTATAATGTTAGCAGGGTCAACTATTTTAAGTGTGTGCATTACATGTAATACCAAGAGTACATAACCCGGGTTATGTACTCTTGGTAATACTATAGAACGAGCACATAACCCTGGCGCGGTATTACTCTTGCTCTTGATTATCAGGTACATACTACTAGTATTATGTACGTACGTGCATCAGCCAATCGAGTTCCCTGTTGCTTTGCTATCCTTTGCCTGAGAGTTGGCTTCTCAGCAAAGGTGTGAACCAGAAACAAAGAAAAAAAACTGTTCTACCGAATGTCTTGTTTGAGGGGACAATCATGCACCGTATTTTCACATGACAAAGTAGACATCCACTCCAGTGATGAGTCTGTCCGATTACCGGCAAAGACAAGTACCATCCCTCCATCTCCTACTCCTATCCAGTTGTTTTTTATCAGTTTGTGCGTCGAGACCACGAGAGCTAACACTTTTTTTGTAGCTGCATTTCACCACGAAAACGACGTATCACTCGCTCCTCGTTTAATTTTAGCTACCGGTACCGGTATCATTAAAAATAATTTAAAAAAAGTAATCGTTGGGTGAGGGGGTTCCCCGTTCCCCTTCACTTTGCTGTCATGGTAACTATGGCACCCATTTTGTAGCATTCGTGGGGCCGCGATACACATGATACACGCGCACATGTACGTACGTGTACGTGTGCATGGACCGCGTACCGGACTGCATGCTGGAAATCGTGAAAACAAAAAAACAAAAACATTCGCAGTTCAAAGAAGTAGTGAAATAAACATCGTTGTTTCATGTGGATTTCTTTGTGAAGATTGGAGAGATTGTTCTGTGATTGTTGTGGACAATGGCACAGTTTTATCATTAAACGAAAGAATCCTTGGAGTATGCCTCTCCCTCGGGTGTACGAAGGCTGCAATTACCTTCGTCAACGGCTGATCTTGTCGACGCTGAGTGGATGTCCTGTGAGAATCAAGAATATTCGAGCAAAAGAAGACACTCCTGGAATCCAAGGTAATGTTCATGTTGATGGCACCGATATTTGAATTTGATGCCTGTGTTAAATCTTGGGACAGTACTAGTAAATGATCGAAGCACCAGTTGATTAATCATTCTGGCGAAATTACAGGTTGCTTACTGGGTTTTATTTATGGTTTTTATCCAGACAGCACTATGAAGTGTAAAGGTTCAGTTTAGGGAGTACAGCAAGTGTTCTATTAAACTGGAATGTCTGCACACACAGACACGCACACACAGACACACACAACACACACACACGCACACACACACACACACACACATACCACCACCACCACCACTACAACCACTTACATGCACACACACACACACACACACACACACACACACACACACACACACACACACACACACACACACACACACACACACACACACACACACACACACACACACATGCACACACACACACACACACACACACACACACACACACACATGTTTACATACATGTATATGTGTCCTGCTAGAGATATATAATGCCAATCCCAGGGTAACAACAGTCTCAAAGCACAGATAGTTCCAGGAAGGATGACCGATTGATCAGGTTATTGGAATTATAATCAGATGTTAGTAGACCTTGTTGGGGCCCTCCATTTGCTCATCAATCTGAGCTGCTCAGTCTTTTGCCTTGGTGAGGCGAACTTGCTGGGAATCCTCGTGGGCTTTCACTCACTCACCTGGCTCTGGTCGCAAGCTGAGCTGTCTTCCATTCTATGCATGTACAGTGAAACCTGTATGGGCCGACCGCTTCAGTAAGCTTACTATTGTTGTCCCCTGTACAAGTCTTAGAATCCGGGGTCTTTTGACTGGAAATGGCATGCCTTGGTCATAGGTATTGTGATCGTCTGGGACAGGTGGTCGCCTTGACAGGTTTTACTGTGTATGTAGCACCAGGGCCGTAGCTGGCCCCCCTTTTAGGGGGGGGGGGGGGGGGGGCATGGCCGCATATGTGTAGGATGGCCGGCGCATGTCATTCATGGTCATTATGTACATGCTTTATCTAGGTCGAAGTTTTAGGGGGAGGGGGGCACGTGCCTCCCTTGCTCCATGCGAACTACGCGCCTGAGCATTCAATCTCCAGACAGCTAACCGTTATAGATTTGTCCATGGCTGTAGCAAATAGGCCAAGTGTGGGCGATGCCGTAAATCATGGCTGTCAGCACATACTATTATACCAGAAAACCTTTGCAATTTGGAAACTTTCACGATGGGTGACACCTGTGTAGTCGCTAAAGTAAGCCTGCCCGAAGCGTAGAACTCGAGTGAAACAGTTGCACAATCAATCTGCTCCGGAGATCTACAGTCTGTATGCTCTAAAATGTGCGATGTACTTAGATCAACATAGACGTTTTGGTACAAAGGCAAATGCAAGTACAGTAAAACTTGTCAAGGTGACCACTCGGATAAGGTGACCACCTGCCCCAGAAGACCACTGTAACCAGGACCAAGGGATGCTATTTCCAGTCAAACGACCTTGGATAAGGAGACCACCTGGCAACAGAGACCACATTTTGAAGGTCCCTTGAGCGGTCGCCTTAGACAGGTTTCACTGTACAGTGAAACGGTCAATAAAACCTGTCACAGTAACCACTCTGACCACCTGTCCCAGAAGACCACAACAACTAATGTTAATGGGTGGCATTTGCAATCGAATGACCCTGGGTAAGAAGACCACCTATACACAGGGACCACATGTGTAAGGTCCCTTGAGTGGTCGCCATAGACAGGTTACTTTGTTCATAAAATACAACAGCTCTGTCACTGTAGTAAGTAAGTAAAGTTGGCACTTCTGCGTTTCCACCGGCTTACAATTGTGTTGAGAAACACTCTGTCACAGTACTCTTGTTTTATTTACCACAAAACCATGAGAGGTGCGTAATAATTCAATAAATGTTCAGGTGGTGCATTCCCAGCTCGCTTTTAGAAAGCAGTGGAGTAATAAAGATTGCACTCCCTGACTGAAACCCACTGAGCTTATGTGAGTCATTAGCAGATACTAGTATTCGGATTGCGCGCATGCTGGCCTTCGCTTTACGTAGTACGAAACGTACCTGGAACACATGATCAGATGTGAGTTTTCGTTGTCGGTGACCCCATATGCAGAGTTGCACACTCTTGGAGCATATCTTCTAGTGGTGAAACGAATATACCGAATATTCGAATATTCGTTCGGTTTGGCACATTCGAACGAATATTTCTCATGGCGAATATTCGTTAACCCAGTATGCAGAGTTTACCAGCGACTTCAAACTTTCGTAACTTCGCGAATACTTGACCGAATCGCTTCATCGAAAGGTCTATCGGCATTAGAAAACTCTCAGCTGTCATCTAGAAGCAACCCGAACGCAATCCGAGGTCCAGGAGTGGAGTTATGGCGCTTGAACGAAAAATCACGTCTCAAGATTTTTGAGCCTGTGAAATGCACTTCAGCTGGGATTTTGTGAAAATTGACTACTACTAGAAATGATGGAGAAATATGTGCCTTCGTTTGTCATGCCTAATAATAGAGACAATGTCCAAAAATATGACTGAGAGGAGGGCATGTGATGTCATCCGTCTTAACGAAAGAATATTCGTTCGTTCGTTCGTTAAGCCAAAGAATATTCGGCTACTGGGTTTTGATATTCGTTTCACCACTAATATCTTCTCTTGGTAGGACTAATCAGTGTTTGTGTGTGGGTGTATGTGTGTGAGTGTGGGCCGTGTACCAGTGTGCTCACTGGTGTGCATTCCTTTACTCCCACCCTCTACCATGTCTACTACGAGGCTCTAGCATGCTTTTTTGTGGGCATGTACGTGTTTCTCAGCAATCTTACGTTATTTCCCGTCTGTCTGTTTCTGTGACTAGATTTCGAAGCAAGTTTTATCCGCTTGCTTGACAAACTGACGAATGGATCACGCATTGAAATCAATGAGACTGGTACGTCAAAATGCGTACAGTGGACCATACCATTACACAAAGTACATTTTGTGTAGATGCATGGTTGCTTACATTTGTAATGACTGCGAGGGTAATTTAGCTGTAACTGTGATGAGTGGTGGGTCATATTCCATTCAGGACCAAACGAAAACTTTGTTTTGAATAGTAGCCGAGTACAGTAGTACTTTTCAACAGTATGGAAAAATTGCTGCCTGCTTCTGATACTCATATTGCTTTCTTTGAAGATGCCTTTCCTTTGTTGAATGTTGGATTAGGTAATGGGAAGTTCCGATGCCAATGGCATGTGCTCCAGCATTGTACATGTGTGCATGTAGTATTGTTCGGGGTCTGTGCTGCACAAACAAATACATACTGGAATGTGACATGTGCCTCCATGTGCGTGTCTGTGTGCATGCACGTGTGTGTGTGTGTGGGGGTGGGTGACTGTGTGTGTTTGTGTGTGTGTGTGTGTGTTCGTGTGTTTGATTAACGTCCTGGTGCTTTTGCAGGTACCAGTCTGAGTTATCACCCTGGCCTGATAAGTGGTGGGCAAATCACACACGAATGTAGCCTGCAGCGTGGCATTGGCTACTACCTGGAGGCGATCATTTGCCTTGCTCCCTTCTCTAAGGCACCATTCAATGTAACACTACATGGCATCACGAATGGGGGTGATGACCCGTCCGTAAGTGTTACGCCCGAATTGTCCCTGTCTATTCTCTGAAAAATCTTCTAAGACTTGAGGGTGTGGGACAAGTTCTGCATGAAAAAGCATCTGACAAGTGCTATGCTCTGTGTTTGACTTCACTCTCTGCCTTTTTAGGTGGATGTTATCCTCAAGGCCATGCTGCCACTGTTCAAGCACTTTATGATCACTGAGAAGTTAGACATGAAGGTGGTGCATCGAGGCGCTCCGCCTAATGGTGGTGGTCAGATTGTGTTCACGTGCCCGATCGTGCGGCACTTGCGTGCAGCGTCCTTGCTCAAGCCTGGCCGGGTAAAGCGAATCCGTGGCTTAGCGTATCCTCGTCTGCATTGTGTCCCTGTGTATTTCTGTCGTCTTGCTTCTGCTTCAGGCTGTATGTGTACTTGCCCCGTGTCGGACGTGCATGTCCTGTCACTTTCTGTGTGTGTGTGTGTGTGTGTGTGTGTGTGTGTGTGTGTGCGTGTGCGTGTGTGTGTGTGCGTGTGTGTGTGTGTGTGTGTTAGGCTGCTTGTTTTCATGTGAATGTAGCCGTAGCATTATCCTGTCAGAGGCCAAGCAAGATGGTTGCATGCTCGATCACAAGTCATGCAGAGTCATATTGTAGTGAGGTCAACAAAGCACTGTACTATTGTACCAGTGGTGGGTAGCGGGAGTTTGTGTTTGTATAGAGAGTTAGTGCACGCTTGTAAATCTTCTCGTATTTGTGGAGGGGTAGTATATCTCCAGCATGAAACAAACTGCTTGAATTTCAATTTTAGATCTAAAGAGTGGATTCGGTCAGGTACCAGTTTACATCCCTGTGCCCTTCTGCTCTGGATATGATGCTGAATATTCCTTTACAAGTTCTCCCCTCTTTTAGTTATGCTCTCCGCATGTCGCCCGCCATGGGAAACCGCGTTGTGGAAGGTGCACGCTCGGTGCTGGACAAGTTCCTCAAGGACGTGTACATCTTCACCGATCACCACAAGGGTGCGACGTCTGGAAAGTAAGCACCGTGCGGCATGTGTGCGTGCGGTGTGTGTGTGTGTGTGTGTGTGTATGCGTGCAGTGTAGGTTTCCTTCTGGTCAGGAGGACCTGTTTCAGTGTTTTACCTCATCACCTGGGGCTGTGGCGGGATTCTCCTTGCCTGAATAGATAAGGCTGTATGACCCGAGAGTTCTATTCTTTAGAAGCCAGTCAATTTCGTGCATATAGGGAGAGTCCCTTGTTGGAATGCATCCACCCGTGTTGCCACTGATTGCAGAAGCACTCTTGTTGGGTTTAGGAGGCGTACCGCTGAAGCATGTGAGGGTTTAGTATAGTACTCAACAGCTGCCCGATAATGAATCATGCGGTGTACCCACATGATGCTCTTTTATCAGAACATACTTTCCATGCTGTGTTAGTGTGCAAGCTAGGTTTCTCAGTCTTAGTGTATGCTGTTGGTGCTTCTCCATCTAGGTCGCCTGGGTTTGGTCTCAGCCTGGTTGCCGAGACGACGGATGGTGTCCTGTACAGCGTGGAGGATAGCTCTCGGCCTCCCGGCACTGGAGATATAACTGTGCCAGAGGACCTTGGCCAGTCTGTAGCCCGGCAACTTGTTGAGACAGTATGGCAGGTGAGAGATCGGTCGTGTAGGGAAGTTGAGAACTGCATATGTCGGTCTCTCCTGACTGGTGTTGGCTCGTTTTTTATTTCATTTTTTACAGGTCTGCACAAGGGATATGAATGCCATTCTTGGTACATACCCCTCCTTCCCTCCCTCTCCCCCCTCCATGTGTAACTCTATTTATGGCATCTCCGACGGTGAAAACTCACATCACTTGGCCCGCAACCTCCGCAAGTATGTTTTGCACGACGTATGGCAGACGGCAGTTGATGCGTAGTCCGAATCAACCTGTGATTTTGTTCACTTTCCATCCGGGAGTGTCATTTTTTACTACTCCGTGATTTTTCTAATAGCCCCGTGGATATGTACAACGAGACTACTGCACCACGTGATGTAATGTTTCACTGTCGGAAGACCTTATGGCAAACTCATGGGGAGGGCTGTATACTCCAGGCGATGTGTGTAGTCTCGTGCACTCTGGTCATGTGAGTGTGGTATGTGTATATACTGACAATGCCCCGGGCTGCTGCTGTATACTGGTGGTACCCATGTTTCGTTTTGGATTTGCTTGCTCTCATATTCTATCTTTCCAATGTGTGCATCAATTCGAAGAATCTGCTACCTTGTTTCTCCAGGGAGGGTGTGTTGATCCAAGAAGTCAAAGCTTCTTTCTTCTTATGATGGCACTCAGTCCACAAGACGCGTCACAGGTGTGCCTTGGCAGTCTCACTCCGTATACGTAAGTTATGCAACGTTGTAGCTTTTTCAGCACCTGTCTGATGAGTACCTGTCGGCATCTACTTTTTGTCAATCTGGCATGAGGCTGCCATTTGCAGAATGTCGACTGCTTGCAGAATTTCTTTCAAAAAATGTTCCTATCCATCATCGTGGTGTGTGCAGGGCTGAGACTCAGAGCCTATAACTTTAAAAAATTATATGTATGTGCAGGGTGGGGATAAGAGAACTTTGTGATGATGTCCTCCTCCCCTGATTATTAGTAGGGCTGTGTTTGCTAGTAAAAAAAAGTACCACTTGTGAAGTGTTGTTGCCCCTCCCTGGTTTGGTGATGTGTAGCTTTACTAGTATCTGTTTCTTGGCTACTTCTGTATGTTTTGCGCTCAGTGTTGAGTTCCTTCGGCACATGAAAGACTTCCTTCAAGTTGTGTTCAAAATCGAGCCACTAGAAGCGTATGAAGCTCGGCAAAGTGAAGACGCAACGCCAATGTCGATTGCAGCTGCCAGCAGTGCTGCAGCTGGAAAAGAAGGTGCTGCCCTCTATGTCCTGTCCTGTAAGGGAATTGGATATACAAATATGAGCAAAACAATAAGATAACGCAGTGCCTCCACGCTGTGTGTGTATATACTCAAAATAAGATAGCAGTCTTTGTGGGATGTTCTTCTGCTCCACCACCGAGGGATCCTGTATGGCCAACACTCACTCGTTTATGTTTAGCTTTGTACATAGATTCTGTCTGCGTATGTTTTTAACGGCGTATACGGCGTATTTTGTGTTTGTACAGTTCTGTTTCTAATGTGCCGCTCTTCTCTTGTATATAGCATTCTTTTTTGTCATGTCCTTTGGTGTTGTCTATTTTGTACTGAAGTACTTGAAGTAGGAGAACTGTGCCGCTTGACTTTTTTTTGTCTTTTGGAGGTAGAGGACGTATTTACATGGGCATAGTCTTGCACATGCTTGCAAGCCCACTCAGTCTGAGCTGGTGCGTCAGACGCTAACATAGATTTTATGTGCAGATCTGTGCCTCTGCCATCCGGATCAAGCTGTTGCTCGTAAATCTACAGTGGCCATGAGTACTGGCATTCCTGTATGAACACTATAATTGTAGTGTTCTGTTCTGCACGTGGTTCAACTGCACCAGTATACTACATCAGATCCTACTGTATTGGTGCTATGTGAGATCCGACCGAGTGAAATATAGCATGGCCATGTTCACTGTGCAGCTCGCTCGTAGTGCTGGCACTGTTATAAACCGTATTTACGTATCTAATATTGACTGAGTACGAGGTCAATATAGGAAATAAAAGCCAAGTAGAAGACCGAGGCGAAGCGGCGGTCTTTTACGAGGTTTTTATTTCCTATACTGACCAAATACGAAGTCAGTGTTAGATTTACCACGACAAATAGTCCATAATTATTTCAAATTCCAGAACGATAACCTCATGAATCCCGGTTTTATGATTGCACAACCGTTGCACCATCACCTACTCATACGACCATGCATATGGGCCACTGCATGCTGCTCCTGCAACACGGCAAAGTACAGTGACCATGCACTACGCACTGTTCAACTGCGCAACCCTAAGCAGTCAATATGAGGGAAATATTGCAGGAATATTTGACTGCTTAGGTATAGCGATAATCAATGGGAGTCAATATTATAACAGAGTGATAAACAATTATACAGTCATTATGTCCCATTTCACTTGGTGCCGCTCATACCAGTATACAGTACTGTAACAGTGTAGTCAAAACTGAATACTGTAGTAGCTGATACATGAGTATTGTACATGGACACGCATATGGATTATGCCACATGTAGTACATTAAAAAAACAAGGACGGAGGACACTATAACAAGTAAAGGTTTATCATAGCTATTATCACTCCCGGCTTAGTATTGACTCCCATAGATTTGTGCCATACCTAAGCAGTCAAATATTCCTGCATATTTCACTCCTTAGGGCTATTATTGACCGCTTATATTTGACTCCTTTTTAGTGATTGAACACATGTACAGGCTTTGGCTAGTCGTGATAAATCTAATATTGACTTCGTACTTGGTCAGTATTGGAAATAAAAGACCTCGTAAAAGACCTCGGCTTCGCCTCGGTCTTTTACTCGGCTTTTATTTCCTATTGACCTCGTACTCAGTCAATATTAGATACATACTGGTTTTGAACCAGTGTTACACTGTCATTGTTATAAGCCCTTGTACTAGGCACTTCAGCCGGTTTTTTCAAGTCGGGTTTCTCCCAGGTTTAGCATCGTAAATCGACAGTGGTGGGTATCACGAGGTCACACACAAAATTTCATTGAAATCCACAAAGATACAAGTGAGATATGAAGGGTTGAAGAGAGGCAATTGCATGAGGCGAAAGCAATACAATTTGTGGTATCAACAGCATCCCCAAAGTGTTATCAGTGGATATAGTTACAAAACATCAGAGTGGCATTTTCCAACACACGGCTCTCACAAACACCAACAACCGTTTATGGATCAACAAAATACTGATCAAAGTTCACAATAGTCCAGAATACGGCAATTGTTACCACAATCACCATGGCAACCCCATAGCAACCCATAGTAACCCATGGCAACCCCATAGTAACAGCTTCAGTTTGCTGTGAAATCAGCTAGTATCGACATTAGAGTTCACCAGCAGGCAACTGCCCCTGCTAAATGCTATAAAAGACATTCTTCTGGCACTCAGAAGGTAAGCACCCAGAGATAGCATACGCTAAATGAATTAAAAGCGGAATTTCTGCATACACAACGCACGTGCACACGTTAACGCCACTTCAAACAGAGGTTCGATGTTGGAAACCAGTTTCTCTATTGGCAGCTCCTTTGTACCAGTAGAAAGTGCAAACTAAATTACTTCGGACCTTCTGCAGCAGAACAAACTTGCAGAAGTGAAACTGCGAATTGAGAGCAAGGCGTTCGTCAGTGACACAGAACATTTTTGAGAGCTGCTCCTGTGCTGCCTCCTTCGAGATCCAGAGTCCACCTACAGCCGTGATCTTCGTCAAAGTCTCCATTTCCTTTTGATGTTGTTCTCTCTTGCGTGTGCTACCTGATCCTTCTCCTTCACTTGCTCCATACAGCAGTCATGAATTGTCTGCTGGCGAGCCTCGAAATTCGAACAGAATTTTGGTGCAGCGCGCCTGGATGCGTCGATCAAAGTGTCCCTCTCATCGGAGGATTTCTCCTGTAGCCACTGTGCCGTTTGATTGTTCGTAAACATCAGTAGCCGTTCAAGCACAACAGGGTCAAACATTGGCTTTCAGCACGCTTTGAAACTGGCTCAGGTAGGACGACGACGCATCTTTCTCCTCCGCCTCAAGCCCTTCTCCTCACTATCTACGTCCATATTTCCTCCTTGCGCAGCTATGCGCAAACCCTGGTGAACAAGAACTCAACTGTTTCTGAATGGAAACACGACGCTGAAGACGATAGGCAACGTTTCCAACGCGTACTAACAACATTTCCTTGTGAAAAAACTCTTTGCTGGAAGTGTACCTGCAAGTCGTAAAAATGTACGCACTATGACGTATGTAGGCTCTACTGAAAGCTGAACGTCAGAGCAGCACGATGCACTGAACTACATGCCCGTACAACGAAGCATGGTGCGTACCTGTACAGTTTTGCGCATGCACTTGGCTGATACCACGCAAGTATGCACTCAGACCTCAGCAAAATTTGACAGGTCTTGTCACGTGACTGAAGTGCCTACTTGTACTTTGTAGTACTTGCATCGTGCGGATGTGTCAATCAGCCTCAGATCAGACTGAACTGAGAGAGTGCACTTCAAAAAATCTTTCCCTTTAGGCTTTACTGCACTAACATGATGTCACTTCGTCTTTTGACACATGAGCACGGTTCGAGCTAGCTCAAGCCTGACAAGGACTTACAAAATAGGTGAAGTGTCCGCCCCGTTCTCGACACAAGTCCACACTCGCTGCCTTTCCGAGTTCATCAGTGGCTATTTACCTCAATTTTTAGAAGCTCACAGCTAGCTAGCCCTCAGTCTGCTAGCGAGTGCCGGCTGAAGAGTGATAGCGAGCTAGTGTAGTACGAGGGTGAAGCTGAATCTGGAAAGACTTTGTGCATGTGTACGAGTAGCTACATTGTAGCTGTTCTGCTGTTGGCATCGCATTTGTACAAAATATTTTCAACGAAACAACTTTTCCATGATCCATGTGGAATATTGTGTTTCCAAATGTTCAACAGTCAATCCCAAGTACCAGTACAGTAGACTCTTGGTAGTAGTTCTAGTACTGCAGTACTACCCTATACTTATATGTTCTGTCGTGTGTGTCACTCACTGTCTTTGCCCGCAAGTAGTTCAGTTTGGTCTGGCAGTGTATTGCACAGCATAATTATAGTAACGCCAAGCTTCAATTCGCTTCTCAAATCAAACTGGATACCTTGGAATCGGCTTCGGGAGAGGCATTTTGCCTGATTGGCATGTCCCAAGACCATGGCGACGCCTATCTTCCGACTACACACGAATCCACGATCCAGGAGAGGGACAGCATGGGCTTGCTCCTCGATGGGAATGAGGGCGAGGACTGCACACAAGATAGTTATTCGTGTGTAAGCCCTGCGCAACAAAGCCTGCCTGAGTCGAATGTGGATGGAGAGTCAAATGATGAAGACTCCACTGCCTCCAGTGAAGCAGAGACAGTGTTTGATTGCTTAGGCTTGAGCCTGAGTGGAAACACCAAGTTTGGCATTGGCGTGCTCTTGCTCATTGGAGTTGATGTGATCTGGGTGGCATCGGCAGCAGCGACAAAGGTACTTGCCATTACACACAAGCCGCATACAATGAGACATGCCCGATGCTAGCAATATGTTATAATTATGCAGTTGGGCGAATGAAATCCGCGCCATGGCATCAAGAGTACATACCCCCCCCCCGAGTGTGCAATGCCTGATCCAGCTCTGCATAGGGTCTTGGTCGAGCGTAGTCGGATCTTCTGATGTCATACGTACACTCCACACCAGCGCAAGGCCGGTCTCGAGGCAGGGCACCGTTGTTTTTGATCCGAGAGTCCCCGCGACTCCCTGGGTTCCCCTCAGATGTGTACGGTATGATAACGCAAAGATCCGATTACGCTCGACCAACACCCTATGCAGAGCTGGATCAGGCGTTGCATACCCTGGGGAGTTATGTACTCTTGATGGCATGTATGATGGGGTTTCTTTCCCAGTGTATGCCAATAGTCCTGTGGTAGAGGTAGGGGTGCCAATAACCTAGCGTCCGAGGTCCCAGTTATCCCATTACCCAGGGAACTCGTTCAGTTTTCGTATTCGTGGCAAAAGGATGGGTAGATGAGAAGCTTGATTGCATCTCAGGGCCGCAGTGCCTGGTCCAACCAGTCACGTCAGGCCATGGCTAGGCTGGGCCATATTTTGAAAAAGTTGACCTAGCCAACTCGTGCAAAACAGGGGTTTCTGTCAATAATGTTCATTTCGGGTCAAGTACCCCATGTGGCTTGACCCCCTGAAACCCGGGTGCTACGGTTCTGCATCTGACATGCTTCAGTGTGTGTGTGTGTGTGTGTGTGTGTGTGTGTGTGTGTGTGTGTGTGTGTGTGTGTGTGTGTGTGTGTGTGTGTGTGTGTCATGCGATTGACATGGGAACTTATGAGTCCAAGCAGGGTATTTGCGAAGAAAAAACTGCCCGCAACCCATTGAAAACAAAATTTTCGGGCTTTGTCAGAATAAATCCTAATGGGATCATAGTCTATTCTCTCAAGTCAAGGCGTACTACTAACTCTACTGTACTAGTCTAATGCCCCATAGTATCCCATCATTCCTTGTCTAGAGCATGCATAATCTAGGGGAGTAACAGCGGCACTCCTACACAGTTCCGAATGCGTAGCCTTCTTGTAGTTGCCGGGGGGGGGGGGGGGGGGATGTAGCCATTGCTTCTTACTTACGCTACAATACATAGTACTATGACATCAGGACAGGGTTGGCTGTGTGGGTACGTGTGCAGTAAGTTATCTCAACTTCTTCGCCTCTCTTTTTTTTGTCTGTCTCTGCGATGTTCTTCAGTATCTCTACGATGAAGATAATTACAAGAAGCCCCTGTTCACCTTGTACTTCAAGACAGCACTGTTTGCCATCTACTTGCTCGGAATACCACTCATCCCGAGCTGGAGAGAGCTTGCGAGTCGCTCTGCGTGGCGTCCCGTCGACGATGTGGAGGCAGCTGAAGGCACTGATGATGGAAATCAAGAGAGTGTTGATGTACACGCTGGAAATAACAGTCATAATATGATAGATTATGGCGATGACGTCGATGATGTGAGTAGCAATTTTGTATTGTCTTTGCAGCAGAATTCATACGTTATGCATGAGTGTAACACAAGTGTAATTTGAATGTGTTCACCAGCACTGGAGGACTGGGCTCCTGCTGAAAGATACCTTCTTGAAACAGCCATACGGCAGTTAGTACCAGTACAGATTGCAATGCCAGTCCAGACAGGTGATGCACACATGATCTACACCACAATGTCACTCCATTGCCATGCACAGAAGCACGTATGCTTGTTTTGCAAACTCATTTTTTCATTTCCTCTGTTGCCCAGGACGTGTTCACGGACATGTCCAGCTCTTATCGAACCCACTCTGGCAATGGCAATGCCACGGCCATGTCTCAGCCCGTCTCACCTCTCGTGGCACTGTCACCTGACAGCTTTGATGCTGATGCTGATGCTCCTCTTTTAGCCAGCGGCAATCACAGCGATGACGATACTAGCCTGCCATCGCCGTCATCATCATTATCATCATCACCTGGCTTCAGTCACACTCACCCCTCTGCTTCCTCTGTGCGCTCCAGGCAGCAGGTATGGCGGGGAAGACTGCAAGGAGTCGTATCACTTGCCATGTGCTCTTAGCCACTGTAAATGTGCCACATTCACATTCCAGGGACTTTTGCTTTGAGTTTCTATACTTTTAAGTAGCATCTGCTACCCCTTTCTGTAGAAAAGTGCTTGGGCTGACAAGCTCTTTCTCACCACTCTGCAAACACGGAACACGTGTTTGTGTGACCAGAAAAATTCTGGTGGTGAAGCAAATCACGTACACTACGAGTGCAGTTGTATGTAAACGGATGATACGCTGTGCATGGTGTGCAGTTGGCATGCACCTTGCATGTACTAGTAGTGCTTGTGTGCACTGCAACACTGCACTGCAACGAGCACTCACCATATATGCGTGTACATGTATATCCACAGTGTGACTGTTATAGTCTTGCTGCTGCTGCTGCTGCTGTATAGCACTGGTGCTGTGCGTTCACGGTGCATGCATTGTGCATATGACGTTGCAAGCCAATAACTATGTGTAGTAGCGAGCCACTTTTCGGTTGGTGCAGTTGTCTGGTTCAATGAGGCAAGTCATTTCATGCAATACTTGCTGCAGTTGTGTTGCACTTGACTCCCCTGCGTGTGTTCAGGTATTGAACAGTCACACCAGTGCTCCCCTGTCTGATGGTGTGTGTGTGTCACTGTGTGTGTGTATGTGTGTATGTGTGTGTGTGTGTTCATGTGTGTTCATGTGTGATGCACGCGGTATTGTTTGTACTTCAGGGGCGTTCTATTGGACTTCCGCCCATACTGTCAGAAGTCGGAGAGGACGGCTCTCTTGCTAGAGATGCTGACGGTCGGCTTGCGGGTGCATCAGGCATGTCCGTCAACCCCAGCCCATGCTCCCACGAAGGACTCCTGCTAAGGGATGACGCCATGCACTCAGCGTCTTCCGTTGACAACGTTAGACGGCAAAACTTTGAGAATGGCCGATCGCTCACGAAGACCATGTCCCTTGTGAGCACTGGTAGCATTGCCTCTCTCAGGTCCTGCTTGAAGAGATCGCATAGTGGCAGCAGTTTAGTTGAAGTTCCACCACTGCCATCTCAAGGCAGCCGACCACAGCTAGTAAGTCCACAGCACCAGCAAGTCATTGCATGATGCGGGTATTGAACTTACAGTAATCCCCTGTTCACCCTGTGCTGCACTTACAGTAATCCCCTGGCCCTGTTCACACTGTACTGCATGTACATGCACGGAGCAGCACTGTTTGCAGTCCACTTGTGCTTGCCGAGAATGCCATTCATCCCCAGTTGAAGAGCGCTTGCGAATTGTTTGCTGTGGCATCGTAAAGTCGCTGAGGAAAGTCGAATTTCAGTTGATAGCCACAGTGCAGAACGCCTCATCCTAATCAGCGGCTGGGTTTGGACGCTTTGAAGGTCTTGTTCACAGACGAGTTCGGAGTTTCCCTTGTTCTGGCTTTGCCGTTGAGCAGTCTGAGCAGAGAAGAGTATGACCTATCACGTCAATCATGTACTTACTCATACACTGTAGTGTTGTACTCATACTTGTACATGTAACTCTTCCGGGGACCTGATTGCACATACTCTTTTAAAGAATATGTGCAGTTCATTATCACGGGCTGAGAGTTCAGCTTGGCTCCTGCGTAACGTTAGACGCGCGCACACGTTAGCATGCTGGTATGGTGACCCGGGATGAAGTTGTGTCTGTGTGTGTGTGTGGTGGGGGGGGGGGGGGGGTGCGCGTGTGTGTGTTTGAATGTGAGAGTGCTTGCATACACGTGATTCTCAGTGTAAATAGTCCGCAGTCCAGGGTGCAGAATTGTGACTTTTCGTTCGCCACGAAAGGGCACCAAGGTTTGACATGACCAAATGAAAGAGCAAGAGCAGGGCTTTCCAGGCATGTGTCTCTTGATTAGCTGTGTTGGGGCTTTGTTGACCAAATCGCGACAATTGTTTTTCTATGCGTTGCCATGGCAACTGGATCATGAATTTGAATTTTGAGGCTATTGCAAGCATCATAGCGATGTTTGTGAACTGTATTCGAGCCACAGAGGCTGAGGAGAGCCAGCATGCGGAATGTTACTGAATTTGGATGAAGTATAGGCATGTAGAGAGGAGAAATAGTACTGCACAGTATGACACAACATGCGACACAGTTGTCATGTCATGTACTACCTTGCAGTGTGCACCTACAACCACACTATCGCATAACGGATGAGTTCAAAGCAATAATACTAATAATTATATGTTCTAGAATTACATGTGACAACAAAATACACAAAGAAAACCGGATGAGACGAGTTAATTAATTACATGTATGGAGACTGGTGTGAGAAAACCCATGCCATGCACACTGGAGTCGGCCTTAGGAGGAGTGCATTTACTTCAAGTGCAAGTCAACGTAATGGTTTACAGCAATGCAGTGGCTGAAAATGCAGTGTGTGTGTCAGCAACTAAACATAAAGAAATGCGGCATCAAATTCGTTTCGAACTAGGGAAATAGTTCCGAGAAATATTAGACAATGCTGATAGTTAACCTCTGTGTATATTGCGACCCAAAGACCAGGTATGGTCAAACAAAGGGAATGAACTATTTTTAACTGTACTTACGCAGCGGACACGACAACACCAGGGGCATTCGAAGGGGTGTTTGGGGTGCCAAAGCACACCCCCCCCCCCCAAAAAACCGAATTTGATCTTGGTTTGCAGCTCGTTCAAGAAAGACCATAACGCGCGGACCATAACTCTACACATCGCACACTGTAGCCATCCCTGTTCGGACTTACGTGGGTTTTTTTAAAATCTGAAACCAATCTACGCGTTCTTACTTGCACTTGACTATTTCGTCGGATGATTGGCCATTTTGGAATGGTTAGTGCGGTACGCAGTGCGGCACGTCTTCCTTATAATGTACATCATCCGCTTTGAATGTCTTGTTTTATGCCGTTATGTTCTCCACATGTTTCTCCGTAGAGCCGTTGTGTTTATGATAACAAAATATACCATGTGACGTTCATCCACTGTCCGTAGACGGCTCAATTTGCCGAAGACAAAGAGCGGAATACACAGACTGAAGAACGAGCAGTTGCGGTTTCGTAACTCTGAGTTTCACGAACTAAATCGATCATCAGACGAAGATTGATACTGACCCTGCCCTGAGAGTACTGATATATTATTTTTTTTATACCATGAATGTGGCAAGCGCAGCGGACTTAGTATTAGTAGCACTCTCAGGCCAAGGTCAGTATCAATGTTCGTCTGATCGGATTGATTCAGTTCATGAAACTCAGAGTTACGAAACAGCAACTGCACGTTCTTCTGTCTGTGTAATAACAAAATATATAAATATCGGCCGACATGAAAGGACCACAATGAAGGCATGCTCTTTTGTGTGGGAACGTCGAGGAAACCACCTTGATCACTATCCTGGCTACGCCCCTGAACACAGTCATCAAGTAGTTCACTGCCTACAGCAGAGAAGAAATCATCCTCCCAGGAATTCGATGAGGCAGTGAGGTCTGCAATGTGCGTCTTTTGTCTGCTTGCTACAATCCTAGCGAGAGTTTCTGCATAAGTGCATGAATGATAGCAAGACTTATGGTAGTGTACCTCTCTAGCGATCAGATTCGCTGAGCTTGCTGCCATAATCCTTTGATCTTGTCGTGTGGCAGCAGCCGTCCGCAATTATTTCTTTTCTGCTTCCACTCTCACGAGTTGAGATGTCGCCTGCTTGGTTGTACAGCTCGCTTATTTGTTTCAGCGTGCCACAAAACAGGCATATTTTTTAAGTTCTGGTTCAACAACAGGGGCTCGTAGCGATTGATGAGTCATGTCCATCGAACTGCGGACTCCTCGGATGCCGTGCAGGCTGTCAGAATATTTGGCACTTGGCATTGTGTGAATACACTTCAGAGTTCTATTCGTTTCGGGTTCCAGTACAGAGGAGATAGCACCATGTACCAGGCCGGCCAGCACTCGGCAGGAGCTCATCACTGCAGGTGGTATTGCCAAAATACGTGAAACCATGGCATAGGCGAGGCACACCCGATCGACCTAGAAGTAGAACCTAAATACTACAGAGTACCGTCCAGGAATACGTTTTTACATCTGAAGCGCACCACGTGGCACTCCAAGGGTGCGAGATTTCAAATTTGAACTTTTGAGTGGGTTTGATGCATGCTCAAACTTACGCTCCGCGAAATTTGTGCATGGATTTGCCCCGAAGAAAATCGCCTCTATCGAGAGAGCGCCCCAGATCTAGAAGCACTTCTCGACTGTTTTGGGTACCTCAAGGGGTCCTCTTTCAGGCCCCCACATCAAACCTTGGTGCCCCGTCGTGGCGAACGGAATTTTTTTAGGGCTACATTTTGAGCACTTGGACTGCGGACTAAAACGGGATCATAGGCTGACTGTCAGAGCAGCTCTATGGGTGAGTTTATCCTGGAACAAAACAAGTCTTTGATGTGCGGCAGCTCGACATCAACTCACCCCGGGCGGAAACGTTGTATATGAACCCCTCACCTTTCCGCTGATCCACCCCCAGTTGAAGTTCTTCATGGAAACATGCCCTCGTTGTGTTTGTGTACTTCATGGAAACAGGCCCTCTTTGTGTTTGTTTACTTCATGGTGATGGCCCGTGCGTGTGACACTTATGATATTGTGTGTGTGTTTTGGTCTATCCCAGGCTCGTGGTCGTTACAGTCCGATTACGTTGCGGCGAGTGTGTGAGCGGGAGGAACGAGATGCCGACCACGATGAGCACGATGGAGAGATTGTTGAGGAACACCCCGCTGGTAAGGGCACTGCTACTAGTGTGTTTCGTCACTCAGGCTCTATTGTTAGCGTGGCAGCTTGTCTTACCTGTGCTGCATGGAATCCATCCTCGTTGTAATGGAACCCATCCTGGTCAGAATTCAATCCGGTGTGCTCATAGACACACGTGCCGCCAAGTACCACCGGAGTGCCAGTTTTGCATGCGCATCTCACCTTGAAATGCTAGTAGGGAAGTGTGTCTTCTCCTGTCTGATGTTATCTATCAAGAAGCTCAACATCTACATCAGGCAGGGGGACTAGCTCACATGGTAGAGCGCTCGCTTAGCATGCGAGAGGTACCGGGATCGATACCCGGGTTCTCCAGGCAATCACTTTTTTTTTGTCAGAACCTTACTTGTCCCTTCCACTGCATTGTAGAGCGGGATGCACACTACGAGCGTACATGTATCACAGGGTTTCCTTTTGAGAGTGAAACCTGTAGATCAAAAATGAATGCCCCCTGCGAAGTAAGATCCTGCATGTACTGTAAATATACAAAATTTCGGCGCTGCAAAATTTCGGCACTTCACGATTTTTGACATTTCCGCGGCGATTTATTTTCGGCGTGGGGTAGAGGGCATGGTATAGTGCGACAGATGCTGTGAAAAATTTCATCGGCGTTTTAATTTGGGCGTTTTGGGTCGGTGCCGAATATAGCCGAAATTAAAAAGCTGCCGAAAATTTGTTTATTTACAGTACTGTTAGTAGGCAGTCTGTTGGGGATTTTCAGGGAAGAAAACAAATTTACTACGTATGGTTGGAATTATTTCTGTAAAGAAAAGTTACATTTGTTCCCAGGAAAGCTGGACCACTGTGGACGATTTTATGTGTGTGAACTTTTCATGAAGGAAGAGGGGAATGGAGTGGGGTATGATCAAAGTATGGATTTGTGTATTTGTCATGCACAGCCGGGCAAGTGATCAAGGCCAGGTGTAGCAGCAAAGTTCATTTCAACATTTCACGTGAAGTACGGGTGTTGCCAGGTGAGTGCTTGCTTGGCACACTGTTAGTTGTACCAGTACATTGCTGTGCAGTACATTGCTGTGCAGTACATTGCCGTGCAGTACATTGCTGTGCAGTACATTGCCGTGCAGTACATTGCCGTGCAGTACATTGCCGTGCAGTACATTGCCGTGCAGTACATTGCCGTGCAGTACATTGCCGTGCAGTACATTGCCGTGCAGTACATTGCCGTGCAGTCAGTACATTGCTGTGCGGTACATTGCCGTGCAGTACATTGCCGTGCGGTACATTGCCGTGCGGTACATTGCCGTGCGGTACATTGCCGTGCGGTACATTGCCGTGCGGTACATTGCCGTGCGGTACATTGCCGTGCGGTACATTGCCGTGCGGTACATTGCCGTGCGGTACATTGCCGTGCGGTACATTGCCGTGCGGTACATTGCCGTGCGGTACATTGCCGTGCGGTACATTGCCGTGCGGTACATTGCCTGCGGTCCATTGCCTTGCCGTGCATTGCCTTGCCGTGCATTGCCTTGCCGTGCATTGCCGTGCAGTGCATTGCCGTGCAGTGCATTGCCGTGCAGTGCATTGCCGTGCAGTGCATTGCCGTGCAGTGCATTGCCGTGCAGTGCATTGCCGTGCAGTGCATTGCCGTGCAGTGCATTGCCGTGCAGTGCATTGCCGTGCAGTGCATTGCCGTGCAGTGCATTGCCGTGCAGTGCATTGCCGTGCAGTGCATTGCCGTGCAGTGCATTGCCGTGCAGTGCATTGCCGTGCAGTGCATTGCCGTGCAGTGCATTGCCGTGCAGTGCATTGCCGTGCAGTGCATTGCCGTGCAGTGCATTGCCGTGCAGTGCATTGCCGTGCAGTACATTGCTGTGCCTTCTAACTATTATGGTTGCTAGTATACAATGTAGATTGCTGTGTTCACCTGCTTTGACCATGTCAGGATCTCATGCTGTTGATCTCATGCTGTCGATCTCATGCTGTCGATCTCATGCTGTTGATCTCATGCTGTTGATCTCATGCTGTTGATCTCATGCTGTCGATCTCATGCTGTCGATCTCATGCTGTCGATCTCATGCTGTCGATCTCATGCTGTTGATCTCATGCTGTTGATCTCATGCTGTTGATTTCAATGCTGCCCGTTTTGTTGCTGCTGCTGCTATGCTACTGCTATGCAGGTGAAGAATATCAAGATGCGAATTACGCCCGTCGCTCGTTTAATCAGGCAAGCGAATTGCGTGCGTCTGCCAAGCGCAGAGCAATGCGCCTGGGACTAAAGGAAACTGCTCGCTTGGCGTTCATATTTCTCTTTCTTGTAAGTTCAGCCAGTGGTGCACTGGGTTTGGGTTTGCTGTGGGAGGATTCTTTCCTTTTCTGCTGTCTCTTCTGTGTGTGTGTCTTTTGCTTATAATATTTTCCCTTGTGTCCCTGACCTCATGTATTTTGTTTCCGTGTGTATGTTGCTGTCTGTCGTGGTGGTGGCGGTGGCGGCTGTGCTGGTGATGGGTGTATGTGTGTGTGGGTGTGTGGGTGGGTGGGTTTGACTTGGCAGTGGTTTATAGCTAACTATTTCTATCAATTGGCATTTGTCAAGACGTCAGTTGCAACGGTCAACATTCTCAGCTCAACTTCCTGTAAGTCACTGTGCTGTCATTGTGCAGTTACTGTGCATGCTATTAGAGATGTTCTGCTCTTACGTTACGGGAACGAGACCCGAAGAATCACTCTATTTCGTTCCCGTGACGTATAGGAAACCTGTTCTGCTCTGTGTTCACGCAGAAGTCTCTTGAAACGTGTACTGGGAATTTCCTGTTCCAAATTTGGCAGTTGTCTCTCTGATTTGAGTGATACGCGGCTGATCCGCGCACATTTTCTTTGCGTGTGCTACAGCGTAGATACTAGAGAACCTCATTTCCGCATTAAAATCTGGGCCGAGAACATGCGTTGCCGTGGACTCTAACCCAGACATCTGTTCTTTGCGTGATTTCTCTACGTTTCACGTGAAGCAGAACCTCTCTATTGCTTGCTCTGACTTCTCTCGGATCTTTCAAAGTACTAGTACTCAATTCCGCCTTTTGGATCTCATAGCACATCTTTTAAGTCATACCCAGTCTAATGTGCTTCTTTCTGTTGCTATGGTTATGGTGTGGTGGTGACAGCTTTGTTTGTTCTGGTGCTGGGAGCGTTTCTGTCAGCGGACAGCGCTGATCGTTTCAACCCAAGCAAGTTGTTTATTGTCTTCATTTGGTGAGTGCTATGTGTAGTACATGTTTGTAACCGTCCTCAAGTTGCTCTTCATGTAAACATTTTTGCAGGGTTAAGTAGCCTGCTTCTGTGCCATACTCAGCTCTGGTCTCCAGTTTTAGAGTGATGGTCCATGTTAGCAGAAGGAGCATCTTTGCTAAGCTTTAACCTCGCCAAGTGAGAATTTACTTTAACCTCGCCAAGTGAGAATTTACTTTAACCTCGCCAAGTGAGAATTTCATTCCAGCGCTCACTGTTCACTGCACTGCTTTCTGAATTGAGACTTTGGTTGCTAAACACCATCTACGCCATATCATGCTGGTTTGCATATCGCTAAAGATTCCACTGTATATTGAGTCGTGTGTGTGTGTGTGTGTGTGTACATGTATGTGTATAGTACTGTGTACGTGCATGCACTCGCTCCTGATATTGCAAAAGAAGGATCCATGAGCGGGATTCGAACCCAGCACCCCTGTCTTTCCGGGACAGTGCCCTAGCTACCGGGGATCACACACTCCCGTGGCTCCTTCTTGCTACACTGCCCCCCCCCCCCCCCAACATGCTGTGTCCTCACGCCATGCTTACTCCGGGGGGGGGGGGTACGATGGGTCGTGGATTCGAGCCATTGCTAGGTGCCAATGTTGCAAAAGAAGGATCCATGAGCAGGATTCACACCCAGCACCCCTGCCTTTCCGGGGCAGTGCCCTGCCGATTAGGCTACCGGGGATCACACACACCCGTGGCTCCTTCTTGCTACACCGACAAGCAGTGCCCATGGTTCTTGTTTCATACAGTGCGCTATGTCCATGGACCTGTTCAATTAACCATGACATTGTAATGGCTGTACATGTGTTCCTGTGCTTCTGTGTTCCCATGTGTATGTGTTTGGGCAGTTGTGCTGGAGTTGCGCTGGTGGGTTACAGTGATTCGGCGGCCAAGGCCTCTAAGTCTGACAAAGGTGTCACTCTGGACTTAGGTGTACTCTACAGTCTCATTGGAGCACTATTGTGAGTGAAGGCGCTGCTGCAGCTTAGCGGGACGTTTTCAGCTCAGTTGACTTGTTTTAAAAGTTGTTATTGTCTTGTGGAGTGTGTCACTGTGTGTGTGTGTGTGGTACATGTACATAAGGAATGGGAAAGCCAGTACTAGTGTGAGTGCTAGATGCCAGGGTGTGTTCTGCAGTCAATGCTGTTAGAATGGGGCCTGAAGATATTGGTAAAAATTAATATTAAAAAAGAAAACACGCATGTGTTGCATGTCCTGGAAAAGGGTATACTGTATAAGCAGAAATATTCGTCTGGAATTTAATTTCATCTTTTTCGTCCAAGGAGGTTTTGGACTAAATTAAATGCCGGACGAATGTCGATTTGTCCAGCTTTTCAATACACTCTTATGATCCATGGACGAAATTTGCAACCAGACGAACTCCCTTTCTTTGGAGTTGGACGAAATTATTGACCGGCGAAATTTTCTGCCTGTACAGTATGTGGACATAAGCAACTCACCCGAAGAGGTAGCCTCAGATATGGACTGACCGTGTGAGGTCTATCCCCTGCCGTTGTTTCAGCACTAGGCACAGTCACTTCTTACAGCTCACCCCAGGCCAATGTACAACATAGTCATCTAAAATACGCCACATTAAGCACCAACGCATGGTTTCACGCGTACACGCGCCAGTTATGAATGCAGCCCTACAGCTCGCCCCAGGCCCGTGTGCAACATAGTCACACCTTACAGCTTGTCGTAGGCCAGTGTAAAACAAATTCAAATAGCATAGGGTGTGCTGCTTCACACTTCTTTCTTTGCTCTTCCATTTCCTCAAGTATGTTCTCACCTCCTTGAAGCCCCAGGGCCAGCAGGCACGTGTAGCACCTTCACTGTCGTCTCACTTGCTGTAACTGTGCAGTTTCACACTTGCAACACCATTGCACTTCTGCAGGGCTTTTATTCCAGTACGCAACCTGATTTGGCCTCTCTTTTTCCACAAGTAGATTGACCTTGTTCACTGCAGTTCCAGTTTTCGTCATTCCTAGTTGCCTGATGATTGCGAAAGCATGAAACTTTGAGCAGGAACAAACAAGCCTTGATTGCCATTGTTGTTCTATCATTCCTTGATTGCCATTGTTGTTCTATCATTCCTTGATTGCCATTGTTGTTCTATCATTCCTTGATTGCCATTGTTGTTCTATCATTCCTTGATTGCCATTGTTGTTCTCTCATTTCTAGTTGCTTGATAAGATACTGTAGTCCTTCACTGTACACTTGCCTTTGTGCTATTGTGCTATTGTAGAAATTGCTGCTGTTTGACTCTTTGCATGCATGCCTAGCTCAATAGGCATCAGCAAGTTGATCATGTTCCTGGTGTGTGTGTGTGTGTGTGCACGTGTGTGTGTGTGTGTGTGTGTGTGTGTGCACGTGTGTGTGTGTGTGTGTGTGTGTGTGTGTGCGCGTTTGTGTCTGTGTTGCGTTGTGCCTTAGCTATGCAACCTACGTCGTTTTGCTGAAGCGGTATGTGAAGGACCTCAATCGTCTTGTCGTCCCTCTCTTCTTTGGTAAGACTACCATCTACTTAGTATGGCTTAGACTGCACTGACGATGTGTTGCTGCTATGGTTCTAGAAGCTCTTTTCTCTGCATGCGTAGAGATGCTTTCTAGTAAATGGACCTCTCCGCACACAGGCACTCATATGTATTATAACGATGGTGACAACCACCACACCACCTCCATCATCACCTACAGTAGGCTACACTGGCCGCCGTTTGGAAGATGATGTCAGTGATCGTAGAATATTCAACAGTATACATGTAGTGATGTGTGTGTTTGTGTTGTTTGTTGCTAGGTTTTGTGGGTATGTGGTGTGTGGTGTTGCTCTGGCCTATGCTGCTCATCTTCAACTACACGGGCGTGGAGAAGTTTGAGCTACCAAACCAAGTGCATGGCAACGGCACTGAGTACATCTGGGAAGTGCTGGTTATCAATGGCCTCGTCGGTACAGTTCTATCTGAAGTCCTGTGGCTTGTGTAAGTAGTACTGTGTTAGGCACAGCAACTTATACGTGTTGCATGCAGCGAAGAAGTGAAACTGGCGCTGCAGGTGAATTATGTGTATGCCCGGGAATGACACGGTATGCATATCTTATGGGTGTGACAGTTCCTATTACAACACTCTGGCTTTCAAGGCTGAGAAATCATCAGACAGCAGCAGGTGATTCGTAGAAACTCGGAGTACTCGTACAGGCAACAGCATTATTATCACATGTGGAGCATTTCCTCTGATTGACTTACTGAAATGTGCTGAATTGGGGCCACTCATTAGCACTCTGCTTAGTCGAGCAACTCTCAGCTGAATTATGTTATCTGTGAGGCTGGGTGTTTCGTCCCGGGCTTATCCTTCGCCAAGGTGCTGCGACTGATGCATTTCACCAGCGTTCTTATGTGTGCCAAGGTGCTGCGACTGATGCATTTCACCAGCGTTCTAATGTGTGTTGTGCGTGTGTGTGTGTGTGCGTGTGTGTCCATGTGTGTGTGTACTCTATACAGTGGTGTATTCCTGACGTCGGCATTGGTTGGAACACTGGCACTAGTACTAGTCAACCCACTCAGCCTGCTCTATAGCATCATAGGCACAGGAGTAAGTTCTAAGGCTGGGCAACTGGGGCTTTTGAGTAATGTAGTTTTTTCTTCGTTTCAGTTTTGCACGTACCCGGCAACCCTGCACTACCTTTGTATATTCATTCAAAAATCAAATCAGCTTTCAAAGCATCAAGCGTGAATTTCTCAACGAATAGAACTAGCGGCAGGATGCCCAGTGCTGGTCTGCACTTACATACCGTTCGTCCGTCTGTGCATGTGTGCGTGTGTGCGTGTGCGTGTGTGCATGTCTACAGCTCAAAGTTGACAAGATGTACATCGCTGGCTCACTACTTGTAACCTTGGCATTCGTGTTGGTGTCGGTCAGCGGGGCAAGGAATTCTGATCCCGTTGGCAACGTGCTGAAAGGCTGCTGGCAGGTGTCCATGCGTACGTGGCGTGTGACCAAGAGGAGATTGGCACGGTAGGTGTGCGTTTGCATGGGACCAATGTGTGCTGTAGGTAACTGCAGATGTGTCTGCAGCAAGTTAATCCCACCTTAGGAATAAAGGCTATAAAACAGAGCCACAGAAAGTGCTCAGCCCAGGGCACAGAACTCGTGGAACATGTTTATTCATGAGGTTACATGTTGCTTTCCACCACTGGTGCAGCTAAACTACTTCAGTATAACGTACCTCCATGCCCATGGAGGGTATACAGGTCTGTACTCTATAGGCGAGATGCTAGTATCCGAGCCAAAGGCTGCTATGGCATTGTGCAGGTACCTCGACAATACTGTGTAACATTACAATGTAACACATTCAGGGTAGTTTCCACTGAAGCTTCACTGTATTATCATGCAATGCACAATAGTGGTGTGCAGGGAAAATTAGTAGCCACCGTAAGAAAGAAAGAACCTGGAGGAAGTACTTCGAAGTACAGTCAGACCTAGCTTAACCGGTCCTCTTTTATCCGGATCCCTCGCCATCCGCAAGAAAATCGTTGGTTACCGATTTTCGGCATATGCCATGCATAAATTAATACAGTAACTTTTTTTAGTTATGTGTGTTTGATTATCCGGTTCCCTGGCCTGTAACTGCAGTTATGCGAGGTCTGACTGTAGTCATTTTTAGTCACAGAAAAGTTGAGAAAACCCACCGGCCTAAACACTAGTTTTCATGGCTGACAGGAAATCCGTTGTTTCGGATTTGACAATTTTGGGATTCCTGGGAAGCTCTTCTTGGCGTCCAAGTAACTTTTAAGTAACAGGGATAGCGTTCACGTAATGCCACCTTATGCCGCCACCTGCACTCTTCACTCATGGTGTGCCTGATTGTGCGCCCTCCTCCTCCGCCTTGCCTTGTCTATATTTGTATGTACTCCGCCTTGCCTTGTCTATATTTGTATGTAGGACGTCCAGTTCACTGTACTTTCACAATGGAGCAAGCTAACAGTAACGTAACCACCTACCGGCAGCCACTGTGTCAAGAAGAGAGAAACAACAAGCCATGTCCGTCCCTTCACATCCTGAACGTCACACTTCCTCCTTTATTTTTATTGGCATGTACACATTTGACGAACAAACCCTACTACGCTCCAAAAGCTACTTGTACTTATTGTAGATAGAAGAATTGTTGTTGCAGGTCAACACCAATTTCCGTTTGTGCTGTCGGTATCTCTCGTAGTTTCTTTTGTCAACTAACAAGCAAAAACACACTACTCAATTTTCGTACTTTTTAAAGCGTCATTCCTGCTGCCCCTTTCCTGGCCCTTTAGTTGGACCCATCATTGTGAATCTTATCCAATGTTGTTATTGCTTACTGTATTATACACTACTGTATTACCGTATTAAACGTTGATTATAATTATTATCTTTGTTTTACACTTGATCGAAAAGGAATTCCAGGGAAAACGAGAGAAAAAAAAGCAAGTCATACTTGAAATGCTTGATTGAAATCACTAAGAACAAACAACATTGGTAATTCAAAATAACCCATCGTCGCGTCCTGATACACGACGCACGGTTGTGCTGAGAGAGCAGTATTACTAAATTTATGAAAGATGGAAGGGGGTGTTGGGGATTAAATTAATCAGAAGCAATGTCGGCTCTCCCAGCCTAATTTACCACCAACGCATGTGAAGGCGAGAAAGAGAGTAAAGCAGAACTGCGGCAGGAGCTTGCAGTTTCGAAATTACAAAAAATCCCCTTGCCAAGAATTACACACTGCATGCACAGTCAAAGCCAGACAGTAATGCCAGGACAGTTTCATTAGGGCCAGCCTACCACACATGTGGTGGTGGTGGTGTAGTGCGAGACAAAAAAAAAGCTCAGATCCACCACTGGTTTTTAACATACTATTAATATTATCAGTTGGTCGGTCTCAACGATCCCTACACTTTGTTACTTGCCTTTGTTACTGGGGACCTAGCGTAGTAATGAGATTGGCATGAGCGTGGCAATGCGTGACAACACGTATTTACAAAAAGTCTAGTGAAGATAGTAAGCGTATCAGTCAAACGCGCTGCGGTCATATTGTCCGCAATCATCACATTATGCATCATAACTGTGGATGAGGTCGATGATAATTGGCGATGAGTCCGATTCTCAAGAGGGAAGCGAGCATTTCGCTTTGACATCGCTACACCACCAAGCTTCCCATATATCAAGCAGGATATTGACAAATCATTATCTACAACAAACGACGACGGGGACAACGATGGTGACATCGATGGGGTGGTGGTAACTGCAAACAGTTAGAACAGCGGTGGTGACTATGTCAGCCACAGCAACAGCAACAGCAAAGACAAAACACAAGATGCCAGAGTCAGCAACATGTCTAGACACTGCACACTGTAGTGTTGTACTGCAGTTTATTCAGTTTATTCAGTTTATTCATTGTGTTTGTTTTGCCCGTGAAAGAGTCCTCAGCATTAGGGGCCGGTCACTTTGAGGGAACCATCCTCAATGATAAAGGCCACACATTTTTATTTCTATGTTTCTCGTCACCCGAAAATCTAAAATCGTATGCGAGAGGTGGAAAAAAATAAAAATAAATGACCCAAAAAAAAGTCTTCTAGACCTTTGGTCATACTAAAACCCTAATCCTCATCATTAACCCACACGGGTTGCTGTGGCAACAATGTCACGCCATTCCGTCCTTATCTCTGTCCAGCGATTGGTCTGTATTAGCGTGTCTGCTCCATTTGCTTTCTTTACGCTGTCCGTCCATTCGACTGCTGGTCGTCCTCTCTTCCTTGTTGCCGACACCATGCCCTCCACCAGATCGTTCAGTCCAGGCTACATCCTCTTGCGATATGTCCATAATGCCGGAGTCTCCTGCCGTAGGTTCTATCCGCTAACACTGGTCTCTCCATGTCCAATTCCTCCAGGTGTCCTTGTTTGTTCTCTTTTCAACAATCCATTTTACTCTCAGTAACCGCCGATAACACCACATTCATTTCAAACGCCTGCATGATGTCTTCCTCTCTCTTTGTTAGTGCCCATGCCTCCGAGCCGTAACTGACAACGGTTGCCTGCAGCAGTCATAACTTCACGCCATTCGATATTTTTTTGTATTTCCAAGTGGGTACCAGCCTGCTTAACAGTCTGTCTTGCCAGGGTCAAACGATGTCTCAGCTCTGCTGTTGTCCTGCTGGAGATGTCAAACTATGCTCCCAGGTATGTGAAGCTTTCCACTACCTCAACCACTTCCCCATTACAGGTGAAAGAATCGCCCGTATCATCATTGACCACCATAATCTAATCTTTGTCTTTTTCACATTCAACATCAAGCCGACCAATGCACCGTGTAAAATAGCATCCAAAGTAATTTGGTTAGCAACTACAAAAATTGTAGTAGACCTACAATGTACGTGGTAGGAGCTTCTGTTCTGTGCACGTGCAGCTAGTTTGCGCAAGAAAAAACTGCCGACCTCGCATCATGAACATGATTGTGTCGCGCAGGACAGCATATGCTGGTACATGGTCTCCACAGTGCTGCACAGTTTTCTTCTTCTTTTTTTCTTCCAAACTGCTGAATCGTATGCGCGCCGGGTGACGAGAAACATAGAAATAAAAACGTGTGGCCTAAACCGGGAATGTTTTTCTCCTTTTCATCACGGCCACACTGGATACGCACGATGAAAAAATCTCACCCACACGAGCTATTTTGTTTGCCACCATTCGCTTCTGGCAGTCTGTCAGCCCCACCCTAGGCCAGAGCTGCATCAGCACAGCCTCTAGAGTATCGCTCCACTTCATAACCCAATCAAGAACAAGGAAACTCAAAGAAATCCAGTGGAAGCCGCGGATGATTATAATCTTCGGCGGAAAAGCGGAGCCTCGAGCTGATTTTCATTGCGTGGATTAAATCTCTCAAATCTCCCCCTCAGCGGCAAATATCTTTTTTTTTCAAAATTTTCCCTCAGCGTGACCGTAATTCTAACAAACAGTTTCGGTGGCAAGTATTAACATGTACATGTAGTTTGAGGACACCCTGAAGTGGGCAACTCTTGTACTTTAGTATCTTACTACTCTGTGCATGGGGGTAGCTAGTGTTTCTGACAACAACTAGGCTTGCTTTGCAGTGTGATAACTGGATTAGCTCTGGAATGTGTCCTCTGCCTTGCCAGCCAAGCTATCCACCATACCCAAGCAATGTCCTCGCTGCCCAGACACTCAAAATTCCACAACTTCAAAAATCCATGACTATGTACTTCTCTCCGGTTTCAGTTCCTCGTGCCACATACTGTGCTTCGACCACCTTTATTCCTGTAGAACAGTAGAAGCTAAGAAGTAAGAACCCAGAACTCGTACGGCTACCGACCTAAGATTGACATCCCCCCCCCCCCCCCCACATACATACTTCATTTACCCACAATGTTAGATAATTACCTTTTCTTCTAAGCTGGATCGCTCTCAGATGCAGTCTCCTTGGGTGCAGTCTCCTCAGCTGTGGCCTCCTCAGCAGTGGCCTCCTCAGCTGTGGCCTGCTCAGCTGTGGCCTGCTCCGGCGCATCCTCAGAATGCCCCTCTTCAGCTACTATCGCCTCTCCTCCATTGGCACCGGTGCTTTCAATGCTGATCGGGACGAGGTCATCGCCCGCTGCTTTAGCAGCTTCTGCTCTTTCCTTCATGTCTCCATCAGCTTGCTTTAAAGTCTCCCAGTGGTTCATGGTGTTGCTGAGGTTATCTAGTGGTTCGTCAAAGTCCTCCTCCAGTGCGTGGCGCGAGAACAAATGCCATGCCTCCCACTGTGGCTGTACAATACCTTTGATGAATCCAATCTACAACCGATTTATCAAAAAGCAGAGGAATGAGACATTATTACTATCGCCTTTAATACATTATTTTGAAATAGAGCACTCTGGAAATAGAGCACTCTGAGCTCGAGTGTCGCTTGGTAGATAGTTAAAAACAGAGAGAGAGAGAGACACACACACACGCGTGCGCGCGTGCACACATACACACACGTGCATGAGCATGCACACACACACGCACGCGCGCGTGCACACACATACACACATACACACACGTGCATGAGCATGAGCACACACGCACACACACACACGCACACACACACACACACGCACACACAGTCACATAGACACAAACACGGACATCGTCCATACATATGGCTATGACCTTTATCAGTACTTTGAGTACGTACCTGCATATCATACAGCGGCACGCCACTGTTACGATCAAACACCATGTGCGGTGTGAAGCCAGCTGCCTTCTCTTTGTCGCCCTGGGTAGGAAGAGAGCACACCAGCTCAGTCACCAAATAGGAGTAGACTGTCAAGCGCAGGCACACCCCCGTATGCGAATGAAACATCGCAAAAACACATGATCATCATTTCAGAAGACGATTCCGCACAGGGTGTACCGTGTGGCGCAGTGTGTTTTGCACACCAGCTTTCAAACACATAACCAACCGGTCTAAGCATTGAGGCTGATGTGATGCAGCAGTGGAACAACTCGGCACTATCCAAATTACACAGAGTGACCAGAGTATGCGAGTCCCACAGGAAGAACCTTGAGGCAATTTTTTCTTTCTGCAGGATGAACGCAGCTGCACACACTCTGTACTCTTGGTGCTATGTGGCTTGAATGCGGTATGCCGTAACCAAGCAGCCATTGCACGCAGGGAGACGACACGAGATCATAGCAGCCGAAACGATGTGCACTTCGGATGAACGTGTGATCTGTAGTCTATGCAACTGGCAATCGACCGACAACCGACAATGGACTTGACCTGCTGACGCTGAGCGCAGCCCAGACAAGCAATGTCGTAAACGAGCATGATGCATAAATCGGCCCTGCCCCAAGGGCGACTGTAACGGGCAACCCGGGAGTGAAACTCACATTGTCTAGGGCCACAGTCGCCCGTGACGTCTCCCTGTGTGCTACGGCTCCCTGGTCACAGCCCAGAAATGTATGAACGTTGGTTCCACTTGGATCATACCATTGTCTGCGCTGACGCAACACATTCAAATTGCTTTTTCCCATGCGAGGGGGGGGGGGGGTACCATTGGGTGACCCAGACCAGGCCACCCACCAATCAGGCAAAGACATGGCGGATATGGGCAACCTGTACTTGATTCCTCCACCGTTGTGCTTTATACCAGTTTGACTAGAAGTCGTTAATTTCAATTTGTACATGTAAGCCCAATGCACTGAGCATCAAAGCAAGATCACATATGAAACGCACTTACCTGGGCGTAAAACTCACTGACTATACGGTTAGTCCACGCTTGGCTGAGATGATGCGGCTTGCATGGGTTGCTGATGTCAGCAGAGTGTAGCAGAGTCTCCAGCACCTGATTATCATTGTACACACGTGCCCACACACACACATGCCCACGCACACGCACACACACACACGCACACAGATATGCACAACTGGACGCAAACAAAGGAGTGGGTGACTTCATGGAGACAACTACACAACTACATGTACTAGTATGTAGCACCGTAATCTTTGCTGATATTGCTTGGTCCAGAGAACACAATGGGGGCATTAAAATATGCAGGTTTCCCGGATCTGCTTCCACACAATGTCACCAGTCTGCTGGTTTGAGTTTCAAAACCCAAAGCATCGTTTTCTGAGCACAGAAACACGGACCCACAGTACAGCAATCCTTAGACACACACACATACCAGTGACTTTTCGGAGGCGTCATTCGGACGGAAAATACTTCCACCGTTCTCTGCCCGCACATCGTTGACACTGATACCTTCGGAAAAGCTGGTGAAAGAGCCCAGCATTTCCACATGCTTTTTCGGATCGGTTGCCAAGATCTGAAACACACCCACCAGAGTTACATGTACATACTAGTTACTTCAAGTAGTACTTACGTCTCCGTCTTCAAGTAGTACTTACGTCTCCGTCTTCAAGTAGTACTTACGTCTCCGTCTTCAAGTAATACATAGATGAAGTAATACGACGGCAGACAGTTACGCCCATGGGGATGCAAAAAATGGCTGTATTGTCTAAAAATGGCACAACATTCGACAGTGCTCTTTGATCCAAGGTTCACATTGCTAGTCCTGTACATGTGTTTGCACTGCTGACCATTGCTCGGGTTCCAGTAGTGTGCAAGGGTGTTGAAGGAGTCTCCATTTCACTGCCAGCTGCACAATGGACTGATGTCCAATATTGATGAGGTCGCATTACTTCATGTAACATACAGTGAAGAAATGAGTGTGTGTGTGTGTGTGTGTGTGTGTGTGTGTGTGTGTGTGTGTGTGTGTGTGTGTGTGTGTGTGTGTGTGAGTGAGAGAGAGAGAGAGAGTGTGTGTGAGAGAGAGTGTGAGAGAGAGAGAATGTGTGTGTGTGTGTGTGGGTGTGTGTGTGTGTGTGTGTGTGTGTGTGTGTGTGTGTACATGGTGTGTGTGTGTGTGTGTGTGTGTGTGTGTGTGTGTGTGTGTGTGTGTGTGTGTGTGTGCGTGTGTGTGTGTGTGTGTACATGGTGTGTGTGTGTGTGTACATGGTGTGTGTGTGTGTGTGTGTGTGTGTGTGTGTGTGTGTGTGTGTGTGTGTGTGTGTGTGTGTGTGTGTGTGTGTGTGTGTGTGTGTGTGTGTGTGTGTGTGTGTGTGTGTGTGTGTGTGTGTGTGTGTGTGTGTGTGTGTGTGTGTGTGTGTGTGTGTGTGTGCATGTGTGCGAGTGAGAGAGAGAGAGAGAGAGAGAGAGAGAGACAGACAGACAGACATACACACAGACATACATACACACAGACACACACACACACACACACGCACACACACACATTGTGAATAGATATTATCATTCCTTGCCAAATGCAGACGTGCGCACAGTTTCGTGAGGATATGAGGAAATCGCCTTACCAGCTTGATAATACGAGCACGTGCATCACAGTACTCGGAGTAATTAAAGCTGTCAAAGATCTGACAATCCTTTGTTTTGTCCTGCAGTAACACCATACACGTATACATGTACCAGAAAAACACGAACAATTGTTCATTTTCCACATGAAGGACATTGCATAAAGTCACAAACACTGTGCATTGTCGTCATTCAGTTTTCATCAGTCTGTCTGCAGGAATGGTATGCTATCCAAACGATAGTGGGAGAGGGAGAGGGGAGAAGAGAATGGAGAGGAGAGGAGAGGGAAGGAGAGGAGAGAGGCAGAGGCAGAGACCGAGGCAGCCAGAGGCACAGAGAGACAGGCAGAGACAGACAGACAGACAGACAGACAAACAGACAGAGGGGGAGGAGAGGAGAGGAGACAGTGAGTGAAAGAGCTGTGGTGCAGCTCAGAGTTTCACTTTCATTCACGATTATTAGCCAACTGGTCCAATCAGGACGAGTTCTGCTTTGACCGGTGATACAATTGTTCGAGTGTGTACATACCTCACCCAAGGTGATGGCTATAGATGAATGGAGGTTCTCCAACACAGACTGGTCATTGTACATAAGGGCCAATTCATGACCTGAAACACAGCAGATAGCGCGACGAGAGAACCATTTGTACACTACCCCACAAACAAAAGACGCGAGTCTTGGCATTGCTCCCATCATACAAACTCTGTCGGTTGTCCATGTCTAAAGGAATGGTTTGGGACTAGTTCGTGTAAGTGTACGGTTTAGAATTCGGTAGGGAGAGGAACTGCTTTGAAATGGAAACATGCTGATGCCAACACTATGAAGGGAGCTTGGAAGTTGAATTCGGACTGGAGAAAGGAATTCCTTCCACTGGCAATATGGCTCTACACATAGGGACAGATTCAGAACGTACAGAGCCCACTTCCCGACCAGTTTTGCTGCTGCAGCGTCAACGGTCGGGAATTCTGAGAAACAGTTGTCACATTAGGCATAATTATAACAGGGCCTCTGCGCCACTTTGGCAGTGGCCTTCCAGCGTACAGTGTCAGTAGCTTATAGGCGTCTACAGAGTGCTCTTCTGGGAAATGCAGGATGCCGGAGACATTAGACATTTCCATCCAAGGAACGCTAATCCTCAGCAGCTTTGATAGCTAGGCTGCACATGTAGCTTCCCATTGGCCACAAACAAGGCGTTAGGGGCATTCAGACAAATCCTATAGGAAGCATTTCATATTTTCCTTACCCAAACCATCCAATCCCCAACGGGAAACAAAAAGTAAGTTTGTTCGAAAGGATGGCTCGAATTAGTTAGGGTGGAAGAAGACACTCACTACAGGGGTAGTATTCACTCATTATTTACTCAAAAAGAACACTAAGATTCTCAGAAGACCAGCTTTTGACGTTGTGCGTATCAAGCTTTTGTAACTTGAATTGCGAGAAAGTACTTACGTGTCTTGACGAGGTAATCATTGTTATAACCAATATGACCAACATCATGAACTGCTGCCGACAGCAGTAGGCCAAAGATCTCCTGGCGGCTGAAATGTTTCTGCATCGACGCACACACATGCAACATACACAATGTCATACAAGTAGGCATACACACGCCTGTAGAACTGGCCTTACTACAGGCAGCCGGACAGCACAGTGCCCCATGCGTCCTGTATTGGTCGTTATTGTGTGTTGACTGCCGACATACAATCACTATGTTTTACAGTGTTGACCGTTCATAAAGACACATTTGTGTGCGGGATGAAGTCGGGGGCACGGGGGCAAAAGCCCCTGTGCATTGTATTTTGTGTGGCAAGACTATTTTGGAAGACGGAAAAAGGGTTACTTCAGGGTAACTGTTTCCCCTGCCCCCCCCCCTCCCCTACTATTTTTACCCGGCTAGAACCCTGTACTAGGCGATTTAAGTCCTTGCACCTTTACTCCCAACCGAAACAGGACTTGACGCTATGCAACATGAAGACAAGACCAGAGCTCGACAACGAGGTATGCAACCTGCATTACCGGCTAGTCTAGTACGAGTTTCTCACCTCCAGACCTCCCTTCAAGATGAGTACATGTGCCGTCTGAGCCACATCAGCACCATGCCAGCTATTATGATACGGATTTTTAGAGCAGTACTTGAGCTGCGGCAGAATGAAATGAAGAGAAAGGAAGAGAATGCTGTTAGATACTCGTGTATAGCCGTGTCTGTTCACATACATTGTATAATGGGCTAGAGAGTGGGATCACGAGCATTACACGAAGACACGTCTGCCTTCTAGGACTACATGTAGGTATGCAACACTATCCAGAGCAATACTGAGTGCTCACAGCAGCTTCCATTGTACATCATAGTTCATGAACCATCATGCATTTGCCACGTGTTCCTCTACGCATAAAACAGCTCGAATTGTCACAGGCGTACACTAAAGTGTGCATGTCCACACAACCACTGGCTAGACAATTGTGTTGAGAAACACATACACTAAGAGGCACTTATTAAAAGGCTGGACTCATCATTAGAGGACACTGAACAGTCTCTGAAAACAATACACCAGTTGCCAGAGGACACGCACTGAAGAAAGAGCAGCCAACACAACTGAAATGGGACGTCAGGAGGTGCCGGGGACCGATTTGAATTAGGTCACAGTACCTCGATTTCCGTTAGGTAGTTTGCCATTACGCTGTCACTGATCTCTAGGTCACGCAGTAGGTTCCACTCCTGCATTGCAACACAGGAATCAGTATACAAGCTCTACACTAACTTAAGTATGGCAGGAGCAGGGCAGTACACAGGCATTCTGTGCTGCTGATTACCAACCCGGTTAGGAACATCTTGTTTCCCAAGACATAGCAGTAACTATAGAGCAAAACCAGCCAATGGTGGTCCAGCCCAACCGACAATATATCAGCTGTTTCCTGAAATGAGGGCATTGCTATAATTTGTTCAGCCTGACAGTGAGTCAGTTGTATTCATGGTACATATGCCAGGCCTATGTTAACACTATGGCCACACACAATGACACCACACAATGACACCACACTGGACCCAACACCAGTCGCATAGCATTCCTACACAGCAACAGAATGAGCTTGCTGCTCTCGGCATACACCGTATGCCATGCAGGCACCCATCGTACCTTAAATAATGACATGACAACTGGTACAAACGGTCGGTCATACGTCAATTCAGCAACCTTAAAGATGTCGAAGCGGAACGAGTCGAGATCCCGCATCAGCTGCACATGGAAAAAGATGCCGGAAAGAAATGAAACATTAGTAGATATGTGAAGAATTTCCAAATATTCCTGCGAGAGCACCCAAGGTGTGTGCAGCAGCCCAAGTACGCATTCGATTTTCCTCATTCTCTATCCACTGGCGATGTTGTTTAGAACGACCAAACGTCTGGAAAGGTATCGAAAAATTGCTATCCTTACTAATGTGTACCACTCTTGGTCTAGGAAAGCATTTTATTGCACAGTGAGAAAGGCTAACTAACGGCTTGTCCACCAACAATTTGAACAGTCGCGTGTATGCACCGCACAAATGGGTGCACTTGCGCGACACGCGTACATGTCCCAGGGAACACAATGTCCTTTTCATGACAAGTTAAGATCTTGTGATCGGTCCAAAAAAAAGAGAAAAAAAGAAAAGAAAGCTAGCCGGATTCGATATTCGCGGCCGCGTCACCTGACGTGTGTTGGAACACATCAAGCAAATACATCGGTCTTCAAAGGATTAACAAAATTGAAAGACCACGTCTTAAATAGCGGCCTACTTACTGGTATGTATGGAAGTCTGATCATCAATGACAAAACTCCAATAACAGAAGCCGAGTTGACATAACTCCAGTGGTCGAACCCAGGACCCTCTAAACTCCCCAATTGCACACTATCTTCTACCCCCCCCCCCCCCCAACACCCCTACCAACATTAGTTACAAGGGTCTTCCTCAGGGCGCTTCTCCAATATAGTACAATGGCATTATGATATCTTGCTCCGACATGCGGCGGTTGGTACTTACAGAGTGTAAACTCTCCATGTCAGTACAGCGCAAGCCAGCCCTAGACACAAGAACACAGCAGATGACATTTCTTTTTCCAGAACCTTGCCACACCTGTATCACATATTCATCCGTTCATGTCTGAAAGATCGGATACCCAGAAGTGTTGATTTAAGCCCATACAAAAGGACAGGATCACATCCGTGGAAAGTACAATCGTGCTGTCTAAAAGGCTTGGAACAGGATTTTTAAACACCACCTGACAGAATTGGCTATGTGCCTACATTGTCTTTTACCTTGTACAATACCTCAAAATCTCTGCACAACACACATACACACCGCACGTGCATCCACATGCATGCACACATTTGCAAACCCACGCACACACATGCATGCACACATTTGCAAACCCATGCACACGCATGCATGCACGCATTTGCAAACCCATGCACACGCATGCATGCACGCATTTGCAAACCCATGCATGAACCTACCCAGTGGCAAATGTCAATGAGAAAGTAAACGAATCCGTCTCTGCTGGATGCTCCTCGCTAGCATCATCATCCACAATCGAGGAATGCTCAGAGGCACTGTCGATGACTGGCAGTGGTAGCTTTTTGGAGTAGGAGTTGAGGCTTGGCCGCTGGTGAGACGTGTAGGAATCAGCTCCGATTGGGCCATCCGTTTCATCGACGTTAGGTTCGGCAATGGCTCCCATGTGTCTGTTTGTTGTGCTTGGCATGCTCACGCTGTGAACTAGGGTAGGTGACAATGGATGGTGAGCGTGGTTGATGGATGCAATTGAATGCCGGGGACGCGGTGTGCTGCTCTCCACCAGGGCCGAGCGACGAATAGGTTTTGCAGCTGCAGTGCAATGAATAGTATCGACTGACAGTTATCACAATAAAAGCACGGCGACGGTAATCACCAAACACAGCCAGTTATTGCAAAGCGCAGACAGTAATTAAAAATGCACAGCGGCATCATGGTTGAACGGAACGTGTTCCAACGTATACTGCTGCTACTTGGACTTACTCGTGAATTGGTTGGAAATCCAGTCAGCGACATTCGGCTGTGCGCTCACCTCCTCAGACAGCATACTAGCAAACTACACCAACAAAAAAAAGAAAAGTACAGTTCGCATATCCGTGTTGCCACCGCCTACACAATTGTGTTGAGAAACACAAGCAGCTTTCTAAACCAACACGAGAGGAATAACACAACACAAACGCACGCACAGTAGTACAATAATTCGCACAAAAGAGAGTCAGCGGGGGTGTAACACCAGTACACTCGCAGAGCTTTGCAGTCGTCTTTCAACGCCAGGGTTTGGTAGTCTGATGATACCAGGGTGCCGTGGGTGTAGGCGACCATGTTACTGACGATCATTTTCCAGATACAGTCGACCTACCCTTATGACGATAACCTCTATAACGATATTACCCTTATAACGATATTTTTCTGCCAAACCAAATCACTCCATTGACTTTTGTATACAATGCCCTACCCTTATAACAATATTGCTATAACGATATTACCCCCATAACGATATAAAATGGCCTGACCAATCAACATTTTCCATTTTATAACAATATCTAGCAGGGAAGCTGTAGAGCCCACTATCCAGGTAGGGCAAGCTTCACTTGATAAGTCGCTGGGACATGACGAAATGCAATGGGGGCACCAGTGGGCACCTTGCTGTGTACATAATCAGTGGCGGGTTTAGGGGGGGGCGCGGGGGGCGCGCCCCCCCCCCCCTCAAAAATTTCGACCTAGGTTTCGAAAAATAATACAGGGCGCCGGGTCGAGCTAGACTGGGCGCGCGCGGCCTGAAACGATTGTCCAAAAGCGGTTGCACGGTGCGGTGCTCGAGCTGGTGTTGATTGAACACACTACAGACTAGTACAGTACAGTCTACAGAGTAGAGTCTACGTACAGTGAGCATGCACGGCTACAGAAACACGGTGACCTGACTGTGTACTGACTGTTGTACAGTGTGATCCCTGCTGGGACGCGCTCGACGCGTCTTCAACGGTACAAACATCGAAGAAAAGTCTTCGATCGAGTCAACCAAAACACGATTCGAATGCCGAGGGCTCAGGCGATCATCCTCGTTCGAATCGTGTTTTGGTTGACTAGAAGGCTTTTCTTCGATGTCTCAGGGACATCCCAAAAGGCCAAGCTCTAGCCAGCAGAGCCTGGAATTTTTGTAAAGCGTTCCTGTGGCGGCGCAACTCCTGCTGCCGCTCCAACAGTAAACAGTGGGAGTGATGAAGTCGCTGTTATTCCAGTTGAACTTTCGGAGCGGACTGACAGTCACACTCCGCCAGACGTGGAAGAACCTGTTGTCAGCGAGCAGCCAGAACATAAAGAACAGCGCACAGTGACAAGTACCGCTGCCTATGTAAAGGATGCTTTGAGAGCGGTGAGAAATTGTTGGACTCGCATGAACAATTGCAGTTGATTCGCTCACATAACGGCAAATTTGAAGTTACAATGTACATTGTTGCTGCGTGTACAGAAATACTGCTCGTGGTGTGTAAGATTTACGGCTTGTTGTTGTTGTTGTTGTTGTTGTTTATTTTACTTCACCAAATGAACAGGCAGAGATGCCTTCTCACCTGCCCATAGGACAGGTTCTCACAGAATGATGAAGGGATGATATGCAAGGGAAAACAAGAAATGATAATAATAATAATAACTTATAAGACAGAAAGGACCAAAAGAAGAAAGGGAAAAATTTATATGAAGAACAATTTCATGGAGTCAGAAATAGAAAGACAATAATTTCATGGAGTCAAAGAACAGAAAGACAATCTCATGGAGTCAGGAACACGTGGTTGATTTTATAGACATGCATGCACAAAATAATGGTTGATAGATGAGAAGGTTGGAATTTTTGGCAGATAATAAAAGTTTAACGAGGATAAAGTAAGTATATCAATGGCAGAAAGAGCTTTTCGGAAAGGACCAGGGACACGTATCACTCTAAAATCAGAGGGGAGAGCGTTCCAGAGAATGCTTCCCCAAAACATCATGCTCGATCATCCCGCAGGCCCACGAAGAAAGGGAACTTGAAGCAAGTTCGACACTTGTCCCCGTGTGGTGCGCTGATCCTCCGGAACAGTCTCTGCGGCCGTTCGGGTGAATAACTGTTGAAGAAGGGGCTACAGGAGGTCGAAGAGCTTCTTGACATCGGTTTTCAAAATCGGTTTTCAAATTGGCTGACCTGGGACAGTAGCATGATGTCATCTACCCCCACCCCATCCCGCCTTGATCTCGGCCGCAACCCCCCCTCAGCCAAATCCTGGACACGCCACTGATAATGTGCATGTATGTCAGTTTTTCATGCTAGGAAGAGTGTAAAAAATGAACAAAATCCATGCATTATGACGTGTATGTATGAAATGAACCAGTTACCCCTATAACAATATTACCCTTATAACAATATTTCTTGGTCTGACGCAAATATCGTTATAAGGGTAGGTCGACTGTAATTGCTATAGTTAGGATCTTGCCATTTCCTTTCCCAGCACTGGTAGGTGAAAGTTGTCGGCGGGAAAGCGGCTATAGTGATAAACTCAGCACATCAATCGGTGCACCAACTCTGGTAGAAAGCTAAAATACTAGCGCTAGCAGCAACAGGACTCTGCATACCTTCTCGGCAGCAAACTTGCCCACCGTCCTCTCCTGGGTGCCCATTTCATCCAAGTCTCGACTGCAGACACGGAGGACCTCAAGCACACGAGTAAGCCGGCCGATTTGAGTACCGAGTGACTCATCTACGGAACAGAAGAAATCGAGAGCACAGAATCACACAGAAGTGTGGAAGAGGATACGCGTGTGCAAGCACAGAATCACACAGACGGGTGGAAGGGGATACACGTGTGGCAACTCATACTATAGCGATGGCGGGTGCAGACAACGGGGAAACCTTACCAAACGCTACTGGTCAGAATGCCAATACCCTGCTCATGGTCAAAAGAGGTGAAACAGTTTAGGGCAGCATTAGTTACGTGGGCAGAAAGCAAACTAAAGGCATGCAGGCTCACCTCCGGCATTGTCGAAGCTAGAAGAGGTACTGCACGGAGAGCAAGAACACATAAAAATCATCCAATTTTGTTACTTCTATCTTTGCATTCCAGTGCTCAGAAGGCTCCGTCATTCTGCGACAAGCTACATTGTTAAAACAGAGCTGGCTTGGCGAGTATAGACGGTCAAACTTGACCCAGCGTCAATTACAAAAACCAGTACAATCCTGCATCCGACACAGGGTGAACATTGCAAAGTTGTGTTGAAAAATACAGCTGTCAGGAAGTCGTTGGAGCTTACCTTTCATTCGCTGCTTTTCTGTACAATTTTTCACATTCACTAATAGCCATTTCTTGCAGTGCAATGGCTTTCTTCAGCGAGTGGGTTGTCTTAGAGAAAGAGGCGAGACACAGAATATTGAAAATAGACTTGCTAACTTAATCAAACACATACGATGCACAAGTCCTCTCTCTCTCTCTCCCTCCCTCCCTCCCTCCCTCCCTCCCTCCCTCCCTCCCTCCCTCCCTCTCTCTCTCTCTCTCTCTCTCTCTCTCTCTCTCTCTTTCTCTCTTTCTCTCTCTTTCTCTCTCTCTCTCTCCAGTGACCTAGCCAAAGCCGGCTCAGCCGGCAGAATGCCGGCTGGGAGGGCGACCTGCCGGCTGAGACAGCTCCAAGGGTTATTTTGGCCGGCTGGCAAACAATTGAGATTTAGAGGAATTTTCAGTTTCTACAAGTGTAGTATCCCTGCTTTACAGTTTACACATGACTAGTAGTACATGTATTTTGCATGACTCTTATTGTTTAGAAGGGGGGTGAAGCATACAGTACTTCCTACATTTACGATTGTTCTTCCATGATCCTTGCATGGCGCCACTACACACTGGAGAGTAGCTAGACCAACACTAATTATCAGTGTTGTGTCATGTACTGACATAAGGAAGTAGTTCATTTTACAGACAGATGAGTGTAGATATAGTGAAGAGTCAGGGAGGCCATGCCCAGCAGAGCATGGTATCGTGCGTAGCACGGGGGTAGTGAGAGGTCACGTACTGTCTATACATGGCGACAGGCAGGGGAAGGACTATGCCGTGAATGGGTGAAAGGATAACATGATACAGGATAGGACATCTCGCCCTTTTTGAAAAAAAATTAAAGAGAGCAAAAACACAACAGCTGGGAAAAAAACTGTTATGGAGAAAAGGCAAGACAGATACATGTACGGGTTGTACATAGCCGGGCACATAGAACAGAACTATGCAATGTGCGGGAGAGCAATAGCAATAGCATGAAGCCAGAGAGAGTTATATGGTAGCGATCAATCTCTGCGGTGGCTGGATGTTGTTGCGAGCACGGAGAGTTGGCTGTGACGTAGGCACAGGCTGTTGTTGCGGGACTAGCGCGGCCGGTGGTACTGCTGGCACCGGTCCGGGAGGAGTCACTGGCTGGAGCAACTTCACTGCACGGCGGTTTCGGCGCAGAAGACCGGATGAGGTGGCGATGTTGTAGGAGCGATCGGTGAGTTGCTCAACCACTGTACCCTCGCGCTTGTCGTCGACCCACACTTTCGCTCCCAGTGGCAGAGGGGAGAGCGACTTTGCTGCGAAGCGTTGATCGAAGTGATCTTCTTGCCGATGCTTAGCCTCCTGCTCCTTGGCCCGGAGAGCGGTGATGTCTGGCCAGGAGGGTTGCAGGAGATCAGGTGGGCACGGAAGATTGGTGCGGAGCCTGCGGCCGTACAATAGTTCGGCGGGCGAATAGCCGTTGGCCAGGGGTGTGGAGCGATACGCTAGGAGGGACTGCTGTAGATCACCTGGCGCACGGATGAGTCGTTTGGCAGTCTGCACGGCGCGTTCTGCTTCGCCGTTGCTTTGAGGATGCTTCGGGCTGCTGGTCCGATGCGTGATGTTGCACGACGACATAAACTGTGCAAAGGCGTCGGAAGCGAACTGTGGCCCGTTATCGCTGACAAAGATGTCCGGATAGCCGTGGGCAGCAAATATGCTCTTCAGATGAGTAATGATGGCCCGTGACGTAGTCGATGAGAGACAAGCGACATCAATGTAACGGGAGAAATAGTCGACGGTAATCAGGTACTGGTGGCCGTCGACATCACAGAGATCCGATGCGATACGCTGCCACGGACGCTCGGGGAACGGCGTTGTCTGAAGAGGCTCTGGAGACTGATGACGCTGCTTGATACAGGTAGTGCACTTGGCGACGTACGCCTCGATGTCGGCAGAGATACCTGGCCACCATGACGAGAAGCGGGCACGGGCTTTACTCTTCGTGGCACCTTGGTGACCATCGTGCAGCTTCTGGAGGATCTCAGGCTGTAGCACGGACGGAACAACCAGGCGAAAGCCGTGGCACAATACACCTTGCATGTGAGACAACTGGCCTCGCTCACGATGGAACGGCTTGATGTCGTCAGGGACGGTAGCAGGCCAGCCATGGATGACGTAGCGCATCACACTGGATAACACGGGATCTTCAGACGTAGCCTTGGCTAGGTCGGCGAGAACGGATGGACTTGTGAGATCTTCGGCAGTGGTTGATAAAACCATGCCGATGTCGTCTTGCAGAACGTTGTCAACTGATGCCGATGCTGGCGCTCGTGAAAGCGTGTCAGCCACCACCAGATCCTTGCCGGGAACGTGTATGGCTTGGACTTCGTACCGGAGGAAGCGGAGCAGCATTCGTTGGCATCGGATGGGGACCTTGTCCAGGTCTCTGGTGTTGATCAGTGGCACTAGCGGCTTGTGGTCCGTCTGCACGATGAACCTGGGAGCGCCGAAGAGGTACTGGTCTAACCTCTCGCACGTCCACACCGCTGCGAGGCATTCCTTTTCGATCTGCGCGTAGCCTTGTTCCGTCTTGGTCAGGGAACGGGAGGCGTAGGCTACTGGGCGCCAGTCGCCATCGTGCTTCTGGAGCAGAACACCACCAATGCCATAGCTGCTGGCATCGGCACTGACCATGATGGGACGCTTGGGGTCATAGTGCACTAAGCACGGGGCTGAAACGACGAGCTCTTTCAGCCGACGGAACGCGTCCTGCTGCGGGGAGTCCCAGAACCAATCAGTGTCGGTGTGCAGGAGCTGACGGAGGGGCGCTGAGATCGTAGCCAATTCCGGGATGAATCTGGCGACGTAGGTGAAGAGACCTAAGGCACGGCGAAGCTCAGGAACATTCGTAGGCTCCTTGAGGTCGTCAATGGCGGAGACTTTGCTGGGGTCGGGTTTCACACCGGACCCGCTGACGATGTGTCCCAGGTACTTGACTGATGACTGCTTGAGGTGGCATTTGTCGGGGTTTAGAGTGATGCCTGCGTCGGCAAGGACCTGGCGCGTTGTGTCCAGCCGGTGGTCGTGTTCAGCTTCGTTAGCGGCGTGGACCAGAACGTCGTCCATGAATACCTCGGAACCTTTGACGTGGGAGAGGAAGTCCTGCAGGCGTCGCTGGAAGATTTCCGGTGCAGAGGTTATACCGAATGGCATCCGGAGGAATCGGAACCGACCCACAGGCGTGATGAACGTGGTCAGCTTGGATGCAGACTCCGTGAGAGGCACTTGCCAGAAGCCGCTGTTGGCATCCAGCGTGGAAAAGACAGTAGATCCGGCGAGCCTAGCCAGTGTGTCCTCAACTGTCGGAAGAGGGAAGTGCTCGCGCTTCACGTTGCCGTTCAGCTTCTTTAGGTCTACGCAGATCCGTACGCGACCATTAGGTTTACGAACCGGCACCATAGGAGAGCACCAGTCAGAGGGACCCGTTTCCCGGACGATGATGCCCATTTCCTCCATACGTGCGAGCTCTTCTGTGACCTTGTCCTGTAGAGGCAGAGGCACACGGCGGGCAACACCACAGTGGTACGGCGTGGCGTCGTCCACGAGCTTGATATCAGCTGGGGGCCCAACCATACAACCGATGGGCTGTGCTGGCTTGCTGGTACACGATTCTGCTGCATCTAAACGCTGGATCAGGCGAAGTCGGAGGCAGTCTCTGCGACTCAACAGGTTGGTAGATCCAGGACCATCGATAACTACGATCTCCATAGAGAACAGTTCACTCTTGTGCATGGTGTCTGCAGTGAACTGACCCTTGATGGATAGAGGTGCACCAGATGGACCAAGGAGTTTGGTAGTGGATGGTGTGAGTACAGGGCGTTGTACGAGATTCTGATACGTGGAGTGCGTGATACATGATACATCTGCACCTGTGTCGATCTTGAATATCAAATTTGTCGAGCAAACAGGCAGACTTACTGACCAGGCGTCGGTGGACTGGGAAGGACTGGCGTTGGATGACAGCTCTGCAACACCACCCATGAATGGCGACGGGGACACGAGCGATTCATCTTCGACAGCTCTGGCACCACGCGTGGTTGCTGGAGTGGAAAGACAGACGGCGGCGAAGTGGCCCTGCTTGCCGCATGAATTACACTTGCGACCAAACGCAGGACACGCAGAACGGTTACTCTTGTGCGAACCAGCGTGGCCACACCACGGACATGTTGAAGCTGCAGTGCCGCTCTTCCTCTGCGTGGACGGCGTTGGTGCAGGCTTCGACGGAACGCCGCTGCGCTGGTGGCGACTCCTTGCATCTTGCTGCTTTCCTCCAAAGCGGGATGCAGCATTGACCTGCGGCCTGGCGGCTTGCGCTGCAACGTCTCCGGAAATTTTCTCGGCCTGCCTGGCCCTGAGAACTGCGTCCGTGAGGGTGAGTTTTGCGGGCTCAATCAGCTGCAGCTCCTTGGCGACTTGACGATCCAGAATGTGAGCCACGAGGCGATCTCGAATTCTGTTGTCCTTCTGGTCACCAAAGTCACAGAACTTCGCTGCTGCGTGAAGTTTCCGAACAAATTCTTCCACGGACTCTCCTGGAAGATGGACACACTGTTCGAAAATGGTCCTCTGGTGAAACACGTTCAATGCTGGCGTAAAGTAAGCATCCAGCTTCGTCATGACCTTGTCATACTTGTCCTCGTCTCCAACGGTGTCGAATACCAGTTGATCGAAGACAGTTTCGGCCTCTGGGCCCAGCGAGTAGAGCAACGTAGAGATTTGCACTTTCTCGTCTTTCGCGTTGAGCTCTGAGGCGAGGCGATATCTCGCAAACCGGCGTTTCCAAGCCGGCCAGGCATCTGGAATGGAGAAATCAAAGTCTGCAGGCGGCGCGAACTTGGCCATTTCTACTCGAAGTGTAGACCTGGTTGACTAACTTCTGACACCATGTTGTGTCATGTACTGACATAAGGAAGTAGTTCATTTTACAGACAGATGAGTGTAGATATAGTGAAGAGTCAGGGAGGCCATGCCCAGCAGAGCATGGTATCGTGCGTAGCACGGGGGTAGTGAGAGGTCACGTACTGTCTATACATGGCGACAGGCAG